GTGTGTTTGTGTGCACACCTGGCATTTTTCAATTATCTTTCATTTTCCTCTGCTGGGAGCTTCTTTTCCTGTCCAGACATGTCCTAACTTGTGGAGGGAGGGTAAAAGAGATGGCACTACAGTAGTCACAAAAAAGGAGTCTGTGCCTGTGTGTGTGATGACTAGCAAGCTGACACAGAGACACACCTTCTTGTGCTATTTTCAAGCCTGTGTATGTTGTACCTCAGCAGTCTTTCTCCTAATGTTTATTTCCCCTCAGCCATAGGTATAAACTAGAGGTAAAAATTACAAATTACTTTGCTAAATCAAATTGTGTGACTGTATCATCGTTCATGAAGCTCTTCAGCGATATGTTCAGTTCAGTAGCCTAAAAAAAACTAGGACAATACAAGCACTCATAGGTTTTTTTTATTTTGTTTGCTGACAATATTCTAATACACGTAAAAGAATACAACATAATAGAGCAAGCAATAAGAAGAGAAGAGTTTTCAGAGTTGGTTAGTCTGTCTTAATTTACTCAGAATTAATTGCAAATTAGCTAGGGATGTAACGATACAGTCAGTTCAAGATTAGATAATTCACAATATGATTTTCTTAACAAAATAAGACAAATTAAGACAGAAAAAGAAATATATATAAAAAAATATTTTTTCTCTTATATTTTCTTTATATCATATTTTTTATTTCTGAGGTCAGGCTATAAACTGTGCAAAACATAATTCCTTTTTAAAATGAAACTTATGTCTTTGTGCTTTACCAGCGTAGGTTTTCATCACAGATTGGAATCTTCACATAGTTGTATCGCGATATATCTTTACATTCCTAAAATTAGCTTTGCTTAGGATAGTCAAGAACTAGACAACTTTGTGCAATGTATGAATGTAGGTGTTTATCTGAAGTCTGATAATTGATCCAATGCATAGTCAGATTCTTGTCTTTATGAAACCCCTGAACTTATTACTTTCCCTGGTGTTTATGCAGTCCACCAATCTTTGCCATTCAGTGTCTGATATTACAAGAAAAGAGCAAAAGACCAGAAAACTGAGTCACATGAACAAATAATTGATTAAATCTATTCAGATTAATTGCTTGAGAGCCACCTATTTGCTAAAGAGCTATCACGTCATTATCGTTTATTTTTGTAGTCTTTTAATGAGTTTTTAATAAGACCGTAATGTGAACCTTCAGTATAATGATTCTGTGTTAAAAATCTCACTCGCTTTGCTTTTTACTGTAACTACAAAGTCAAATGTGTTCAGTGAAATTAGTTGAGATTTGTAATTTGAGGTCAGTTCAATGATGACAATCAGGCAGTTTTAATTCATCAGTTGTGTTCACATTTTTCAGATGTGCCAGATTCATTAGCACATGATGTGTTTCATTATTATTTATCCCAGGCCATTGGAGGCTTCATTAGCTGCAGGCTGATGCAGCACGCAGCCTCTAAATTTAGCAGCTTTTTATTTATTCAGAATGGCCACGTGTTGGATGGTATGCCCAGTTGCCATGTTCTCTCACAGCAGCTTAGAGACATGTTGAGAAAAGAGAGGTGGGCTGGTCTGTGGAGAAATGGGCCTCATTCCACCTGTGTCACCCCCACCAGACGTCTGCCTCTCTTCAGCTCTTTGAAGCCTCTTTAATTCCAGCGTTCAGGATTAAGCCCATGAAAAAAGGATGAAAAGTGATAGAGCGACAGAAGGAGACATCCTAGGAGAGAACAGCCTCCTTTGAAATATGTTAAGAATTTCGTTTGCACTGACCCACAATGCAGCATCTGAGGGAAACTTTTTTTTTTTTTTTCCTGATCGGGGGCTGGCTATAGGATTTGCATGAATAGGAAAAGGAGTCTTTGAAGCCATGGATGTAAGTGGAACTGGAGTTTATTGAAACCTAAATGAGCGCCCCGAGACATTGTCCTTGCATTGTACATTACAGACTGCGAAAGTTGCTTTGTCACAGCAGGTTTAATTGGAAGTCAAAGGAATCAAGTAATTTTCCGCCACAGAAACCACTGACACAGTCCACCTTTTGTAGAGTCTCTCTGTGCGGTCGGTATCATGGCCAAGTGAATTGATAGAAATATGGATATTACAGTTTTTAGTGGATTCAGAGAGCCAGTCATGCTTCAATTACTGTCCATATTTACAATCGCAGCGAATATTTAGACAGTATGCTCTTCCTTGTTGTGTACAGAAACAGGGGAAAAAAACTCAGTACCATTAAGCAAACAGCTGTTGTTTAATTTCAAACATTTTGTTGATGCACAGAATGACTATAGGTTTAATTAGTGTGTACAGGAGAGGCTGTTGAAGTTACAAAACACTGGATTTTTCTGCCAGGTGTTTCCACAAACAGAAAAAATGCACATTAAAGGTCATGTGCCAGAGTACCTGAACCTGTCTAGTCTAAACTGTTGAACCATCAACAGGCTGTCAAGTGGCAGCTGGTTGTGAGAAAACGCAGTCTCACAGGAGTTATATGTTGTAGCACTTTTAAGAACAGAAATAAGTACTTAACAAAATGAATAGAAATGAGAAAACAGACAGGTGGAACAATTTAAAAAAAAAGGTCAGTGCACTTGAGTATCAATCTGGGAGCACATAAATTACATGTCAGTTATCACAAGTAGTGCCCTCTATTGTGGCTTCCATTGGTTTTTCTTGTTTTTTTTTATTGTCATTCACGCCTTCAATAGAAAGCCATCTGCATTCTAGCTTGATTGTCTTCCAAGTTGTTGCCAAAGGGCAGCCCTGCCCTGAGTGAGGCTTTGCGAAGCACACTTTTAGAGAGCGAACTTTATTACACCCAGACTGCCTCACAGAGGTGTTCATTTATTTCTCTGATCGTTTTAAGGCCATTTTTCTCTGTCTCTATAAGAACATTTTGCAATTTGCCACAACTCTTCGACTGTGTTTTGTCTATGTTGTCAACATTTTGAGGCTGCAAGAACGTTTTGCAGTTTATGCAGTTTTTGTGATGCTTCTTTGAAAACTCAAGCATAAAAGTGACTTATTGTGGCGCCTCTTAAAGCTGACACATGCTTGTAATTGTCATTCAATTTTCCCATGGATGTGTCATTGTAATTGAAGTTTTGTCACTGTAGAGATGAAGATGTTGTTCACATAATGTTCCTTTTATTTTGTCCACCCCTGTAGCATGTAAACTCCACTCCTCTTTAGTTATATCTAAAAAAAAAAAATGCTGACTACCCCTCCCTCTTAATTAAAGCTGTAAAAACCAACCGCACACATTTCTGTCCTGAATAAGCACAGACAGAGATTTTATTGCACCATTTCAATTTTAATTGAAATATTTAAGGCTATGAATGGAAAAGGGCACGATACATTTATGCAGTGAAATTGGTTGGAGGGGGGGCTAGGAGTGAGGCGGTAAATGGGAGGAAAAATAAAATCATCAAATCAAGTAGTGGGCACTTAAATGCAAATGGGAGTTGCCAGTGAAATTAACAGGTTCCCCCCCTTGGGCAAATGTCTAATCAGTGGTCTCCCCACTTAGTCCTGTAAGGGACGGCAGGTTAACGTAATAAAACACAGCTTCTTGGAAGTTTTATCAGGAGTTTTCAATTTGACAAATGTGCCTGCGGAACTTGACTGACAAAGCGGAATGAGAAGGAGGATGCTATTGTGAGAGTGCGAGCTTCAAACCGCATGCAAACATAGACACACATTTGCTGTGTGGGCAATAGCTGATTCAAAGCCACCTGCAGTTCCATATTTACCACAGCCTGGGCAAACAGCAGTGAGCGAGGACTCCACAGGCACCTGCTGTTAGCCAGTACATGATGCTGTCTGTATTTTACAGGGATATTGTGTGATCATGTTTCCTGAGACAAAACAGTGTAGTTCCTCAGAGCATTGTGCTTTTGGAGGTGGTGTTCAAGGAGAAAGCAAAGTGCAAATGAAGTTGGAACAGATCCAAGCTTTTTAAATAGGATTTTATTGTGTTGTGGTTTGAGATCTAGCTCTCGGCCTTAATCTTTTTTTACCCCCACACAGAGCCGTTTTATTTTTTCACTATCATTTCTGATATTAAGTCAATTAAATCCAAAATAACGCACCCTTTATAGAACTGGAGCTGTAAGTCGAGTCATACACAAACAGCTGCACTACAGCTCGAGGCAGTCGCAATAGTAGTTTTATCCCTGTAACGTAAATCCATATCTTTAATATGCTTTATATGTACTAGTCTTGACGCATCAGTACACACAAATTCTTTGTAGCCATGCAGGTAGTTTGGGTTTCATTTGGCACACAACCATAGACAGTGCCAATCTTGAGTAATCTGCACACCTTGCTGTAAACCGTTTTTCACGAGAATTACTTTCTGGTTGTTGAACAACACCCTCTCTTTGATGTAACATTACGTAACATTACATTTCTAAGTATAATCTTTCAATGCTTTTAACACCACAAACAACATGTAATTCAAGCCAGTTGGTTTGGGGTGGCTTCAGAAACGGATATCGTAAATTCTGGCCTAAATAAAGTGAAAAGTGTCCACATGACTATATACAGCTCATGCAAAATATAACTGAGAAAACACGTTTAGTTGTAAATTCAGCAAAAAAGATCAGTTTGAGTTTTTTTGGGCCAACAATCAGTATTTTGCTGAGAGTTAGATGAGCAGATCATTACTCTTATATCTGTAGGGTATATATGAAGCTGAATCAATGTGATTGATAGCTTAGCAGAAAGACAGGAAATAGGGAAACAGCAAGTGCCTCTGTTCAAAGGTTAAAATGTCACTAATTAACTTGTTGTATCTTGTTTGTTTTAAACCGTGCAAAAACCATAGTGAAAAAAGCGTTTAGCTAAGCTTACCGTCTCCAGCTTGCATATGTGAGTGTGTGTTAAGGGCTGTATGCGAACCACACAGCCACTCTACACTGGAGTCTAGTGTTACAGATGGTTAATGTGCAATTATGTGTGCATTTAACTACATTAATAATGAAACGCCCTCTCCCTTTCTGTTCTCTCCAGAGATGGCGAGCTGGGTCTCCCTCCTCCTCTTTCTCTTCTGCAAGTCAGTCACACAAGCCCAGGAGGAGAGCAACAACGTCCCCATCCTGGAGTTTACCTCCGAGACCTCCATCAACAATGTGGTCCAGGACATCCAGACCGGTCGGATCTACCTGGGGGCGGTAAACACAATCTTCCAGCTGGGACCGTCGCTCCGCATGCAGGCCCGTGCCGATACGGGACCCAAAGAGGACGCCCGGACCTGTACACCTCCTGCTTCTGCATGTCAGGACACAAAGCCCATGCCCAACCTCAACAAGCTTCTGCTGGTCCATCCGTCCAACGGTTCTCTCATAGTCTGCGGCAGCCGCTACCGGGGCATCTGCGCCCTCCTCAACCTGACCAACGTGGAACAGCAGCTGTATTACAGTGACAGTAAAGGAGAGAGGACTTACGTGGCTAGCATAGAGGATAATGTGAACGTGGTGGGCGTCATGTCCAACTACACAAAAGATGAGAACACCTTCAGTGTTTTTCTTGTTGGGAAGGGCTACGGAAGCCTGGACAGTACAAAACTCATCAGCACACGAATCCTTCAGGACTACCGCGAGTGGGTCGTGTTTGAGAGCATCATTGAGGCATCAACGGTACAGACGACGCCATTTGTTCCCAAGTACCTGCATGACTTCCGCCTTGCCTTCAAAGAGGATGGTTTTGTTTATTTCCTCTTTTCACGAACACTCGATGGTACAGATAACAAAAACCTGACCTTTGTGTCTCGTCTTTGCGAAAACGACCACCATTACTATTCTCACACAGAGCTCCAGTTAAACTGTGGCCCGAATAACAGATACAACAAAGTCCAAGCCGCATACGTGGCTTCTCCAGGAAAAGAGCTTGCACGGGTCATGACCGAATCAGGTATGTATGGGAAGGTCGTTTCCTGGAACAAAGTTCTGTTCATGGTGGCGAGCCCAGATGATGACGACAACGATTCGGCTCTCTGCATGTACCCACTCAACTTCATCAATGAGCGGCTGGTGGATATCATCAGCGCCTGCTACAGCGACTCGGGGAAGATTTCCGGGTTTCCTGCTGTGGACATCCCCTACTCATCAAAAAATGAGGAATTCTGCTCGTCGAAAATTGCAGTAAGTGCTTCTGATGTGTCAGATTGAAATTGTTTAAAATGTGTTTTTTGAAATGAACGAGTGAAATGTTTTGAAGAAGTCCCTTTACACTAATAAATAATGTATACATGTGTCACTGTTGACTTTAATGTCTCTCTGTTGACTTTTTTCTGCAGATCCTTTTGTGTTGTTTTGTCTAAAGCTCTTGTTCTGCCTCACTCATTTTTCTCTGTCCTTCCATGTCTCTTTACCCAGTTACCTCATCCAGAATGATACTATGGGAATCAAAAATATTTGCCCCAATGATGAAAGCTGAAGTTTTCCCTTTCATAGTTGACGTCACAATTTTTACACATTTTTTTTTTTACAAATCTATCATAGATAACAATGTAAATACAAAGCTCATGTAAATTCTAATAAATATGACTTCATAATATCTAATCTGTTCCAGGCTATTTCAATGGTGCTGAAAAAAATAAACTTAATGAGATGAATAACATTAATAACAGTAATTTAACACACATTAAACCCATGTTTAATTTCACAGCTTTAGCGTATTTGACCAGAACAGTCATGTAAACACAAATATGCGTCACTCTACATTACATTCATTCAACCATAAATGAAGCATTTCACTGTTCATCATGTATGAATATCCTATCAATTAAATGTCAACACAGAACATATATTTGCATATATTTGTAATTTGTTCTGTTAAATGAGTATTAACATATGTTGCTGTATCTCTGTTATTCCAAATTAGAAAAATTACATCCTAAAAAAAAACTATAAATAAATAAAGTGACATCAGGCAAGTTCTGTAATAATACATTTTATTATATTAAGTAAAAGAAATAACCCAAAAAAAACAACTCTATTACACATGTAAAACACAGGCTTTCAATTAAAAATTGTGAAAAAACTGGCTCATAGTTAAACCTAATCTCTGACCCCTGTTATATAGCTTTTTTAGTAGAGTGGGATTGATTCCCACATATTCCCTGTCGTATCCTTTTGGATTAAATTGCACACAGTGTTTTCATCGTTCTTTTGTTCTTGCTTTTCTTTTACAGAAGAACACGTTAGAAAATTTCAAGTGTGGCGCAGACTTTTTGCCTTCCCCTCTGGCAAGCAAGCCAAGAGTCGCCTTAAAGGCAGATGCAGTGTTGACGAAGCCGGGCCTTCTGACCGCTGTGGCCGTCGCTGTGGAGAATGATCACACTATCGCCTTTTTGGGGAACAACCAGGGGGAAGTCTTTAAGGTGGAGTGGTCTTTTGATCTGTTGCTTTTCTCACTTTTTTTCCCTTTGAATTTTTACTTGAGGGAAGCAGGATGGGGGAATTGCAGCAAATACCTCATGTCAAACGGAGTTACCTTTTGTTTTCTGCCCAGGTACATCTGACCACTGATCCATATGTGTACAGCAAGACTCCTGGAGTCACCGTGGGAGAAAAGGTCAACAAGAACCTTTTCTTTGACCTCAGTCAGAGCCACCTCTACATTACCACAGAGAAAAGGGTGTGTATGTCAGGAACTCTTTCGTAACACACATCATACAGTATAACCCATGTCTACAGAGGAGGCATTCAGGCACAGCACTGCATTTAGATTCCCTGTGTTTTGGCAGAGTTCAGAGCCCAATACACAATCGCTCATGTAAAACAAGAAAGTAGACATGAATCATAAAAAAAGATGCTTTGGGTCACAATTACGTGCATAAAGTGTGAGTTAAACACGAGCCAATACACTGCCTGTGTGATGACTGAGTGAAAATGTAATATTTAATTTATTCTCTCTTCTGTCTGTGAGACAAGCAGCTGAAAAACGTGACTGAAACGCCTCCTGTGTAGACATAGTGAAACAGTTCTTACTAGCTCTTCTCTTTTATTGACAATTTTATCACAGGAAGAGAGTATTAGACACATACTGTCTGACTAGGTTTTACCTAAAGGAAGTTGATATAGTTTCTGCTGGCTTTCAAGGGAGAGTTGAATATGTATTTTTATAGAGAATGCAAATTACTCAAATTTTTAGTAGATGAAAGTTTAAATGACTTGCTCAGTGTTACTTGTTACTTGTTAAAGTGTTTACTTACGTGTTTATATATATACTTTACAGAAACTTATATTATTATTATATATGTTACATTATTGAACTATTATTGTAGATGCAGTATTTTAATGTTTAAGTTGACAAACTTAATATACTGTTAGGTAATTTAATCTATAACTCTGTATCATATTTTATAAGATGATTGAACCATACGCAGAGTAATAATAGGACTGACTCATAATTCAGCCTATTTGAATCACTGAACAAAACCAATTATCCAGATATAAGTCCAGTGTGTAACATTTAGCATGATCTATTGGCCGAAATGGAATATATTATCCATAGTTATGTTTTCATTAGTGTGTAATCACATGCAAATAAGAATCTTTATGGGGTTTTTTTACCTTGGAATGAGCCTTATATATTCATAGACACTGCGGGTCGCCTTCCACGGCGGCTGCCATGTCGAACCACCATGTCTCTACAGTAGCCCAGTAGGGAAAAACCAAACACTGGCTCTAGATGGGTTTGATTTTTTTACACCTTTTGTGGCCACTGTAGTTTTTCCTATGCGCTTGGAAAGAGAGGCTAAAGCGAGGGAGCTGCAATCTGCAATCTGCAACTACAGCGTTGAATGCCACTAAATCCTACACACTGTTCCTTTTAAGTACAATAAATATTTAGCATGTAGAAAGAGATAATTGTTTTAGTATTTGAACATGAGGAGCAGCTATGAGAGACCATATGCTGTGACAGAACTCGTTTTACTGCCACTCTGCACACCTGCAACAAACCAAGGGACATTTGTAGACGTACTTTAAATGCTTCATATTTCATGCAGTGTCCCCCGCTAAGGTTCTCTGTTCATTTTTTATGTTATAATGCTCCAGATCACCAAGGTGCCAGTGCAGACGTGCCTTCAAAAGAAAGACTGCCAATCATGTGTGGAACTGAGGGACCCTTACTGTGGCTGGTGTGTCCTGGAGGGCAGGTGAGGCTTACATACACACACACACACTCTCATGGATGCACTTATAAATGCATGCACACAGCGACAGACTAACGCAAACACTCACACATGCAATTCCATCTGTAAAACACAGCAGGGTATTTGTTCAGTGTTTTATTGCAGACACTTTTAGTACCCTTCGGTGTTTATATTCCATCTCCTGTTGTCCGTGCAGCCGTAAGGAATTAAAGCTGTTTGTCAGCCTCATGCAGCGAAGGCAGTCTGTGCAATTTACACTCATCAGCCTATATTTATCAGGGTCTGGAGGGCAGAAGGGACTGTATGTATCAAGCATTTTACAGAGATGTGATCGGGAACAAGAAGAAAGCATAAAAACTGTTCTTCTGGAAGTTGTTGATACTTACATTCAGAAACATTTACTTAGTCACCTGACAGGGAAATTAATCAGCAACTATTTCTATAATGAATAAATCCTTTCAGTTATTTTTCAAGCAAAAAAGCCTCATTCTCAAATGTGATATATCTACTTTCTTCTTTTCTCTGTCTTATTACATGAATCTGAATGTCTTTGGGTTTTGTACTTTTTAGTCAGCTAAAGCAAGACATTTGATGATAACACCTTGAGCTCTGACACTCACGACGCTCTGATAGATGTTATTATTCTTTTTCTGATGTTTCATTGACAGTAAATGAATCAAGAAAATAATTGTAAGATTAATAGATCATGAAAAATGAAAATCATCCTTATTTGCAGCCCTACTTAGCCTGTATGTTTTTCTCCACTTCTACTTCTTGAAAGCAATTTTCCACTGAAATCTGATGCTACATAATACTGTGTATTTCTGGTTATTTGCACATTGTTAATATTAATGTACATTGTATTTCCTTTGTAGTATTAATTTTGTTTTGAATTATGTTTTACCCAATTGATGACCAAAAAATTGCTGCGATCTGAAATTGTGTCGCTAGATTATATGTTGTATTTTTCTCCTCATCCCTCATACTGCATTGTCAAATGTTGAGGCTGCAATGAAAAAATATTTTTATCATTGATTATTTTTTTGATTAATTTTTTAGTCTATAAAATCTAAAAAAGCAGCACATCATTACTTCCCAGCACCCCAAGTGACATCCTTAAACAGTTAGTTGCTATCATATTTGATGAAAAATATTTGGCACTTTTACATTAAAGATGACTGAAATAATGAACCAATTATCAAAATAGTTAATAGCTAATTTTCATTCAATCAGCGAATCAGTTAATCAACCAATCACTGCAGCTTTAGACAGTCCCTCGAGAAAAACGCAATTATGCGATCACGTACCTAATTCAATGCATAATCAGCCAAAGTCCGCATATTTATGCGGGGGCCGCATTTTTTCAAAAACACCGCACTTTCGCCGCACAAATTGCAGATTTCCGCATAAATATGCGGGGCTTGCATGATTTCATAATCCCCGCATTTTCAGTGCAAAAAAGTCACATATATATTAGCAGAAAGTTGAAAAATGTTGCGTTTACTTAACACAAGAGCAGCCATTTTCCCCTGTTGCCATGGGAACGTTATGAAGTGATGTAATTACGCAACGTGAACATCATCGAAAAGCTGCAAACCCCGCGATGAAGCCATGATGAAGCCCGCCAATCAGTCTCATGTTTTATTTATTCATTTTTACAGAAGTTGTAGCATATTCCTTTTGTAAAGCTACAGAACTTGTTTGACTCATCAATGTTTTGTAAGTTTGAGCCATGTGTTTATTAAGGTCTGAAATAAAACAAGATGAGAACTTAAATATTCCCAGCACTTTCTGTGATGCAGTATGCTTGCTAATCATAGTAATAAGAAATTACTCTTTACATTAAGTTAGTAGCCTAGTGAGAAAAGGGTGTTGGGGGAATCACTTTTTTTTCTCTTTTTCATCAAACCGCAGTTTTTGTAAGTTCCCGCAATTTTTGCAAGTTCCCGCAATGTCATCGCATAAATTGCATAAATATCCCACATGTTCCATTGCATTTTTTAAGAAAACGTGCCGCTTACTCAAGGATTTTTGCCCACAACAATCACAAAAAAAGTTTTTCTGGAAGGACTGTTTAGACATTTTAGAATTGATCATTATCATAATTATCATTCATCACTATCAAGTGTGAAAAAAATTATGAAAAATGTCTTTCACAGTTGTCGCAAGTCCAACGTGCTGACCAAAACTAAAACTAAAATATTCAGTTTACTATTACATAAGATAAATAAAAGCAGCAAAAACTCACAGTTGAGAAGCTGGAAGAAGGGAAGAACAATTAATTCATTACAATGAGTTGATTGGGAAAACATACCTATGAATATTATATTCCATTTCAGCCAGTAGATCCTCCTAAATGTTACACACTTGACCATTGGTTTTATATAGATATGATATGAAAAACATTAATCTAACTCATCTTGAAAATCTGCACAGACCCTGCTTGAAGTCACTTGGGCATGTTATTGTTATTCAACAAAGCACATTGAAAATCCATTAGGGTCCAGAGGCATTGTTCTTTTGTTTTTTTTTTTGAGGCCTTGTGAAAGCGTTTAGGGGTTGTGGAGCAGAGGCTGATGGGAGTTGTTCATCCTTCTTCTGAAGGTGTACCAGGAGGTCTGAGTGCCGGCGGGCAGAGGAGAAGAATGGCTGGCTGTGGAGCTACAGGCAGCAGTGTGTCAAGATTGTCTCCTTCTATCCCCCGAACCTTTCCTGTAAAAAGACTCAGAAGGTACAGAGCTGCTTCTCTTCTCATTCTTTCTAGCTCATTTTCTTCTTTTGCTCTCTGTTCCTTTTTTCTGTCTCTCTCTCGCTCTGCAGAACTCAACCCCACTTACATGCACGTCTCACAAACATGCACGACCTGAGTAATAAACTGTTTCCATTGTGAATCAGAGACCCTGGGCTTTAGGTTGTTCTTCTCTGTATTGATCCATCAAGAAAACTCCAAACTGGCTTATTATAACCGACCTGGTTGATTGTGTTCACAGCCTGAAGATGGAGAGCCTCTCTTGTGCAAGTTTTATTTTTCCATCCCTTCCCGGCTACCTCCCTTGCTGACTCACTCTTGTATTTCCATCAGCAGCACCTGTTCTTCTGTCATGTTATAAATCAATCTCTGGCCTTTAAAATGAAACAGTTTCTGTATTCTAGCTTTAAAGTTACACTGTGTTTAAATGCATTTCTCTGCTGTGTATAATTTAGTGTGAACTGATATTACTCAGCCAAAAAGGTCACAGGCAATAACTCTTTCTATGAAAAACTCACTTCAGCCACAATCCCTTTTAAATATTTGTTTTCTGTTCAGGTGAAGATCAACATCCCCTCTCTTCCTGCAATCGGGCTTTCTGACCGTCTGCACTGCACCATCAAGTCTTTCCAGAGTCAGGGCACCATGTCTGACTCTGGTCAGGTCTCCTGCAACCTGCCCAACCCTTCGCTTATACCACAAACACCTGAGGACCAAGGTATGGCCTTTATGATTAACCTGCTCTTTTTTAATACACCCTCTTTTCAAGGCAAATGTCTGTTATTTCCAAGGTTGTATCACCAATGGGAAAAGCGGCGAAAGTGGCCCAAAAAGCCCTAGGTTCACTGCATGCCATTTGGTTTTGGTAATTTAATTAATTTCAGGATTTTGCGGAATCCACACCACTAAAGCACAGTATCAGCTAACTAGGGTCCTCATTATTACTTAATTTTGTTGCCGTGTTTTATAGAGGCGCCCTGTGTCAACATCTAGTTTTGCAAGATTTATTATTTTAGTTTATGCTGTTACACAAACACAAATGTAATATTATTCTAGCAGAGTAGTCAGTGTTTTATAGCAGAGATGGGCCACTACGCCTAAAACAAAAGCCCATCTCCACTACTGTAATATTGTAATGAAAACATTTTATGAAATAAAAGCTTAAGGCTTTAAGCTTTAGGGAAAAAATAGACTTGCTGTAATATAGTTACTGAGTTTGTTTAGGCAATCAAATAATAACTAAATTGATCACGAGAAGAGATATGTCAGTATCAAAGTGTTTCACCACCTCAGCTAAACAAATTCCTGGGGGAAACCCTAGAAGTGGTTGCTCTGGACTTAAACAGGAGCTAGGAGGCAGAATACACATACTGTACCGAGGGCAGTGGGTTACAGGGACAGTAGAAGCCCAACAGCATGTTTTTGCCCCTGGGCTCCCCACAGGTTAATATGGCGATGATTACAACTTTTTTAGTGGCCATACTAGCAGCAGGGCTCTATGGACGACCGTGTCAATCTGGCCCACAGTGCCCAAGTACAGCTTTACAGAACCACTAACATGGCTGTAGGCTCAAAGTCTTGTTAAATGAATGCATAATTAGTATAAAGGTATTTGAGGTCATGCTGTCACAAATTATTTAAAGGTAATGTTTAGCTTTTTCTTAAATTAACAAATGACATTGTGAACTGTGGAAGTTTTGAATATTCAGAATAATTCTTATCCCCAATCATAAATGTGTGCAACTCATTTTTAACCCTCCCTTTGCTGTCTCCTTAGACTTTGTGGCCGTGCCAATCAGGATTTTCGTCAACGAGACTGTGGAGCTGGCCATGCGGGAATTCAAGTTCTATAACTGCGCTGCCACAGTGAGGAAATCTGAAAACACACCGTGAGTCAGACTCTTAATCTATCAGTTCTGCTCTGTCACTCACTGAAAATACACAGTGACACTGAACACAGCATCAACTGACAACCTTGATGTGAATGTATCACCGTGCGTGAGCAGATGAGAGATCAAGGCTCTGTTTGTAAATTGTGATGCATGGTAGTTTTGAATGCACCTCTTGCATTTTCTCTCCACCGTTTATTATCAAGCCGAGGAAATTGCCTCAGTTTCCTATTCATTAATCAAAAAATGAAAGTCAATCTCGCCATTTTTCCCTTCTTATTTTTTTCTTCATTTCTTTCAAGCCAAGGAATGTGTGATGAACGAGCTTTGCTTATGTGAAGTTGCAGAGATCCATTTTGTTGTCAGCGACATGGATTTTTGTGCCGGACGCTCTTTGATGAGCTTGCATGTTTTTAGATTTTGTTTGTGTGTGCTTTTATGTGTGCGTGCTCCTGCCTAATTATGTGTGTGAAAGTATTTTCTTATCTTTAGTGTTTATGTGTTTGTTTTCAGGTGCATTTCATGTGTGGCCAGTTCATGGGGCTGCCAATGGAACACACATGACCACACCTGCAGTGACATGGACGACAGTGTGAATGGCTCCAACATCATCAAGCACCGTCAGGTTAGCCTCCTCAAGGGTTGACACATCAGTGGCATGGCAAGGAGTTTTATCTGTGATGGTATTTGATAAATGCCGGGAGAAGTGTAGCAAAAGTTTCAAAAGAAACATTTAATCACCGCACGTGACGCAGCGCCTGAGCGATCCAAATTTTTCCTGAAAATTAATAAAAAAAGCTCAAATCCCTGTATCAGCTGTCACCATCTTGCGTGACAAATATTGTAGGGTGGAGGATATCAATTTACAAGTCAGCAGATGTTTCAGAGATAAAGTTATCTGTTGCCACAGATGAGGGTGTCCGTTAAGTGGTTGGCATATTTAAAATGTAAATGAATCAAAGTTGGAGTATCTGATTTGTTTTTATGCCTTCTCAGGGAGCGAAGTGTCCTCAGTTCGAGAATCCAGATCCTGTGTTGATCCCTGTGGGCTACAAGACTCGTATCAGCTTCGAGGGGATCAATTTGGACCTCTACCAGGTAAAGTGGCACAGAGACAGACTTTAGGGCATTTCTGGAAAACGAGTCAGCTCTTCTAAACACTTCTTGCAGATTGTATTAATACCACAGTGAACCGGATTGGTCACAATTTTTAAACGTGTGCATTAATTAAAACTCTCATCTCATAAAATGCGACTCCGTTAGATGCAAAAAGAGTCAATTTTATTACATGTGCGAAATGTGACAAAAAGCAGAAGATTCTGCCATTGAACCAGATGGACCATGTAATTGAAGAGGAAAAAATCGTCTATCAGACAAACAGCAATCAGGAGAGAGGGGGTGAGAGGCAGAAGGCGCGGTTACACGAACTGCAAGGATACCAGAACGAATACACCCATATGTCCCTGTATATGAGTATTTATCTCTTTATGCAGATGTGTGTGTATATATACAGCAAAAACTAAAAGCAACATTAGGACAGGCTCGTTTCCATTAATCACTGAATTGATAACAGTAAGCCATTACAAAAGACACGTTAAGGACAGCACCTCATTAAGACCTTCCGGATGCAGTGTTGTTGTACGGAAAATCAATTTACGTTCCAATTTAAATCGTTTTTGATCACAGTCGCCACCTCTTTTGAACAGGATGAAAGTGTTGATACTTTAAAATGTCTGACAGACTTTATATTATTTCTGCATATGGCACAGTTTGTGTTGTGAAACACATGTTTTGCAGGTCTGCTTGATTTACCCATGTATTGAAGCCCTCATGGGCACAAGAGTGTGCAAGGCACTGCCTGATGCTGTACATTTTGATTGTTGTGTGACTTGTGAATATACTTGTTTTCTCACATACTTCACAGTTGTGAGAACAAGAAAAGAAGCCAGTCATCCCATAACAGAGGGGTTGGAATGTTTTTTTTCTTGCTCTGGAAAAAAAAGACAAGGATCAGGGAAGAATATTTAACAAAAAGTTAATTGTTTTTATTTGTTCTCTAGGGTCATGTTTTCACCATCGGCACTGAGCTGATGAGAAATGCGGAAGAAGAGGTAAATTTTGAGCAGGGGCCATTCTACACCTTCAGCGGGTTCAATGTGAGTATGGCTGTTTAGTAGTAGCTTGTCAGTCGTCTTCAACAATTGACCCTTGACTTTGTCTCGCTATTGAAACTGAATTGATTTTTTTGTTCCTTTTACTCATTTTTTTCAGAAGGCTTCTGAATTTTCCCTCCAGTCAACACAGGTCCTTGAGCTATGGTTGATTTTTGGATTATGACAGTACAATATAGAACAACCCTGAAACTAAATGAAATACATTGTATAGTGCCACTTGATTCGTCTTGAAGTCTAAATGCAAACTGTCTGTCCATATACAGATGACTTCATGTTCCAGGCTTAAAAATCCAATCCCCTTTTGGCTGGTTTTCACAGTCCCTTTGATATTCTCTAGCTCCCTCTAATGGACAGACCTTCCTCACTGGAGTTATTTTAGCTCCATCCCCACATTGTGAATTCTGTGATTTGGAGATTCAAGCAGTGCCTAGCCCTCAGCTATGCTCTTTTCCAACATTGATTTCTTCAGCTGAAAATCTGCCAGACTGAGTAAAAAAATTCCTTCCTTTTTTTCCCCCTCTCTTGGCATGAGGGAGCGGCAGCCCACACTGTTTGCCGAGAAGAGCTTAAGTGCTATTAATCACTGGATTCTGAATTAATAATTCATTTTCTTCCAATTTCTTAGTTTTCTTACGATAAGTCACCGGAGACCAATGTTCTCTTCTACGTGAAGGACAAGGAGTCAGGCAAGAAGATGGACAGCACACTGAATGGTACGCTCTCTCACATTTTAATGCGGAGATCAGATTATTTATAATGCCCTGTGTGTACACTTCAAGTCCCAGTGTGGGGCCTCCATTAGATCTGAGGCAGCTGCCTTTAATCTAAAATTGAAAATTATACAGAAAATGAATTGGTAATGACTATATCATCATACACATTTTGACAGAATATTGTCAAATTCAATGTTATAAACGTCCCTGAATCCTATTTTCATGAGAATTCATAATAAGCCATTGTGCTTTACGTTTAAGTTATTGTATCAGACATGAACATAGACATCTCACCCTTCATTCAGAATATACATAGAGTATCTTACTATACATTCTATATACAAGGGTTGGCTTCAGAAGTGAGGGTGTGCAGTGAAGTAAAGAAGAAAAACTATGATATATGTATATATAAATATGTACCTTTCAGGCTTTCCATAATAATAGTATTATAACAAAGTAGAAATGCTGTGTAAGCCTCTGTATTAATAATGCACTAACCCAAGTTAAAATCACGACCGGTTTCCTTGATAGAGACCTGATCCTTTATGATATATAATGTTGCGTTTGCAACTTTACTACAAAGAGAGCTGTGTATCACAGCTTTGTTTTATTTATTCTAGCCTCAGATTACCCTCTAGCCTCACATAGCTACAGATTAAATTATAACTTGCAGAGAAAGTGAAGGTACTTTTTCAGCCCTGGGTATTCTCTATAGTCTTCTTCACAGGCTTCTCACAGTCCCAACTTACTCCACCTATAAGGTAGTGCACACTGTATGTTACCTGTGAGGCGAAACCCAGCGCAAAGAAGTCCACAAAGCTCTCACTGTTGTCCACTAAAAGATTACTCCACCAATTTAGCATTACACTTCTATAACACTGTTGTAGTTATGACGGGCAGTTAATAAAGAGCATCAAAATCGGAGCAGCAGAACCAGAGATACCAACTTTTATTCCACTTATTCTTCCCTGTCGAAAGTTGCTGACTACATTACCCATAATGCAATTTGACTGCTAACAGTTTGGTTGAAGATTCAAGTGTGTTTTGTTAGTAGCAGTGGTCTTCAGCCCCATCTGAAGCCACAAAAGGATTTAGATAAGTTTTTTCATGTATTCATTGGTTCTTCCTGAGACTTATAAACAGACTTTGATATGTTAAAGTTCCCCTTTAAACTCACTGCTCTGAGGGTAACACAGTGATAATTGAGGATTTAATCAGAGGAGCAAATCAACATTTTTAACAATTATCTTCTCCCATCAGGATTATGGATTAAAATGTGATTCTTTGTTTCCCCTCTACAGTCACCCTTTACAACTGCTCCATGGGCAGAGAGGACTGTAGTCTCTGTAAGAACTCTGATCCAAAGTACCGCTGCGTGTGGTGCGCCAAGCAGAAGGCGTGTGTGTACGAGAAGTTGTGCAGTCCTGACCAGGGGTCCGAATATCCTTACAACACTGAGTGCCCTGACCCCCAGATCACTAAAGTGAGTAGTTACAATGTTGTCATTTCTTTATGCTGAACTTTGAACCTTACAGGTCCATTAAAGGCTTGTGATTAGCAGTCAAACGGCATTGATTGTGCTGATTGGATTATTGATCGGAGCACTTTACTGGCTGTGTTTTTTTCTCCTCTCTCTGTTGATGGGGGAGTTGAAAGTCTGTTTCTCTCTGAGGGGCATGTTGAGCTGAGCTGCAGCACATCTAGATTAAATTAATTCTTTCTTTCTTCACTTAATTGTTGGTGCCTCATTGTCATTGACAAAAATCTATCAGTAATTGTGACAGAGGTTATGCCCATACCTGACAGATACAGGTGCGGTATCAGTTGATAGAGACTGCACAAATCAGTGTTTAATACATACACAGATAACATGCAAATATGCTTCTTATAGTATGGATGTACAATAATTCTCAACCGATGCTTTGAATATTAAACACTTCAATTCAAACTATTTAACGGACATAAACAGACTGTGTAAATTGTTTATATGTTCCTATTGCACAACTTATCTGTTTAAATCCATTTCAAATCCCTTCTTCCTATAAACACCCACCCCCTCCCCCACCACTGTATCTCCCCATTCAGATCATCCCACATTTTGGCCCCCTCCGAGGAGGAATCTCCATCACCATCCAAGGCTCCAACCTCGGCATCCACAAAGAAGACATTAAAAGCATCACCGTGGTCGGGGAGCCCTGTATCCACCAGGAGGAGAAGTACTCTGTCTCCACAAGGTAATACTTACACACCTGATGTATTTGTGCAAACATATGAGCAACAGCACACATTCGTTTCTATCTTTTCGTTGTTGTTTGCTGTTGGTCAAACTATGTCTTTTTTATATAAACTTTTGGATACCTTATCAACTAAGGAGTGTTTTTCCTTTCATCGAGGTGACCTGGGTGTATAATTTATTTAGCTCATTATGCCACTGTATTGATCTGAAAGTCTCCAGATGCAAGTTGATTCAGAAACTGAATCACTCTTTTAAAGGAGAATTGGCGAATGCCAGTGGTGTCAGTAGTATTCTGATCCTTTTTTGAGTTAAAATATGAAAATAACAATGTAAATAGGTCCTGCAATCAAAAGCCAAAATCAGTATTATCCTAATGATATGCAACTTATACAAGTGTGATGTAGAAACATGAAGTCTCCCATGTGCATGCAATGCGAGTTGACTTTAAAGAGTGAAGCAGGATCTTGTGTCCAGCAGGAACACATTTGCTTATTCATAGATTCTTGAATTTCTTACGAGGTAGAAGGAGTACATGCCTTTTTAAGGATTTTACACAATTTACACACACATTATTGTTCCAAGCAGACCATTTTTACATGTCTCAATACATCTTTAAGTATTATCAGCAAAATATGCTCAAAATGTAAAGCAAAAGTGCAAGTTCTGCAGTTCTGTGACTGATATTAAATATGACATAATTAGATTGTTAATACTGATGCATCAGTGTGTAAGCAGAGCTGGTCAAGGAGCTAGTTTTAACTTCTTTATGTACAGTTTGGTATTGTGAAATGATTAATGGGTTAGGACAGTTCTGCTACACAAAAGTGTATTCATATATTGGACTTTTCTCTAATCTTTGCTTTTCTGGCAAATATGAGATACTTTTACCTCTTTGAATGTACTGTTAAACAGTTAAAATCTCTGTAGTGGAACTGCAAATATCTCATCTGAAACATGACAAGAGGCCCCAAACTAGACTAAAATTATCTGCCCCTTTGTGAAGTTGAGTAAACATGTTTTTTGATAGCACACCCTGATAGCTCACCTGGTAGAGCTGGCCCCCCTGTGTACCATAACAGAGTCCTTGCTGCAGCAGCCATGGGTTTGAGTCTGACCTGTGGCCCTTTCCTGCGTGTCATCCCCTCTCTCTCTCCCCTTTCCTGTCTTCAACTGTCCTATCCATCAGAAAAGTAAATGCACTTAGTTGCTTTCCACTAGTGGGGTATACTACTGAATATCAGTCTTTAAATACTGTCTGTGGCCACAAATGCCCAGAGCAGCCGGAAGTCTTTAAAATATGAATTCACCAAAGCACTGTAACTATATCACCCTCTTATACCACACATTTGATACCATCACACATTTGCCACAGATTTTTGGTGGATTTTTCATGCTGCAGACTCTCTGTTCCTCCTCATCCCAAAGGTGCTTTAATGAGCTGAGCATTGCATAAAAAGACCACTGGAATGAACTTAAGCCTCACAAATGCACTTCAGTCACAGCTGTGTTTTCAAAATTGTTCACTTCATACAAATGGTCTTTAAAAGAGAAAACATCCACATTGTTGCCCCACAGCCCCAAGCCAGAACTGTTGACACCTGGCAGGATTGATCCACATTTATGACTAATTCTTGCCCCGCCATCTGCACGATGAGGCATAAAACTGGATTTATGAGACCAGATGGAATGTTTTTCACCCTTAAATCACCTACTTTTTGGTGCTAACATGCCTGCTGTGGTCTTCATCTTGTCGTTAGTTGTGCTGCACGGTCTTCTACTGCATGCTGTAGCTCACTTCTTTTAAGTTTTGACAGGTTTTCCATTGTGATACTTCATTCCATCACATTGTTGTTGTAGCTGTTAATTTTCTGCTAGTAGACCACCTGTTAGCTTGAATAAGGATTGCCATTTTATGCTGACCCCTTTCATCAGCAACACATTTTCCCCCGAGGACTGCAGCAGACAGACGTGTTTGGTTTATCACATGATTCCAAGTAAACTCCAGACACTGCAATGTGGGAAAATTCCCTGAGGGTTCAATTTCTAAGATGCTATAAGCCGCCAATTTGGCATCGGAAAGCATACTACATTCATAGCTGCTTAGTAAACATTATTTAAACGTTGGACGAACCTGTTTAGCATGTAACTTGAAAATGTGAAAAATAAAAATCCCATTTGAGTTCTGTTTTTTTAGGTTACATTTTTAATTACAGTTATTTTCACCACTTTCTCCAATTAACTAAAACAAGACACAGAAATCATTTGTCTGCCAATGTGGTATTCAGAAATAGCACATTTGAATGGATAAATTTGGACAAAGATTGCATGAAGCTAATCATTAATCTGGAACACAGGTCTTACAGTGTTGAACATTGAGTCAATTAATTGCTTAGAAACATATTTAGCAACTTTTTTTCATTAGCGATTGTCAGTTTTCCATAAAAAATATCAAATATTCTCATGATTTAGCTTCTTGAATGTGAACATTTGCTGCTTTTCTTTGTCCTATGTGATAGTTAACTATAATCTAATGATCAGACAGTGCAAGCAGTTTAAAGACCTCACCCTTTTTCATAATGGTTTCACCTTTTATAGAAAAAAGTAATCAGTAGAAAATATCAGTAGATTAATGGCTAATGAAAATAATTGCTCATTTCAGCCCTTAAATATCTTCTCACCTTTCTTATTGTTCCGTCCAGCGTTGTGTGTGAGATCGGCCCTGTTGACCCTACGGGCGGACACTGGGGTAAGGTGGAGGTGGAGGTGAAGGGAGAGAAGAGAGGAACCTCCTCTATGTACTTCACCTACAGGGTAAATACTCTCCCTTACTCACTCACACACTCTATCTCTCTCGCTTTCTCCTCAGCTGCACTTTCAGTACGGAGGCGTACAACTTTTGACCCAGAAAATAAACACGTCCCAAAGCTTTCAGCTGATTTTGTTGTTTTATTGTCTCGATTATGTTTCCATTTCCCAACTGCAGAGAGCCCCTTATCAGAACATATCAAGGGCATGTCATTTAAGTGGAATGTACAAATACAACATCCTAATGTTTTGGTAAATGAAGCGCTTAGATGCTGTCATATTACAATGGTAATGCACTGCAAAATAAGCCAGAATGTTTATGCATTCCTCTTTAACCAGATGCCATGCAGTAGACCCCCTTTTCTCTCTAATACTTTAACAGGCTACAGCGTAGCTATTTAACTGGCTTTTCATATCTCGGGCTTCGCTAAAGCTTCCCCACAGGGGAGTGCTCCGCCTAACTGTTTGCTCAGCAAATTGAGGCAGATGTGGTGCTTGTATGAGTGTGTGTGAATGTTTCTGATAGAAGGGGGGGCGGATGTGTGTGTGTGTGTGTATAATATAGCACTGTATCGGTGTGTGTCGTTCTTGCATGTGTGTGAGTGAGTATTTGCCTGTGGGTCGGAGCTTCTGTGTGCATGTAAATCATTGCAGGGGAAACATGAGTATGTATTCATGCTGTGTCTTGCAACCCCCACCCCAACCCCCCCTTCACCAGGACCCGATTCCAGAGGAAGTGAAACCTTCCAGAGGTCCTAAGGCTGGGGGCACCCTCATTACAATTTCTGGACGATTTCTGGACACTGGCAGTAAGAATGATGTCCAGGTTACCATCGGAGGGGTGGACTGCACTGTGTAAGGATTTCTTTTTCAGCAATAATTGTCATTCACGCCAAAGCCCAATTCTGTTTCAATTCACTCTCTTCTGTTGATAAGTGCTACTTGTTATTCAGACATTGTATTCTATGCAAATTCTACAGTATGCACACTTTGAAGCCCATAAATTGATTTTTTTTTTTTTTTTACATTCCTGAAGCAAAAATGGAATTGACCTTAACTTTGGTGTCATAAGCAGAATTTTTTTTCTTCTCTCTTACCATTTGCCTTCACTGTGACCACGAGTGTTCTGTCAAAACCAGCCCATGGTGACATTTTAGTCAGAGGTAACGGAAAAATAACGAGCTAGAGAAACAGCAAAGCCAGGATTTAACAAGCTGTCAGACTGCTGCCGTGTTGGCTTTCACTGCACAGTGACCTTGTGCGACCCCCACTCCTTCCAGCCCGCCAGTCCTGAGTTATGTCCTTGTCTTGGCAGGGAGCAATTCGGAGCAGAGATCACCTGCAGGACAGGAGAATACCGAGCAGATAAGGTGCCCTCTGACCTTCTCACCGTCACAGTGAAGTATGGGAAGAGTACCACAACAACCATCCCAAGTGCCTTCCAATTCTTGGAAAATCCCATCGTGCTAGACCACAACCCCAAAGGAAGCTTTGTGTGGTCAGTATAAAGTAGCAGCGTACTCACCTTTCAGCTGGAATCCAATTGTTTATAATATTGGTTTGATCCTACCTGGAAAAATAGAGTCAAAGTTAGGCAGTGATTGTGGTATTTGGTGGGTAAAAACTACAAACAGTCATAGTCCGTACAGCATTAGCTAATGTGTAACTTGTAGCTAATGTCCCCATAGGAGCTACGTTAGCATTGTTACAGTAATCTTAATGTTAGCTATGTAGTCATCTTACCTTAGGTTGTAGTTGTTGATTAGCTTTTTCACTCACTAGCTAGCAGGCTAAAGGCTAATGTCAGTATAGTTAACGCTAAGGGCATTTAGCATCAATTGATATACATTTATTGCCAAAAGAAAGGCATGACCGTTACATAACTTGTATCAACTTGTATGAATTTACCTTTGTTTTAAGTGCTCTTTTTTTATCTGCCTTTTTATTTGATGATTTACTGTTGATGGTGCCAAAGCTGTCTATTTCAATTCATTTATTAATTTGTAATGACAATGTTATATTTGAAAACCCCAATGCAAAAAACAAGAAGGTGATGAATCCCTAATAACTACAGTTATCCCTTGACTTTGATGTTCTGAATAGTCGTCATGAAAATCATAAAAATAAATACCTTTTAGATACCTCACACTGTTGTTTTTAAAGTAGAGAAGGAGAAAAGGAAACAAAAAAGCTTGTTGACATTGATGACAAGGTTGAATAGAATAGTACTGTTGTGGAAAATTGAACACTAACACAAGGCACCTGCCTTGCTCTCTGCCCTGCAAGCTTCTATCTGTATCAAACCTTGGTAAGAGGGTCTTAATGCCAATAACCTTTTTTTTTGTTTTTTAAAAGTATCATTTGTCCTTCAAGAGTTGCTGAATATGTTTGTGTATGTGTGCAGAATATTTTCCATGCTTGCTGAAGATTGGCTGAAGGGGATACAAATGCTAGTCTTTGATGTTGTACCAAACTGCTTGATGATCACTGAAAATGGGTGCATTAGACGGTTACCTTGCTTTTCCCTTAGCAATTCAAAGCACCAGGGCGCGTGTGATTAGGCGCACAGATTGGAACAGCAGACAACCAATAGGCTGCTCACAGGCTAAACTAATTTGTTTTCATCTCCAGTGAAAATTACCCCAGGTACCACGTAAGAGCTGTGTCTTCCCGTTACTCTCCCTATGAGCTTGTCTTCGTGCGGCTGGGGATAACTGTGCTCATATATGTGTTTAACTGTGTTGTTTGTTGTACGTGTATGTCTGTGTGTTTTTTTTAGTGGAGGGAGGAACATTGTGGTGACCGGCTCAGGCTTTGACCTAATCCAGACTGCTGTCATGAAAGTCCACGGAGACAATTCGACAGCTATTGAGGTGTGTGTGTGTGTGTGTGTGTGTGTCTTCCTTTTCTTTTTCTATTCCCTTTTTTATCAGCCTCTCCATCTCTCTTTGCTCTCTTCACTCTTTCTCTTGACTGTCTCTTTTTTGGGATTCTTTGTCTCCGAGTATTTCTACTTTTCCATCTGCCCCCCCCCCCTCAGAAGCAGCCCTGTCCATCAATCACCCTACATCTCATGAGCCCACGACTACTGGTGATTCATTCAAACTCTGTGAAGCATGCACACACACTAACAAACACAGATTTCCACTCCTGCTTGCTTCCACCGATCAGTGAGATTCCATAAGCCAGTATTACTTAATCTCACTCCTTTGGTCATAAATCCTTCAAACCCTCACCAGAATATAACTGTGTTCCTCGTCCAGCCTTATCAAGTAGCTTTGCCTCTGCCAGGGAACGTGAAGGAGTTGCACGCAGCTTGGTGGTGCCTGCCCTCCAGTGTAGTGGCCGGTGTTAAGCAGTAGCGATTTTGTTCATTTAATTTAAAGGGCTAAATTTAATACCAGCATTAAGGTTGCAGAAGATTATGTGACCATTTCACCACTTTACTCCCAGCCAAGTCCCTGGTCTCGGCTACCCAGGGACAGGAGAGATTTTGAATAGACTTGTGGCTTCCACAGACTAGCAGCGGATGTAAAGTGTTATCTCAAAGGCCTTGGCTGGTCAACTTCATAAACTTCTGTTGGTTTAAGTCTATCCACTGAACTAGACCCAAATGTATCATTATTGCTGTGGGCTTGTGGTGAAGAAAATGTTGATTACATTTTGGGCCAGGTTAGCAGCTCAGAGCAATTATGTTTTTGTTGTTTTAGTTTTTTTTTTTTTTTTTTTTGCTGTAAGGTCCCTCCAGCTCTCGTTTGTAATTGTAAACGGAGACTTCTAGAGCTGTTTGCACCTGTTTGTAACTTCAAAATAAAAGCCTAGCTATAATACAAACATTTACTAAGTGCAGATTTACACATCACTAAATTAAAATAGATCACACCATGCAAACTAGTTCCTATGAAGAGATTAGCTGTTGCACATACTAACTATCAACAATTTCTAAGACCAACAATCTTCAGCTGCTTTGTGTTTAATGTTCATTGGCAAGTGTTAGCATTATAACACACTAAAATACGATAGGTAACATTGTAAATTCTATAACAGCTAAAAAATGTCATTGTGAGCTTGTTGGCACACTGTTTGCTGTCTATATGTTTAAAAGAATAGTATCAACATTTAGGGAATTCATATTTTCTTTCTGGCAAATTAGTGAGTCGCTTTATATTTTCTGGACAGAAATTAGACTGGTATAAATCTTCTCATTCAATTCCCAAAATGCTGAGCTATTCGTTTTAACAAAGGGCAAAGTAGAGTCAGAGGAGACAGCAGTTCACAGAGCTCCTGTAGATAACGGAATACGTTTACTTTTAAGCTAAATGACAAAAGACTTTCAACTCATACAACCAGTCTCACAATTTATAGTAGCGCTGCGTGACTTTTCCAAAGCATTATCTGATGTAGCCTACGCCTTTTCCCTTGTCCTTTTGAAAAACTTAAGCTGCGTGTAGGACTGTAGGGTTTAGCTGTCACACACAGTATTGTCAGAGCGGGTATCTAAACAATCAGAGTGACAGAAATATTACCACAGGTCCAGTTAATCAAAAAGCAAATAAACAAAGCCAGAGGATGACTCAATATGAGTTGTTATTCATCAGAGACTGCTATTCTACGATGGCAGATTGGGATTTTAATAGACTGGCTGAAAAGAGACACATCATTTTACCTTCTCCAACGTACCAAACCAGGCTTTTTTCTCCCACCACCCCACCCCCAAAAACACTTTTCCCTCACACAACAAAAACAGTAATTCACTGCTACTTTAAAAAAAAAAAAACTGTTTGCTTCTCTGTCTCCCCACATTTTCTCTGTTGAGTACTGTTATATTCTCCTACATTTTCTCTTTTGCTTACCTTTTGTGTGCTACATGTCAACATATAACTTTGTATTGTTGTTCCTATCCATTTTATTGTCCCTCCGACACATTCAGAACGCCCACGATAAGAACGACACGGTCATCCAGTTTCGCTCACCGACTGCAAACAACTCTGTGAACCACCCTTTAAGAACGTACATCCACCTGGACAACTTGGTGAAGGAACTGAAGCCCTTCGACTACCACCCTGACCCTGTCTTCAACAAGCTGATCAAGAAGGTCATCACTGAGGCCAGCATCATCATCGTCACCGTGAGTACAGGCTGTTGCGGACCCTGTTTAATGTTGAGTTGTAGCCCTGTGTTTCTGAGCCTCTGTGTGTGAAGGAATTGAGACAAATGGTGTTGACTTGAGGACAAAACTGGAAAAGATGCTGAATTGGAGTTACTGTGCCAAATTTTCACTCTTTAGCGGCTTATATTATTATGTAAGAATTATGCGAATAGCAGCACATTTCATATTTTAGCTCAGTGGTGTGTGTGTTTTGGAAGTCAAATGTAGATTAGTAGTTATTGTAACCCTTATAAACAGATTCAAAAACATTCTTAATGTTCTGCGGTTTGCTCTAATATCTTTTGGTAATTGAAAATGCCCATCACACTTTCCTGCAAGCGCAAGCTAGGGAATGTTTTTATGTACCAGATCAAATTCTGTGTGAAACAACTAATCAATGAATTGTCCAATTGATTCAGCTGTAAATTTGTCTCGTAGCTTAGTACTTGTTTGTGTCATCCTTGAGGTTTCACAGTATTCCCTTTTCTACTCACACTTCTGCAAGAAAAGCGAGGCCTTTTCAATTACTCAGACACTGGTTTACTTAAGATAATTTCACCTTTCTTCTATTCCAAACTGCAGTAGAATAATTGAAAGTGTGTCTGTAGATACAGAAGGGTGCTGTAGAAGTGTATAAAAGTGTATTGCCATGCCAGGACTGTGGTATTGACTGGAGCTGTGCTTACAGAGTCTTAAGTAAGAAATTAGAATTGTGCTTACAGTGAGTATAATCTTAATCTTTCTAATTACTTTTGGCACTCACATAGTGGAAGAGTGAAGAGCTGTTAGACACTATTCACCCATTATTAATGGAAATGCTTACAGTAATGTTTTTAACACTCATCAAATGATGCGTCTACTTGATGGTGTATAAATGTAGTAATTAATTTTTCTCCTATGTAGTTCAGTCACGACACTTTAAACATTACAGTTGGTTTTCCCCCTGCAGGGTCGCGGATTCTCCAAAGCTATGACGGCCAAAGAGGCTCAAGCCTTTGTGGGCGATGTGCCTTGTCTGGTCAACACGCTTCAGGATGACAAGCTGTTTCTGGACCCACCTTCCACCCCGCCTCGGGCTCGCTCCAGACGGCACCGCAGAGACACCCGGCCCGAGCTGCTGGACTTAACGGTCAGATCAAACAAAGACAGGCAGATACATGGTGGTGGAGGAAGTATTCAGAACCACACTGTAAAAATACTCAATTACAAAAGTTGTTACTTAAGTAAAAGTATGTAAGTGTAATCAGGAAAATGTACTTAAAATATTAGTATAAGTACTTAATGTAAAAAGAAATGGCCCATGTGAGTGTTATGTTAGTATATATTACGTTATTACTCGTGCATTGATGTAAAAGCAGCATTTTACTGTTGTAGCTGGTTGAGGTGGAGCACATTTTTTAGCTGTTTTATATAAGACTGTAGCAATTATTAATTTAATAATGGATTAATTAGTAAGAAATGCTGTCACAACAACCCAGAGCCAATAGTCCAAACCTCAAAAGTATTAAAAAGGAATAAAAACATATTAAAAGAAAAAGTATAAAATAAAATAAAAAAGAGACAAAGCAGAAAATCCTTACATTTGACACACATTTGTCAGGTTTTGGATAAAATCTTAATTTGTAAAGGAACTAGTAACCACAGCTGTCAGGTAAATGTAAAAAGTGCAATATTTCCCTTTGAGATATTGTGGAGTATGAAGTGGCATGACTTTAAAAATACTTTTAAAAGTACCTCAAATTTGTACAGTACTGGAGTAAACGTACTTAGTTACATTTCACCACTGCAGTGCAGACACATACACAAACTTACAGATGAGAGCCTCCATGCATCATGAATCCTTACTGTGCTTCTCTCGGCGTGTCCTCTGTAGAATCTTTAGAACCCATTATTTTCACTGGTTGAACAATTTTCATGTAGCTACAGGCCCTTATAATTACATTTAATTATAGCCGAGGCACAATTGTGATTAATACTGTAACCTCATCCTCTGGGTAATTCCTCTAAGTGAGCTATTGTTTAATTTCTGTGGCTGTGTGCTGCATAAAGAAGTGACACCACCAGACTATCAATAGTTCAGAAGCTTGATTATAAAGTATTGAACTCAATGCATTTATTCATTTGTTCAGTTAATGCGGGCCCACCAACTTCCACATAGCCCGAGCACTTTAAAAATACTGTAAGGTCCTGCTGCTGCTTTAGCAGAACTGTGTGCAATTATGTAGATTCTCCTCCATCCTCACTTCCTCTCCAGTACTGTCGAATCTTTACCATTGACACTCACCTGAATAAATCTCATCTAAAAATGTCGAGAGCTTGTGCAGATAATAAGATTCCCTCTCTGTGTTTATCCACAGATCAAGTTTGGGAAAGGGGAGTGGGTGGTCGGCTCTGTGCAGTACGAGAAGAAGAATGATTTGTCACTGTACATCATCATCCCTGCTGTCATCGTGCCGATGCTGCTCATCATAGCTATCTCTGTCTACTGCTACAGGTATGTTATTTTAGGATAACCTCCCATACAGATTTAAAAAAAAGTAATCTTACTACTTCTAATTGCCTTTTTAGAGGAAAGAAGCTGTTTATTATCTGAACATCTTGACCCCACAGTTAAATGTCACATAATACTCTATAATCATTACTGGTGCAGTTTAGTAATTCTTTTACTAATTTTTTCCAGGTACTTACCTTTTCCTCGCATGAGAGGATCATTTTGTGTGTTGTTGACTTACAAACCTGCAATATTTTATGCAAGTGGTTCCCATTCTCAGCCTTTTTAGCTTGTGACCCCTTAACCCTTGTGTTTTGTGGAAATTGGCTTTTCAGGTCCCACTGCTGTCCATGTATGAATAATATCTAAAAGAATATGTAGAAAAGTACTGAAGCGGTAACCCCTCCCTTTGCCCAAAACTGAGCTTGTACATTTGAGCAAGGTGATGTTACTTTTGTTTGGGGTCAGTTGGGTGTCAGAGGTGTAACTCCCTGTTTGACGTCTAATGAACAAAACTCAAAGAACAGAAATGCAAACAGACTTATAATAGGAATTGGGAGGGTGTAGTCCTGCATAAGGAAGTACTGTCAACATCAATCACAGATGTATGTTCATGTTTTACAGTCTTTGAGAACCAAAACAGAGGTACTCTGTCCTTTTCTTTAGCCGACTTCCAAAATCAGTTTGAAAAAAAAAACAAAACCATTATAAGGAAATCTCATAAAATTAGGAAACTATTGAGTATTAATCTGATAAAACCATGTCACGTATGTGTTTTTTGAGCAGTTAAAGGGGGTCCGGGGATTATGGTTTAAGCAAAGACCCACGAAAAGTCACACAGAAAAAGACATTTTCTTGTCTTTCTTTAATGTAGCGAACTGCTATGTTATGCAATGTAGCTCACTTCTTCTGCTAATTTAAATCAGCAGCACAAATAATCTGTTCACAGGTTTGATCCACAGAAGCAGAATCATAACTAGCCACATAAAAACTAATGAGCCTGGTGGGTTGTTGGTGTATCTATAGACCGTAACCTACTGATGATCTTTTATTACATAATGTTACTCCAGATAAGTAAGGTTTTCAGTTCACTGAAGCCCTGTTCATTTGAATTGCCAGAGGGCTGGTTTAATAGTCTAATAGCTTAATAGCCTGCTGCACTCGATAAATAAACATTGTAGACTGCATGGTTAGAGGTGTGTGTTTAGTGTCCAGCTTATTGTTCGAGGGAAAATGTTTTTGTATTTTAGAATAAAAGAAACATTCTGACAAAGTATTTTCATTTCGAGCCAGTCTAGTTGTAATTTTCTGTTATATCCCAATATTGGGACTTAAGAAGTAGCTGTAATTGTATGTATATATACATGGTGAGTTTATGTAATAATTGGATGATTTGTAAACAGCATTGTATTTATGGTATTGGTGTTTTTCACAAATTGTATTGGCATAAAGTTATTGTAGGGATAATTTTATAACTATTATATCTCATCCTCCTTATTTTCACTGTTTAATTTCGCCAGTTCAATCTATGCCTCCTAAAGGTTCTGCAAAAAAAAGGTAATTTGTTTGCCAGTCTGTCACAGGCGGCTGTGCATTAGTTGAACTTGCTCATTTTCTCCTGAATATTTATAAAACACCTACATCAGGAACAATAAGCCCACAGTGGAATAATACCAGCGCTAATGGGATGTTTTTGTGAAACTCTGAGAAAACACTGAAACTATGTTATCGGCCAATTGTGCCAACTCCTTGAACAACAATTAGACCTAAATTATTTCCTTTCATGACACGTGTGTTGTGTTTGTGGAATCTGTTCAGGAGAAAGAGTCAACAGGCAGAGAGGGAGTATGAGAAGGTGAAACACCAGCTTGAGAATCTGGAGGAGAGCGTACGAGACCGCTGCAAGAAAGAATTCACAGGTACAGTGCAGCTGTGCAAATGCTAGGCAATATTGCTAATGTCCCACAAAGGATCCATGTTTCTAAGAAGTTATAAAGTAATGAAGTGCTTCATAGCTCTGATTATATTTCTTTGATGTATTGTACTGCAGTAAATTAAATAAATTCTCCTGCTTAACATCATGTTATCATCATTATGAGAAGCAGTTTTGCAGTAACAGTAATAGAAAACAATCTTTCACAGCTGAAGTTATTTTCCCCGGCAATGCTCTCCCTTCTCTGCCTCTCGCAACATAATGATTGAGACAGATGAGGAGCACACAAACAACAATAGCTTCTTATTTAAAAGGAGCAAGGTACAATTTTCTTGTTTACGTCCCGCAGACTTGATGATCGAGATGGAGGACCACACAAACGAACTGAGCGAGGGACGCATCCCCTTCCTGGACTACAAGACCTACACAGACCGCGTCTTCTTCCTGCCCTCTAAGGACGGTGCCAATGATGTGATGATCACGGGAAAGCTAGACATCCCAGAGGCTCGACGGGCCACAGTGACTCAGGCGCTCAACCAGTTCTCCAACCTCCTGAACTCCAAGACCTTCCTCATTAATGTAATTACACAGCACATGGACGTCTGATCAGTTGTAGTCTGATAATGTCTGCACAGAGTTTACAGCAGCATTGTGAAGGTGTGCAACATTAGAGCCTAACAAAGCAATGGATGTCTTCTAAAATACATCTATATTTTCTAGCCATGCTAGCAGCAGACCTTTAGGGTCGGTCGGTCGGTCCACCACTTTTGGTCCAGAATGAAATATCTAAGCAAATATTGAATGGATTTCCATCTGATTTTATATGGACACTCATGGTTCTCAGATGATGTATCCTAATGAGTTTGGTGATCCCATGACTTTTCCTCTAGCGCCATAATTAGGTCAAAATGTTTGTTTATGACCAAATAGTCACAAAACATTCCCTTCCGACTCAGCTCACTTTGTGTTTAGTGCTTTTTAGCCACTGCTAGCATGCAAGCACACCAAACTAAATGTTGAAGAATACATTACCTGCTAAACATCCGCACGTTAGCATTGTCAATGTGACGTTAGCATTTAGCTTAAAGTGCTGCTGTGCCAGTGCAACCTCACAGCTAGTAGCAAACTGTTTTTTCTTTAAAAGACCCTGTTTGTCAGTTTAAATTATATAGAATAAACTATATTTATTCGGTTTACACATTATAGCATGCAGTAAACGGTAAATAGACATAAAACATAAGGCAGGCACAAATGTACTTTTCACTATTTTTAACAAACTCTTCTCAGCTCATGAAATGAGTGAAACAGTATTGAACCAAGTCCTTGAGCATGTGCAGGTACATCTCTTTCAATTGGAGCTACTCAGAAATGGAAAAAAACAGTTGTAGCCTGGTTTCTGAATAAACTAAACTGGCCTTGTGCATCATCATCATCACAGGCAATACTCCTAAATACTCGTAGCAGGATAAAAGTCTAGATGGTAGATTTACCTCCTGCAACACTGGTGGTCCACACTCTCTTTCATTTCTGTTGGCTTTAAAAATCTGTTAACCTCAGTCAATGTACTGTGGAGTCTTTTATATCTTCCATTGATTTAAGGACTTTGTAATGTTTTAGTGAGTTCAGTACAGTATTTGGAAGTGAGAAGCAGAAGACATAGCAGAGAAAGACGTGTGAAAATTCCTAATAATCCAGAATTGCTGGCACAGAAACAGCCTCTGAGGTGTTAACTGCAAATGTGTGGGTAATTGCTATCTTTTCTAAGCCATGATATATTTAAAGCTCAGAATTGAATTTACCTTGATAATTATTGCTTTCTCTAGCATTTGTCTTTTGATTATTTAAAAGCATATTATTTTGGATTTGCCTGCGTCTGTGTGTGTGTGTGTGTGTGTGTGTGCCTCATCAGGATGATTAATTTAGCTTGTCATTTGCCTGTTTCTTTGTGTGTGCGTGTGTGATGTGTTTGTAGTTTATCCGTACCCTGGAGCGCAGTCATGACTTCAACGCCAGAGCCAAGGTGTACTTTGCCTCCCTGCTGACTGTGGCTCTGCATGGGAAACTGGAATACTACACCGACATTATGCGAACGCTGCTGCTGGAGCTGATGGAGGAATACGTCCACAGCAAGAACCCTAAACTCATGCTGCGCAGGTGAATGAGGAGCGACTTAGTAGATGCTGGTGCAGTCAGATATGAAGCCAAAACACTACTGTAAAGTTTGCTAAAATGTTCTGGATTTCTCAGGTTTTATGGCAACTGCATAACTTGGATGGGTTTTAATCACTCTAGCAGAGTAGTTCTAAGGATGGTAATGTAGGTCTGTTGGTTAATGAACTGCTTTTGTCCAGGCTGAAATAACAATAAAATTTAAAGACATTCATGATTTCCACAGGATTAATACTACTGACTTTAGTGACATTTCCTCACGGCAGGTCGAAGTTTTCTCTTATGCAGTGAGATATCTCAACATTTACAGGAAGAATTTGCACACAATTTTGTACAGACATTCAGAATAAATTATATTGCTTTAACTTTTCATCTAGCACCATCATCAGGTCACAATGTCCATGGTTTGTAACCAAATAGCTAGTCTCAGCTGTATCTTGTGTTTAATGATGGCAAATATTAGGATGCTAACATGCTAAACTAAGATGCTGATTGACATTATACTGCTAAATATCATATTCTTAGCATTGCCATTGTGAGCATGTTAGCACTGTTGTCCCTACGTACATCCTCACAGAGACTGTAGCTTGACTATAGATTGTCTTGTGTAGCAACATTTGCCCTGAGATCATTAGCTGTCCTTATTTCTCTGCTCTATAATCAGAATCACTCCATATCCAAGCCCTGGCAGCAGTATTATTAACATTTTAGAATAACTGGGATTCACTTCAAGATGCAGTGGACTGTTTCATTCTGTTGCCATGTGTTCTGTTGAGTTTTACACTGACTACTGTCCACTATCAAGAGCCAGACTGCTGCTATATCTATTCCAGTCATCCTCCTTCTGTTTCTCCTTCTGTTTTTTTTTTCTCTCTTTCTTTTGATTCCAAGCACAAAGTGCTGGATGATTCTTCTTTTGCTGTTCCCTTTTTATCATCTTCTTCATGTTATCCTAAGAAGCTGCTGACCAATTGGGCGTAGGCTAAAAATCACTTTATGTCACTTTTGATTGTCCTGCATTCATAAGGCAAATTGCATTGGCTTTCTGCAAGTGGCTTTAGGACACAATCCTGCATCAGGAAGATTTTAAAGTAGACATTTCTAATAGAAAAAGATATTCATTCTAATGTTAGGTCAATTTTATTGTGTAAATGAGCTCCTGCTTTCAAACCTGATTTGAGCAACTTTAATCAACCAAACTGTAAATCAACTGTAGAATATCTAATCCTGACCCAAGTTCTATTTTAGTAATTCCCCTTTTGAGCAAGAGGCACTTGTTATGTTGCAAAAAATTATTAGCTACACATCATTTAAAAGTTATTAGAAAAAAATCTGTTGATTGACATGAAATTATAACTCATTATTATTTGTTAAATTAATTGGTATTTTTAGAAACTTGCTAAATACTGATATAATACTGCAGATGTTTTTCTCTGATATTGTCTAATGGTAATTGCTCAATAGTTCCTCCCTTGGCAACATCTCATAATTCCTGTGAAGTATTAGCGTCCATAAACATGCAGCTGACTAATTTGAAGTAAACAGCCGTCAGAAAACAATCTCCAATTTTAGTGGTCTTTGTTCTTTACCCTTTCCCTCACTCTAATGATCACGTCAAGGTCACATCATCCACTGACGGCTGCCTCTGCTCCCTCAGCAGGACCCACTTGTCTGACAGTACAGTCGCTCATCACTGCTAGGCGGGGGGGTTATGTGATCTGAACTGTCTACTGTGCCTAGGCACGCTGTGACTGACTGTTATGCAAGTACACATCTTAATTATCCCCCAATGGAGAGGCTCATTATGCTGATTAGGCCATTGTGCCAACACAGGCCCCCCTATATACAAGATATCTAATTAGGCATGCTAGCAACTAACAACGGTCACCACCAGTGGATATCTGACATTAAGATTGGCGATCTGTCAAGTGACCACTGACTTGAGTTTTGAATTACAATATCATGACACTGTCAAGCTGTGCAGAAATTCCCCTTGTTGACATTTTATATATGCACTGTCATAAGAAAGTGGTGTTTCAAAATTTTGATGGATATGATGAAAATGTTTTATATTAGGTATCTGTCATTCAACTGTAACATCATTATCCCCAATGGGAAATTTGTCTTGCAGCCAGGTAAAGCACACAGCATAAATCGGGTCGTGGTCACAGCTAAGCTAAGAAGGGTATTCCAGCCATCCCTCTCCCCAGCAATGTTTTCCATTTCTGCCTGGGGGATTCCCAGTCATTCCCAGGCCAAATGAGATATATAATCTGTGCAGTGAGTTCTGGTTATACCCCGGGATCTCCTCTCAGTTGGACGTTCCTGGAAATTCTCCAAACAAAGGCACCGAGGAAGCATCCTAATTAGATGCCCAAACCACCTCAGCTGGCTCCTTTCGACCTCAAGTAGCAGCTGCTCCATTACAAGCTCCCTCCGCAAGTCCAAGTTCCTCTCCCTATCTTTAACTTTAGACGTCAGTGCTGTCCGCCGTTACAGCTGTCTGTATTTTCTGCTGGACTCACCCATCCTGCTCTCATCTGCTGACATGACATCCGTTTGCTGTTGACCGTATGCCTGATTCCATGCGAATGTAGCATAATGCTGAGCCTCCCTACGGAGGAATCTCATTTCGGTCCCTCGTATCCGCGTTCTCACTCTTCGGTCACTACCCAAAGTTCATAAACAGGTGAGGGTTGAAAAGTAGATTGACTAGTGAATTGATCTGGTACAACGCCCCAACATCACTACTGATGCTGTAATTGAGATCCTGTACAAGAATATCACAAACAGAAATGGAGACAAGGGGCAACCCTGTGTACAACACCCACTGAAAACTCTGTGTTTGACTTTGTGCTGAGAATACGGACGCATCTCACTTTGGTATACAAGGACTGGGAGGCTTGTAGTGATGGTAGCTTCTAGTATTTCATCCTCCTGCTGTACCACCCACAATAGTGCTCGAGGGACACAGCCATAAGCCTTCTCCAAGTCCACAAAACACATGATGGTCCATGACCCCCCCCAAACACCCCAGTAGGTCAGCAGTTCTCCTCTCTGAACACAGCCTGAGCCAGACCCTGCTTTCTCTTCCTGAGTCATCAAACGATTTGCCAGAATTTCCTTGAGGCCAAACCAAATGTTCTTCTCCATAGCCTCCTCAAACTCCTCACAGTGTATATCAGTAACAGCACAACATCCATTATGGCCAAGTACTGATTATTTCTTAGGGTTTCTTATCTTATGGATTCAGAATTTATGTGACGCAATATGAAAATACTAATTAGATTAGTCATTTTGGCTTTTCTAATCACATTTTTTATCTGCTCTACTTTATTAACATACAGCGCTAATTCACCTAAATGATAAAATTTTATTCTAACAATGATATTAAAAACAGCTCATCTAATGTGTTTTTCCAGGTCAGAGACAGTGGTGGAAAGGATGCTGTGTAACTGGATGTCTATCTGCCTTTACCAGTTTTTAAAGGTAATATTTTGGTTCACTCAATACAAATGTATTACATGTAATTTGTAATAATCTTTCTGAATTCTAGTCAATGCGAGTCATAACATTATTGATGTACTTAATTTGCTAATACAGAAAACAGGTATAATGAAACTTTACAACATTGAGTTCTTGCATGCATGGATTCCTCCATTTCTTTCATTATTGCTTGGTATTGATAGTGTGCATTTATCTGTCTTCTTAACTGCTAATCACAACAATTAGCATGTAGACAACATCTGAGACAACTTCTTAATGGCTTTGTGTGTGTGTGTGTGTGTGTGTGTGTGTGTGTGTGTGTGTGTGTGTGTGTGTGTGTGTGTGTGTGTGTGTGTGTGTGTGTGTGTGTGTGTGTGTGTGTGTGTGTGTGTGTGTGTACCAGGACTCTGCAGGCGAGCCCTTGTACAAACTGTTCCGAGCCATCAAGCACCAGATCGAGAAAGGGCCTGTGGACGCCAGAGTAAAGAAAGCCAAGTACACCCTCAACGACACAGGCCTGTTGGGCGACGATGTAGAGTACTCCGTCCTGGTGAGATGGACACACACACACAAAATTCAAAAGACCCCACACAAACACTCACATATACAAACTCAGTGTCAGAGAAACTGCACATACTGCTTTGAGATTGCATGGTGTTTTATGCCTGGTGAGCAGCACAAACACGCACACACACACACACACACACACACACACACACACACACACACACAGTGCAGTTGCCATGGTAACCACCAAAAACCCCACAGGCGACTGCCCGCTTTTTTGTGACATCCATTTTCAGTGTCAATGTTCTCAGCTCAGAAACTACACAGGCGACACATTCCAATATAGCAGTGCAAATGCATGGCTGCGGTGAAAGTACTACAAGTTGGTACAAGTAAAGAGTACAAGCCACATTCACAAACCCTCCTCGACCTTCCAACCTGCACCTGCTCTGCATCCATTTGGGCAGCTTTTCAGGAGTCAGGAAAAGCCTGTGCGCCTCGCTTTGGTTTCGTGTTTCATTAATGGAAGCTAATGTGAACACAGCTGTTTTCTGTTAAAGTCAGCACAAATAAGAAGACCCATGGGTAATGGCGTTGTCGAGGACAATTATCAAATTAGCCTGAATTACACGTCTTCTGTCGTGATCGATCACCTTCTGTGATTGAATTACAGAGGGAGAAAAAACGCAATGAGTTAGATTTCACAGGCACACGCAGTGTTTCCTATTGGCTTTAATTCACAGCGTGCTCTTCCCATTCACCTCAAATGCAGACAGGCTTGTGAGGGTTGCTATTGTGATTGGATTGCCTGCCCCCCTGTTTGAGTCTGTCTAGTGGTCAGTTAGTTATTTCTGACAGAGTGACTGAGTGTGGGAGAAGAGGTGGGTCAGAGTTTGCTCCCGCTGAGCCTTGGTCATTAGCTGGCCAAGGTGACAGGAGTCCTCTCAGGTGTCAGGAGAGTGTGTGTGTATTGTGTGTGTGTGTGTGCGTGTGTGTCGCTCTGTGATTGCAGACGCCTGGTTGCCATGACGACAACATCCCGACAGAATGTGTGGGTGTGCATTTGTGTGTGGGTGTGCATTTGTGGGTGGGTGGTTGGGTGCCCTGGCCATGTTTGAATATTTCTGCATATTTCTCATTTGTGTGCTGCCACGTGTCCTGCAGACGGTATGACCACGTGGGCTTAATGTGTGCTTTTTGTGTGTGCGTGTGTGTGTGTGTGTGTGTGTTTGTCAGACACTGCAAGTGCTGGTGCAGGGCGAAGGTCCAGATGTGACGCCCGTCAAGGTGCTGAGCTGTGACACCATCTCGCAGGTGAAGGAGAAGATCATAGAGCAGGTGTACAGGAACCTGCCGTACTCCCAGCGGCCCAAGGTTGACAGTGTCACACTGGGTGAGTAAATGAGGGCCACCTGAGTGGAAGATGAGTCGAGGCAGAAAACATCTAATAATGATAAATAATGTAAAGGTTACAAGGCGTGGCAAGGATGTCAAAATGGAGAAGCTATTTCTGTTCTGACTGAAATGCATTTTTAATTAAATCAGTGCACTTTTCTAAATAAGCAATTTATTTTTTATTTCATTTTAACATTTAATAGATTATTTTGAAGAGTATCTCTCTTTCTTTCTGACTGTTTGTGTCATAAAAAAAGCGTATTCAGTTATTCATTGTCAGCGACATGAAGAAAGCCTTCATCCCTAAACAAAGTTACTCGCTGCTGTTGTCAGAAACCTTGGGGACTGACTTGAAAGGCTAAAGCTCTATAGACATTTTCCAACATCAAAGCCATGTTTTATTCCCACGCATGCTGTAGATCTCATTCCTTTATACATTTTAGATAAGCAGAGATCCATCCTCTTTCATGGTGAATCAGAAAGATAACCCCCTTATTATTTTGTGGTACTTGTAAATGAATCATATGTCGCAGATGGTGTTGAGCTCAGGTCTGCAGTGGTATCGGATTTTTCTAAATTGAAAATGTTGGGGTGCAAATCACAGTTTAGAATTAGATTTTAATTATTCAGAAACCACTGATCTGTCACTTCTTCACCCAAAATTAACTCAAGTGTGTCACTAAATCCCAGCAGAGAGAGCTGGGCAGACAGTAGGATGGGTAGCTGGATTTATTTAAGACCACTTTATTACAGTGAACCCTTAGGGTGATGGTGATCCATGATGAAATAAATGCAATTGGTAAAAATATTGAAGTATGGTTATAGAGTTTACCAAAGCAGTACACCTCCATCTGGCAGCTTTGACTGACTTCCTGTCTTCACCATAGAGTGGCGTCCAGGCTCAACGGGACAGATTTTGTCAGATCTGGACTTGACTTCCCAGAAAGAGGGCAGGTGGAAACGCATCAACACTCTGGCACACTATAACGTGAGTACTGACAAAATTGATGGAAACATGCTAAAAAAAGGAAGGCTGAAAATAGCCTGGAATGTGAGGAACCAGAGGGGAAGTAAATAGCTGTATGTGGGCGTGTGGATGTGAATGGGGTTGCCTATTTTCACGCCATTTCAGGCACAGCGGTGTGTATGAAATCTATGTCTGCTGCACATTTACAGATCAGTAGACATCATATAATTTTTTGATTGATACTTTTGTAGCTACTTTTTACCACATTAAACTATTAAATGTTTATTTTACCATATTAAACTATTAAATGTTAGCAATAGTAAAATCAATGTTTTCTAACTTGCATGGGGAACGTGCCAACATAATTAAAAGAATCTGGCAATACTGTGATATTATTTTTAGGCAAAGGTACATAAGGTGCCGACTGTATAATCGAAACATCCCTGGTTGGAGTCCATCAAGATATTTGTTGCATGTCACCCTCCACCCCCCTCCTCCTATTTTATTGTCAGCTTGTAAGTGTAACATTTTGGGACATGTCCATTAAATATGAAGCTGCAGCCGGCAGACATTTAGTTAGCTTAGTACAAAGACTGCAAAAGGGGAAGCCTGGGCTCTGTATGAGTGAGCTTTAGAGATACTGAAAGGCTTATTTCGATACTGTTGAGCCTGTTATCACCTGTTTCCAATCTTTGTGCTAAGCTAACCAGCTGATGACTGTAGTCTTATATTTAACAGCCACACGAGAGTAATATTGATCTCCTTATCTGTCTTTTCGGCAGGAAGTGAAAGTCGAATTATTCCTCAACTTAAAAAATGCATTAAAAAAAAATCCCAGTAGTCTCAAATTACTCTTGACAATCTATTATAGTGCAACACAACCCTACACACAATAACACTAATTGTATCATGTCCCAGAGCAAGAACCTGAAACCACTCAAATTAGATGAGTGAATGAAAACTGTTTTTATTCTATTTTATTTTTGTAACTGAATCTGTGACTGAAAATATCCCTGGAGACAAAAGTTTATTCTATAACAATGTAAGTACGATCAATATATAATGTAGGTCAAGGTCTAATGTACAGTATAAGCTAATGTATAACATTACAGAGACAATATTGAAAATTGAAAGTGAATCCTTTAAGGATCCATCAAGTCTGTTTTAATAGAACTTGTTTTAAGTTTTATTTCTTGGAGAGTTAATGTTAGTCTGGCAGTGGGACTCATATAGTCAGTGTGTGCTAAGTATATTTACAATTATTAATTAGCATTGCACTTAAAAAGGTCCAGTGTCTAACATTTAGGGAGGGTCCACTGGCAGAAATGACCTGAATGTCGGAATTGTTGTGTTTTTGTTCCCTTAGAATGAGCCTTTATATCTACAGATGCAGAGGGTCACCATGTGGTAATGCCAAATTTGTGGCAGTCATGTTTTTTTTTTTTTTTTGCGTTCACAGCCACCATAGCTTCTCCTTCAGAAGGCAAGCGTTATTCAGATGACAGCTGCCCCTGAGTGGCCAAAAAAAAATGATTGCAGGTTTATTAAAGATGATGGAATGTGTGAGCTCTTGTATCTTGAGTAAATGTGGTCAAGATGAATCACTTACAATTTCTAAAAGGTAAACTTGTTTGTGTCCATAAATCAAGCATACAAGAAAGCACTGTATAGCCATTGTCCGTCACGGTTTACCTTTATCAGTTCAGCAACATGCCTACATTTTTTAACTTCTCATCAGTAGGCAGTAGAAAGTGCCTGGTCTCCGTTTGCTCTTGTCAGCTCTCAATGGCGACAGAACGCCACTAAATCTTCTTGGCACTGTATTGATCCTCGGAAAATAAAGGTCACTCACAAATATCCCCTACTTGTCCTGCTTTACGTCCACTTAAATCCCCCTCTTTCAAAGGTACTCCTCTTCCTTTCATCCTACCCACCGTTGTCTTGCAGTTGTTCTTTGAGGACAGCCTTGCTGCCATAGAATCATTGGCTGTGCCAGAGTAGTGCTAATCACAGTATTTGTGGGGTCAATAAAGGGTTGACGCCAAAGAAAACGGCCTGTAAATACCCCAGTAAAGACTCATTGTTGCTGTCCACTCAATTGCATTGATTATGAATTAGTTCTGGAGCACTAAAAGAGACTGCTGACCTCAGTCACAGTACTTATTGAATTCAAGGTGTGTGACGTAAGTAATTGTGTGTGTTCTCTGTCTAACAAAAGACTGTTATGTGCATTCCAGGTGCGAGATAACGCCACATTAGTCTTGTCCAGAGTTCTTCACACTCAGCAGAACTATGACCAGAACCAAGAAAACCACGAAGAGCGTACGTGTCTCTAAATACACATATGCAGACACTTGTTGAACCCGAACAAGCAAAGATCAGGTGTAAACTTGAGAATATAATGCTTGCCTTTGTTTCTTACCCCAAGGTGCTTTTGTCAACATCCCCGCTCTCATTGAACACTTACACATGCTGTTTTCTGTATAGCACACTTTTAGATTATGCTGAAATTATATGCACTCTTTTCTTCTGCCTTTCTATGTGCATTTCAAAATAGTTTTTTACAGTTTTTTGTTTAGCATTTCTACTTGGATATTCTCTCTGCATTCAAATTCAGCTGACAAACACACTCCCTTTTTTATCATCTGAATATGTTCTGTGAGAGCATGCATGAATAAATAAGCTGTAGAATTACAAGAAGAAAGTTTTACGGGTTGTTTTTCTTCCGATAGGAAATGCTTTGTTGGAAGATGATAAGGTGTTTCACTTGGTGAGGCCGGCAGACGAAATGGATGAGATCAAATCTAAACGAGGAAGTATAAAGGACAAGTCGATGACCAAAGCCATTACAGAGATCTATCTAACACGACTCCTTTCTGTCAAGGTAAAAAGACAGAATCATTTACTCAATCAGACATTTGTTAAGTAGTTATCCAATTTAACTGACCCTGCCAATTTTTGCTGTTCCAGGAATGGTTTTCGGTTAAAAAGCCAACTTAATTGATGGCTTCTAGATTTAGATAGGACAGAAGATGTTGAAATACTCTGAGAAAAGCCTGAACATCTATACTCATTTTATGTGCAAATATCTGTCTCAGGGCTTTGATATGTCTGGCTCTGCTCTCCGTTTCTGCCCTGTCTCACATTATTTGTGGCCCCTTTCAGGGAACACTGCAGCAGTTTGTGGATGACTTCTTCCGCAGCGTGCTGTGCTCTGGGGCAGTGGTGCCACCAGCAGTAAAATATTTCTTTGACTTCCTGGATGAGCAAGCGCTGAAACACAACAATGTGGATGAGGAGACCATCCATATCTGGAAGACTAATAGGTAAAAATACCGCACGCCTGAATACACTCTCATGCTAAGACTACTACTTTAATGTGTATGTATTGTAATTAGTGGTGGAAGATGTACTTTACCTAATTCAGTTCAATTCACATTTTTATAATTTTACCAGTGTAGCATAACAAAAAGTCTTGTTCGCCTTTTCTCTCTGGTGCAACAAAATAACATAATAACATAGTGCAGACACAGTAAGTAAAAAGTATCTCAGGGAATCTGAGCGGTTGTGGGGTGATTAATGGAGTACAAGAGAAGGGGAAAAAAAGATTCTGCCGCACAAATTTGCATTTGTTTTTTGGACTATCCTATGATCTTTGCATCTTTATGTAATACTAGATTTTTTTCTTCAAACCAGTCTTTATTGGCAAAAGGCTTTTTCATGGATGTTGTTGCTATTTTGAGTCTCATATAATGTCAGTTTTTCTTCTTCGAGTCTCAAGATATGTGTGAATTTTACATTAAAAGTTTCTAATACTTTACATATCATTTCCCAAAATGCAATAAACACAAAAAACGATGTGAGTGATTTTCCTCAAATTATCCATTCTCTCTTCAGCATTCCTGATGGCTAACAGCTTACTTTTTGTGGTGTAATAAAGAAATCTATTATTTTTCAAGGAGAATTCCCTTTATATCCAGGAATGTATTGTTTCACCCACTTGTTTTGCCAATTGTTGTCTAAAATCTCAGTATTACACTGTCTTTCCCATTTATCTTTTGAAATATTCTTTGTGCTTCTGAGAAGTTATGAAGAGAAGTCTTTTTTTGGTGGAATCATAGACACCTGCTCAAGACAAGAATGTTGGGAACGTAGTGTTATATAAGCTTATTAAAAGTTTTTTAATTCAAAATCTTAATTTAAAAAAGTACATAGTAACTGTAAAAAAGTACATAGTAACTGTATCTGTCAAATGTTTCCAGTGGAGTAAAAATGTTAATATTTTTCTGTGGTGGAGTAGAAGTTAAAAAAAAAAAAAAAAAAAAGCATAAAATGGGAATATTGATTCAAAAGTGAAGTTCGTCAAATTTGTACTTAAAGGTCCAGTGTGTCGGATTTAGTGGCATCTAGCATTGTTCCCCCGCTTCACCCCCCTCTTCCTAGCAGGAAGGAGAAACGATGGTGGCTGTGAAACACGCAAAAAACTTGAACGCACCTATCTAGAGTCCCTTCTGGGCTACTGTACAAATATGGCATTACCACATGGCAACCCTCTGCATCTTTAGATATAAAGGCTCATTCTAAGGGAACAAAAACACAGCAATTCCAATATTCAGGTCATTTCTGCCAGTGGACCCTCCTAAATGTTAGACACTGGACCTTTTTAAGTGCAATGCTAATTAATAATTGTAAATATACTTAGCACACACTGACTATCTGAGTCCCACTGCCTAGAGATACACTAACTCTCCAAGAAATAAAACTTACTTATCCAAGAAAGGGCTGAATACAAATGCACAATTTCAGCTCACTTAGTTTGCATTTGCAATCCCCCTGCTCCCATGTGACATTTAAGTGCATAAATTAGTGTCACGTCGGCTAAGGCTCAAGCATACAAGACGACGTGTTGCATGTAGATGCCAGTGATTGACGTAAGGCTGGCAAGAGAGCACCCACACAAGGACAGGAGATGAGCGATTTAATTACTTACTACACTCCACACCACATTCTGCATCCACCCGTTCTGTTTATCAAATCAACTGAGGGCCATGTATTAAATATGAATGTGTGTATGAGGCACAACAACAAACAAACATGGTAATTATGTCCCAAGCTAATTTAATTCTGTGATTATAGCAACATTGCTATTTTTATGCTTCTATTGTACTCTCACTGCAGCCTTCCCCGGAGATATTGCAAAACCAGTATGAATTTTACACGGTGTGCGTTTCATGTCTCAGATGGCAGGGCATTCACACTGATCAGGGAGGAAGAGTCTTTTTTTGGAAACTACTGTATTTTTCTTTTGAATTTACAAGCTGACATGAGGTTGGAAAGAAGTGTATGGAGAGTGTTTTTCCTGTTCAGAAGGGAAATTAGCGAGAGTACTCAAGCATTACATTATGTAGTCCGTGCTTTAGGTTGTTAGGCTGCGCAGGAACTAGAAAGGTCAAAGTTTTGGTGTTACTTTAGCACTTCTAATCACTATCGTTAGAGCAGACAAGCATCATTGACTGTTGCTCTGTGTAGAACGCTTTTGTTATTAAGAAAAAAAGTCTTCCGAGGTTATTTTTCTCCGTCTCATTTAATTTTCTTTGAACAGCAATAATTCTCAGAGAGGTCAGTGTCATATGAAATACTAATATTAACTGACAGTTGAGGGTATTGTTCTGAATAAACTGACACCTACAAGAAAGGCTTCTCTCCATCCCTGTTATTATCTTGTACAGTACTCAATTGTGCCTCAGGCAAGTGCTCTCACATGTGAAATGCCTCCCTGACTCGAATGAATTCGTAAATGTAATGTGGTTGATGAGATTTTCAACCATTCTGAAGCAATAATAATGATAACGACTGCGATGATGGACCGTTTTCTTTCCCTTTTTTTCCTGTGCAGCCTTCCTCTGCGGTTCTGGGTGAACATTCTCAAGAATCCCCACTTCACTTTTGACGTCCACGTGTCTGAAGTGGTGGACGCCTCGCTTTCTGTCATCGCCCAGACATTCATGGACGCCTGCACAAAGAGCGAGCACAAACTCAGCCGGGTGAGTAGAAATAGGGAGGAGGAAGGGGGGTGAAAGAGCAAGAGGGAAGATGGGAGAAAACACAAAGAAGATTTGAACCGAGTTGGTTACATGAGAAGTAAAATGGAGTGAGAAGAGGAATGTCAAAGTTCAATCAATCTAAAGTTGTTTTTACCATTTGTCCGCTTTCTGTCTCTAGGACTCTCCAAGTAACAAACTACTCTATGCAAAGGAGATCTCCACCTATAAGAAGATGGTGGACGAGTAAGTCTTATCAGCATTTTACGGTTTCTTCAATTTGATCTCAGTTTAAAATGCTTCTTGTAAAAGATTGGTAAATAACGATTACATAATGTAGTGATTACCACCTCTTGTGTCTCTCACTGTAGTTACTACAAGGGCATCAGGCAGATGATACCCGTCAGTGACCAGGACATGAACACTCATCTGGCAGAGGTGTCCCGGGTAAGAAACACAGCAGTCATTATCTGTGCCACTCAGATTACTCCGTTAAAGTTATAATCTTTAAGAATTTCAGTCCTTGTGGATTTTGCGACACCTGTGGTTACCGTGGTAACAGCACGTAAACTTTAACGCTACAGCAAACACTGCCTGAGCAGCTACTTTGTCAGAAATACAACAGAAAAGCAACTAGCGTATCTGTTTAAAGTGCAGCCAAACAAACTTGTGTTGTTTTAACAAAGATGTCCGTCAATAAGCAGCCATGAGTAGAGTAGCTTCCCACACAACAACAGGACAGTAAAAAGTTTGTTACCTTGTTGAAGAGCCTGCAGCTATTCATCAAACAGTTCACTAAATATGTTTGAATCCACCTGTTTTTATGTGCGCGTACAATTTGCGCCTAACGAAACCTGAGTGGAAATGCTGGAAATGTATTAAAATATTGCAAAAGTTTTAATGCTTGTTTGATGTGGAAAACTTGCAATGGAAACAGACTTAGCGAATAAATGATTTACATGAAGCAAGAATAGTGGCGGACAAAAAACAAGATCTGTATGGAGTAATGAGGAGACAGGTACTCTTTTACTTACGTCATCTTGTTATGCAACTTTCTTCTGTTTTAATGGCACCCAACTGGAGAACGGTCTATCTCGATGAACCAATTCCTAATATTCAGTAGTAATTAACAATAGTGGATGGAAATGAACATTGATCTGCATTTTCTTTTGCAGATTTTCTAAAAAATTTGGAGACTTACTACATGACTACTGGCTGGTCATTGTTGTTTTGGTACTCCTAGCAGCTATAACCTCAGTGCATTGAGTTTTCTGAGACTGCTTTATAATAGAGGCCACCTCAGATTTCCCCAGTTAATTTAGTTAAATGTAAACTAGCTGTAAGTTGGAAATTCTTAGTATTTGGTTTGCATTAGCAGTAACTTAATAAAGCTCTTATTACAGTAGAGTAATAGGACTCTCCTGTAAAATGTAGGAGAGTGAACAGTAAACAGCAAGGCTGATATCAATGAGATTACAAACAGTAATGCATGCCTAGTTTCCTGTGAATCCCTGCTGTGATAGGCAATTTACTGTACATTCAGCGTGAGAGTGGCGGACTCCGCCATTAACAATGACAATGAGTATATAGTGGTACTTTCTGAGTAGAAGAAGTACTGTAGGTTGCTCATTGAACTCTGCACATTTATGGTTTACATTTTCCCTTTAACCTTTAAATTGTTGTTTATGTTCTCCAGGCTCACACAGACAAACTGAACACACAAGTGGCTCTCCATCAGCTTTACCAGTACGCCAGCAAATACTATGATGGGGTAAGAGGCCCTTCTCTTTCCTATCGCACCCCAAGGAGGCTATTCCACTGAATGCACTACTGCCCACTATATTATTGCTTTTCCTTTTTTCTCTCCTCACTCTTGATATGCCAGAAGAGTGATTGTATGAAATTTTAATTGAAAGCATTTCTGTGGGATGTGAATTGGAAAATTGCTCTGGGAATTGATTTTTAAGCGTCCATTGTGCATTGCCACTTGAGGTCATGAAAAGGGGATAAACAAAACCTAATGAACAAGTTGGATAAACAAATGGGTCTGTCAGTCTCCCTTAAGTGGGGCTCACAAACAATAACAGCTTATATGACGTGACTGTTGATGTCAAATAACACCATCCTCTCCTCCCACTCTCCGCCCTTTTTTCTTCCTCTTTGTCCTGTGCTCTTTCTCTATCCGCCTCCCCTGTCCTTGTTTCTTCACTTTTCCCGACATTCCTCTTTTGCCCTCTGCTGCCCAATTCCTCCTCCTCTTCTTTCTCTTCGCTTATTATTTCCGACTTCTCCCCCATTCTTCTCCATTTTTTTCCTTTTCACCTTCCATCCCTCTTTCAGATCATCGCATCCCTAGACGAGGACCCAGCTGCCCAGAGTAAACAGCTGACCCTGCGGCTCCAGCAGATTGCAGCCGCCCTGGAAAACAAAGTGACTGATCTCTAACCCACCGAGTAGAGGGAGGGAGGGGGGGAGGGAGAGAGAGGAATGGTAGGATACTGCCAGTGACTACAGGGGCTTATTTCTTCTTTTAGAGAATAAAACATGGAAATAAGGAAAGGTGAGAAGGGACTCATGTGGGTGTGTATATTGTACAACTTGGCTCTGGGACAATTTGCTGTACTGTGGAGTAACAGGGACTAATGAAATGCAGATAGAGAGCAAAAAGGGGAAGAAAATGATGGGTTACGCTGTCATAGGTACGCCTTAAAGCTCACTTGCCAAACCTTAAAGGTCTGCGCGCTCACTCATGCTTCACTGAATATTGCTCCCACAATGCAGTGCGGTAGACCTCTTTCTGAGAATTAAGCCCCTCTGTGGCACACTGGCACAGGAGATAATCAGATGTTCAATTTCTTTCTGTGTAGAGAAAAGGTTTTAAGAATTGTATTATATATTTTTTTTATCGTGCAGTCTTTATGCGGAAAGCTTTATAAGGAAAAAAATTATCTTTTTAAATGGATCACCTTGTGGTGCGGATAGTGTTTTTATTAGCCTGTGTGTGCGTAGATGTCTGTGTGAACTACAACATGTGAACAAAAGTGTGCATTGCAAAACTTGTGTGAAAGTGTGTGTGAATGTGTGGGAATGTGTGTGCACACACAGGATGCCTACTGTCAGGCGTGAGGGCGAAGGGACGCCTGCTTTCTGTCATTTTAATCCCCCATACCCAGTGGCACACTGGAGCCTGCGCTCTCTCCGAGCTTTTTGACAGAGACCAAAGGGTCCTCACAAGGACAGTGGTTAATCTAACAATGTCCAGGCTCATATGAATGACAGGTCACCAGTAGTTTCAGAAATGTTTGAGTTAAATTCTTTTTTTGCTTTTGACTCAGATTTGCTTCAAGCTGGATTGCCATTTGTGCTTGTGGAAGTCGATAATAGCACAGTCTGTCTCCCTTTATTGTACAGTGCCATGATACATTCCACTTCAACTAAAGCACAGAAGGACATTTCAAAAGTTTTTTAAGACATTTCATTTAATGACTGTCCAGATATTTCTTCTTCTTTTTTTTGCTATAAAACTTTTTTTGTCAGCAAGAAGCAACTTTATTCTGCCATGGAGCCATGTCACTCATATTAGCCCTGCAATAATGTCCAAACACCATGAGCCACAAACGGCATTAGTCACATTAGCTTACTAAATGTATTCACATACTGTAGCAATTCAGCAATACGTTAGAGAAATTTCCAAACTGGTTCATGCATTGTTAGTGTTCATGATTTTTAGTGCCATCTTTTTAGTATTACCGTTGTAATGTTCCAAATAATCATCAAGCATTCTGCCTCTAAAGCTATGAAATAGCCTATTGCTGATGTTAATTACCTGCCAGAGAGGCAGTTGGTACTTAAGTGGTATGTTTTGAACAAATTACAGTGGTTTTAGGCTTTGTCTAATGTTAGTGAGGTCAGGTTCAATCATGTACATAAATGTTATAGTAATTGAAATGTAGATATGTCAGTGTCAGAGCCGAAGTGTCGACAGGGTAGGAATGAGGGTTTGATATTTCTTGGTCCATTAAACGCCACCACGTTTCATCCCTAAATTATGGGTTTAGATGTTGACAGATGATTTAATTGTACTCCCTGTATCTGATCATGGATGTGTGTAGTTGACAGAGCATAACAAGCTCCAGAGACCCCAGAATGTTAACGATTCCTGCCTTGGCTAGAGAGAGGTTTGCACAGACCTCGAGCCTGCCTGCCTGCCTGCCGTCTCAGCATGGCACGCTGGCATCCCGACCAACAGCACTTGGCACTGCCCACTCAGCGCAGTGCAGAGTGGCACTCTGTATAATGGAATCAGCAGGGGAGGCTTTTGATCTTAATTGCATGCCGACTGCAGACTCCATCCTTGTCTCCGCTGTTGTTTACTGCTGACTCCTCTCACTGACAGAGTTGATGCAAGAAGCTTCTTTCAGAGCCTTTCTTTAACCAAAAATGTGCCTTATTAAATAGGATGATACATATATATTGTTTCTAAATTATTCTATTGGTAACCTAGGTGATTATGATGACGATAGTGCTATAGACACAGCAATGTACTTGGACTTGTGATATTATGTGTGCTGTCTAAAATGCTAGATGCCCTGCTGCAGCCATTTGCGTGCCAATAGGCTGAAGACATTTCAGTATGATTTCTTTTATGGTTGCAGTTTTAATGTGTGCATTTCCTTTGGGTGTCTGTGGCGTGTGCTTAGTAGGACTTTGGTGGCAAATTCAAAAGGCCAAAATGAATAAATGTAAAACAGTGGCCAATGTGATTTGGGTTTCCCTTGAAATTGTCTGGCATTCCTAAATTAGTCTGAAATTAAAAGGGTATCCTTATGTAGATTGAATATAGCGCAAAAATTGTTCCAACGGTGTTAATTTTTTTTGCCCTGTGTTTCTAAGCTATTCCACAGTGTGTACGATAAATGACTATCTATACTCGACAAATGACCTTTCTTACTGCTGTGCAGTTATTATTTTTATTTCTTGTTTCCTATACCATATAAATCTTTGTAAAACATGTTGAAATACTGTATTCTAACTGTATAATCCTATGCATTGAGTCCTGGGACAAAAAAACAAAAGAGAAAAAAAACTGTTCGTGCAGTTGTCGAGACTTTTTTCCATTTTGAAACTTGTGAATGTGCTGTAATGATAAAAGAAACTGAGAGAGACTTTTAGTACAGGGCCATTAATGGAAGCCAATGATTTCCTCCCCATCCAAGGCAGCTCAGAAGATTCTCGATCTTGTACCAGATCTGGTTGAACTGGATGAACTTAATTTTACAAAGTTGTGTGTGGACGAAGCAGTTACCCACAGGTGTCATCATACACTCCTCCGTGAATAAACTCAGAGACATATATGCCCTTCATATCTGCTGTGTTTCTTTCACTTTTAGAATATTGATTTGCTTCAGTTGAACACTCACCTCCCATGCATATTGCATGAGTTACAGTCACCTTGGGTGATAGCGTAACCACTTGCCACAGGTAGTCAATGTCTTGTTGAAGTGAACTGAATCTTTTGCTGTAAGTCTTTGGTCTTTATACAGCTCATTACATTACCCTTAGATTCACTGAAGAGCTTACACACAACCAAGAGTAATGGGTGGATTTATGAAAATGATGCTTTTCAAACAAACCATTCACTTCATGAGGACCAAGTGCTTGAAAATGACAGTTTTCTTCAGATATTTGTGCACATAATGATGACCCCCAAATGACTTTCTTGATAGCATCAGTCCTCATGTGCAGCATACCCTATGATCGCTGATGCCTTTTCCCCAAATGCCACATCAGGTTCCTGTCAGAATACAGACTAGAAGCCTAAGATCTGACTTCATGAAATGAGCTGATAATGTAAATAGCCGCACAGCATATCTGTCATCGGCAGTGAAAGTTGAAAAATTGCTGCGAAAACATTAATTAAGTAGTGACAGCTGAGAGAAATTGGAAAAAAGAAAGATGAAAGGCAAAATTGCCTCATCTTACTGCTTAACAAACCCAGACGCAAGGGTGGGATATCAAAGACAGACCAGAGGCCTGTGCAGGCCATCTTCCAACTGAGCAGATCATTGATGCAGCAACAGATAGAGCAACTTCAAGGGCTGCTGCCAAATCAGGAGTGATTACACTTGATTATCGCAAGCGCTGCATCTTGTACACTGTCCTTGATCACTGGTGGAAAATCAAAGGCAATACTGTACTTTTATTTTTTAAGACCTGCAACTTACATCATTTTGGGAGTCAACAGTATTTGCTGTGCACTGCACTTGTGATAAGATTTCTAAATAACCGTGCCCCCCAATGTCTAGGAATCAATGGTATAGCACAGTAAAAATAATTATTTAAAGTCAGCCTCTTTGGAGGGTTTCTTACAAGAAATTGGGTTAAAATCTGCATGCTGCTGGCTTCTTTTCTCCTGCTTGGGATCCTCCATACACAGCAGCCAGCCTCTCCTTCAGCAGGAGATGGTGCTTACCAGCAGGTTCTGTTTCACTTCCACGTTTCAAACCTTCTAATGAGATTTGGCTTTGATTTCTTCTGCCTTTGGGGAAGAGGAGGAGGAGGAGAACTTGGTGAAAATAAAAACAATGATGGTGTGGTGTCATTTTAAACAGTTGTTGGGATGAATAATTCAAAACCTAACAACTGATTCTAGGACTCTCTAAGCTCAGTGATCACCGGAGAGCAAATTAAAATATCTTGTTAGGGTAGCTTGCATTTTTACAGACTTAGAACTACTGAATTTTTCGAGTGGTTTGAATTTAAAGTTCTGTAAGAGCGACCCAGACGCAGACATTTAAATCAGCTGCAGTCTCCTTGACGTAACAGCTAAGTTTAATGGGCTGGGAGAAGAGAGAGCCGACCGACTTATTTAAAGAAAACTGTTCTCCGGGAGATGCAGAGTTACAAGCTACAAACCCCAAATATTAAAATGATAGTAAATTCTGTCTGTGTATAGTAATTATAGTGCTTTGGAAGACAATATATCTGTGCACTTTGGTTACAGCTATAGTGACTTGCAGTACAATAAAAATGGTCTCCACTATTAATCTGCTGTCTGTTTCCTTTAATTTACTTATTTATTTGGTAATTTATTTAAATATGTAGAATCACTGAGATAAAACTTTTTTTAAGGGACCTACGCACAAAAATCACCATGTACAGTGTGAACATAGACAAACATACATTTACCACGTATGGTTTACATGCACAGTATACAATTTGCTGGTATTGGTTCCACATTAAAGAAAACAATTACAATTACCATTCAAAGTGCTCAAGTGTACCTATTGGTATTAAATCTTAGAAAGAAATAAGTGTTTTTGTAACTCAGTTCCAAGTTCATTTTGAACATGCAGTATAGCTTAAGTTAAATTGTCCTATGTAATAAACTAGTCATATACAGTGTTTAGTTATTTAAATGTGCACTTCTACCAGTGTGATCCTACTTTGCATAACAACTGTAGTAACCTCAAAAGAAAGGGTGCTTGGAGATTTGCTGAGGTAAAAATATCACACATCCAGAGAAGGTCCCCTACTCCAAATATGAATATGTATTAAAGAGCAGCAACTTGTGTTTATAATACAATTTTACTAAAGTTTAAAGTTTATTAATGTATAATTAAAGGATAGGTTCACATTTGTTTCAAGTCTGCCTTAAAACAATAATCACTTTCATAGGTACATTAAAAGAGTAATTGTTTTCTGCAATGATTCGTCTTGTCCATACTGGCCTGAAGAGATCCCTTTCTAATGCAGTTCCAGAGTGAGAGATGGAGGACAATATCCACTCAGATTGGGAATACTCTCATTTGATTTGACTGACTCAGACTTCATTAAATACCTCATTTTAGCTTAGGCTGAACTTGCAAATTTTTGTAAATCCAAAAACCCCATTAGCCTACTTATTGGATGTGCACTAGTAGGGGACAGCCAGTAAGGACAGGAGGAGCATATAGGTCTATAGGGAAAATGTTGACCTTTCCTGAGGTGTCAAACAGTGCAATTTTAGGCGATGCACATCTGGAGATGAAGTTCTGGTCATTCCTGTCTGCTGCTGCATGATGACCAACTACAGGTATTTAATCAGTGGTTTGTATTGTGTCTAACTTGTGTAAGTTTCTATATTAAGAGCAATATGACTGCTTTTCCATACTCTTCTGCTGCATTCAAATCCATGGGATTGCAATGAATTAAGAGCAAGTTAAAGTAATTCATCCATGTTAAATGAGTGACATAGTTGTGTATTTTTGGTTGTTTTGTTGATTGTTATATTTTATTTTATTTGAAATCAATGTACAATTTCCTATCCGGAATGTACAGTGTTTTCTCAATGACGTCTGCAAAAACTGGCACAAACAGTAGGAAGCTGGTATTTACATTTTTTTCCGTATTACCTGAATGCAGCAAAGCGCGATGGCAAATGACAGTTGTGCCATCCTATGATTGACAAACGTCAACAACCAATCAGCGAAGCCTCTGGAACATCCTTAGCCAATCACCGGAGGCTCCATATTCTCTTGTCCAATCATATTCAAAGAGGCTGATTCTAATTTTTGTGGCATCCCCGCGGCAGATAGATGATGGAAGATGAATGGAGCGACTAGCTAGCAACTAGCTAGCGACAACAACATCACAGCACAGTAACTGGCAACAGTAAGCTGGAACAAGAAACCACTGATTAATGAAAGCAGTTTGGAGCTGTTTAAAGGACCCACCTACTGGGTTCCGCATATTTGCCATATAAGCTAAGCAGGACAGCCAGTTGGTACTGTGGGCGTGCTAATAACAAACCTTAGCATGCACGGGAAGGAGTCCCTTTGGGTCTATACAAGATTTAAACTGTCTGAATCAACGGAAAACACACCATTTCGAGAGGGTAAATGATTCAAGAAGTATCGTTTTAGCTTGGGCTTGCTTATTAAATATGCAGTTTGATATACAGTGCGAATTTCTAACGTAGCTAAATGCTTAGCTGGTCACCGTCAGCTGGTCGTGGTGCAATATACTTTTTACTGTCTAGTAACTAGTCGTAGAGAGTATTCTGTAGTCTGTCGTAGACATTTTGCTTTGACTGAGCATATCTGGTTATTGTCTAAAATATATCGTTGTTATGTTATCATATTATATTGATATACTAGCAGACGTGCACCGTGTATTCCCAGTTATTATTTTATTGTTAACTTAAACCTTATTTTGTTTCACTCTATACAGGCTGAGGCAACAGTGCTACACCATGTACTCCAGCCATAACAACCACATGAAGCCCAGCTGCAACAGCAGCAGCATCACTGAGCTGCTGTCTGCCCTGTGTGACTCCAGCCTCACGGGGGTATCATGGAAACGCCGTGCCCTCGGTGGAGTCTCAAGAGAAGGTTTCCGCAGAGCTCTCAAGAAGTGTGCCTATGGTGCCCTGCTGTCTAAGCTATTCCAAGATGGCACCAAAGGGTCTGCCGCAGGACCGAGTGCCACAGCTAATACACCACCCAGAAATAAAGTCCTGATGATATGTTTTGACTTGCGGGTGGCAGGGTGCCGAGAGGAGGCAGAGAGGTTGGAGGAGCTGCTGGGGAGGCTGCCCGAGGGAGCATCCTCTGGCCTGGAGGAAGTAGACGCAGTCCTCAAGCTCCTGGTGCACTTGGCTGGTTCGGCTCCTCCACCCCCTACCTCTTTCAGCAGGGACTACATGAGACTAGAGAGGCCCGTGTTGCGAAGACCTCAACCCTGGGGCTACCAGAGTGAGGAGCTGCAGAGGCTAGAGGCCCGGGCGTGGGGTCTAGTGTGTGGGGAGGAATGGGGGACTTTGGAGAGTTTGTGTGGAACACAGAGGTTGATGGATGCCCCGCCAGGCACAGGACTGCTGGCTCTGAGAACTAAATTGGAAGCAGAAGAAAGATTTGAGCGGGAGACCAGGTTGACGCTGTTTGGAGCACTGCAGCACACTCGCACCTCTGACATAGACATAAGACTGGACCTGCCTCCCGTTCCCAGTAATATTGATGTAACTGGGCTGGCTATAAGGGTATGAGACTCATCTAAGCTAATACATGTTTAGTTGGAGTTGTTTTGTCATATGGCCAGATCAGTCCTGTCAGTTTCATTCTGGTTGGTTCCTATTTGCACAAGTGCTTGATTAAGGTTTTAAACACCAGTGTTGTGCAACAGTTTCATCAGGCTTAATTGTTGTTTGTGCAGGTCCCTTCCTGTTTAGATCAGTCTGAGGATGAGGGCTTCCAGTCAGCTTCCAACCTGACCCCAGACTCTCAGTCTGAGCCCAGCCCCATTCCAGACGTTGATATATGGGAAGCTCTCCGCACATTTGAGCCAGAAAGACGCCGCTGCTGGGAGTCTGTTGGCTGGTAAGTTGCATTGCTGTTGAAAGTTTGATCAATAAGCATGTCAAATACTTTCCAGAGAAAGTTTTAGAGAGTTACAGAACAAAATTAGTTAACATGGTAGTAGGTAGTGGTAGGGGTTACAACTACTAATTATTTTAATGATTTATTAATCAGTCAGTTATTTTTGATTAAAGAACCAGTCTGTAGGATTTAGTGTTGAAGTTGTAGAGTGCAACCATTTGACTACAGCTCAGCCTTCCAACATGTAGGAGAAACTATTTAGAGTCAGTGTTTGTTTGTTCTCAGCTACTGTAGAAACATGGCGGTTCAACCTTTTGACTCCGTAAAAGAGGACCTCAGTTAATAATACGCTAATAACAACATACCTATGCATATAATATTTATTGTATTATTATATTTTATATGTCAGAAAATGGGGAAAATAGCCATCACAAGTTATGAGTCTGAGGTGATGTATTCAACTTGTTTTTGTCAGACCGACAGTTGAGACTTATTAGATATTTATTTTAAATTTTTTTTTTTTTAATTTTTTAAATTTTTTATTACTTAGATATTTAATTTCAAACAATTTTACAACAGCGAAAAGCATCCCTTATTAAGAGCTGAAACCAGTGGATATTCGGCATTTTTGCTTGATAAATGAGTTGTGATTAATAAATTGTATAGTTGGAGAGGAAATCTCTGTTGATTGCCTAGTAAATATGGTATACTGTGATATAATATATAGGACAAATGAAGAAAATCCAAAAAAGCAGTTTAGCGAGTAGGAGAACAAAAGTGACCAATGTATTAGAGAGCTCCACTTATAGTTATGTTTTTAGTTTCACTCTCCCTCTCTGGAACACAACATCAAATTATACTTAATTTCTCCTACCAGCCCACCGGGAAAACGTGAGTCACTCTATCTAACAGAGGGAGGCAGGGAGGCCTTTGACAAACTGTATCGTCTCTGGGAGGGGGAGATGAGGGTGGTCAGCACAAGTACACCCTCCCCTCTCCTCCCACTGCCCCTGGACTCTCAGAAACAACTGGTGTCTGACCTCCTCAACGTCTTGATAGGAGTGACGTCCACGACCTTCCCTCTCAACCAGGTGCATTTCATTATCTTTATTTATCTGTCTCTTTAATGCAATAAAATGCAATTGATCTTTTTTAGGGGTCTGTCACACTGACGGTGAATATAGTGATAAAAGCACTTTGACAGCAAACAATTACGAATAAACACCGAGATGAGAATTAGAGATCAGAATCAATGGACAGTCTGTGTGATGTGTGGTAAAAACAAACCCAATGGACTTATAAAGGCATATTGCAGCAAAACTACAAAAAGAAAAAAGTGCCAATGTCAGACACACACTCAATTCAGTTGCCTGACAACACGACAGCACGACATTACGTGGAAATGAATGGAAAATGCAGAAAATAAAACCCCAGGATAGCTCTTCTGTTGCTTTATTGTTTTCATTTCCAAGTTTTTATATTTCCAGAAGATAATAGTTGTTTACAACATAAAGTGAATCCTCTCTTGTTTATTCCCATAGCCCCTTATATTCTCTCTAGTGATTTTTATCATTAACATGTGTTCTAGTACAAGAGGTGGACACGATATCATGAACACTTGTAGAATCGAATGTAATCTAGTATAATAATCCTGCATCAGATTAAACTTCTGCAAAGCTTATAATGTTAAAAGTTTTGCTGTGACTGTCAGAGATGTGTTTATTAAACTCATAAGGTAATCTTTGAGGCTGTGGTTTGTGGTAGTGTTGTGCTAGATTGCGAAATATTGTCCGTGTTATTTTTGTTCCCCCAGAAGAGTCCTGTCTAGGAACTTTGTATCCAGTTCTCATAAAACAACCATGGGAAGGACAACATAACAAACACCTGATTATGTATTGCAGTCTAATATAACAACACCACAAACCTTCGGAAATCACCATGGAGGTGGTGCCGGTAGCCTCAACAAAAATTCAATATCATAAGCTTTACAAAGATGGTCCTGCTGCAGGGCTATTTTATTGGACGTTATTAGACTGTACAGTTATTCATTGTATTTTCTCCACTATCTGTAAATATGTAATCACCTTTCCAGAGTGTTCAGTTTGACGTCAGACCTGGTGTGTGCGTGTCGGGGGCATCTCCAGAGAGTGTGTCTCGTCTCTTGGGGGAGCTGGCCCAGTACGGCACCTACTACTTGAGGCTGAGTCGCTTTTCTCTGCAGAGTGCTGACAAAAAAGGACTAGTGTTTCAGGTATGTTTACATAATCATCATTAATACTGTTGCACATTGTACCCCCTCTCTTCTCCACTCATATTATTCTTGTTGTCACCATTGTTGTTGTTACTAATTCAATTCGAAATACTGTATCCGTTGCTCGTTGTGAGACTGGTGAGTTTGCAAATAAATAAACAAACCATTCATACACACACATATAAACAATCTAAAAGTACAAATATGAGAATGTAAGAATATAGTTTTACTTCACTGTGGAAACCTGAAATAATATTCAACAGCACAAAAGCACATTAAGTCAAATAGCACAAGTGACCATTTCAGTGGTTTCTATCAGCATAGATGAAGAAATTAAAAACATTTTTGTGTTTCTCTCTAAGGCTTTTACAGGTGGTCTGCGGAAGTATCTGCATTACTACAGGGCTTGTGTTCTCAGTACTCCACCCACCCTCAGCCTGTTGACTATTTGCTTCCTCTTCCGCAAAGTGGGGCGCCAACTGAGGTGAAGTCAGACCCTTTCTTTTATGCTGTGTCTTTTTTTCACACTTTTGAACTTCAGCCTCACCCGGGCGACAGTACAGTCGTGTCTCGACTGAAAGGACCTTGATGCAAATATCATCAGATCAAAAAAATCTCCTCTTTCTTTTAATCTAAGGTACCTGTCAGAACTGTGCTGTGTAGATGGACCTTTGGGTGCAGGCCAGACCACCTTCCCTGTGGTGAGTGCTCTTTTATCTGCAAACTGCAATATGTCATCCATCATGGCTGTGTTTAGCCTATCAGATGGGATGTCAGCTCAGTGCCATGTGGCTCTCCTCAGGGTGTTAAACTGCTGTCCTACCTGTACAATGAAGCACAGAATAACTGCAGCAACGAGAACTATCCAGTCTTGCTGTCGCTGCTGAAGAGCAGCTGTGAACCTTATACACGGTCAGTCACCAGCATGTCTTCAAAACAAAATAATATAACCCAAGGACATGACTTTACTTCATTGATATGCAGAACTTGCTCTATTGAATCTGACTGTTTACCGTGCTTCACTTAGGTTTGTGTCTGACTGGGTATATAGCGGCGTCTTTCGAGATGTTTATGGAGAATTCATGATCCAGGTCAATGAGGAGTATCTCAGTTTCAGAGGTGAGATCACACATCCACACACGCACACACGCACACACTGTCAGCAGGTTCTGAAAATGAAAAAGCCTGGCAGACAGATTGTCTAGCAGAAAAAATAAATGTCATTACTGCTTTTATTGCCTAGTTGGATTTGTCCTTGTTTCTATAAAGGATGTCATGAAGTTATTGGATGATAATCAGTGGGAAACAGAATCAGCCACCACAGCTGTAGGGACCAAAGCCATCTCTCGCTCAGTAAACCACAGGGATAAACACAAATAGATTATGTTGCTTCTCTTCAGTTGGTACATCACACTGACTAGAACAAAACATTTTCTGAAATAAATGTTCCTTCTTCGATTTTTTTTTTCTTCTCCTGTATTGCCCTTGACAAATCTGGACTAGTTGAATTAATTTGTTTTGTCCAATTAATGACTTTCTCTCTTTAAGGATAGCAGAGGACTAGTGGTAAGACTGTAGGAGATAATCCGTGCAGGGCAAATAAATACAGACCCATCTGTACTCTACAGGAACTGGCTGACTGTAACATTCAATAGATTTTTGATATTCACTGTTTGATTTTAAGACACATTTACTTGTTACAGCTCATAGTGACGGATACAGTTAGGGCTCAAACTAACAATGATTGTTATCAATAAAACAGCTGATCATTTTCTTGATTTACATTATTACATATTACATATGTATATTATACATTACATTTAAGACCAAGAAGAGCAGTTGAATTGAATCCTCACATTTATGATCCTGGAAGCAAAGATTTTTTTCTGCTTGAAAAGTGATTAAAATGTTCATTGGTTATCAAAATAGCTTTGATCAGCTAATTGACTAATCATTGTAGCTGTAGTTACAATAATAGAACTGTATTGTTTAAACAGTGACTCGTAGGAATAAAATCTATTTTTTTTATTTAGTATTTTGATTCTTCAGAAATGAAGAAAACACAATATTTACATTAGGGTAGAGCTTAAATGAGATGAATTGATCAGATTGTCAATTGACAGAAAATCAAAATTAATCAAAAAGTAATTTTTTAGGTAAAAATGCAAGGATAATGTTGCCTTTCTTTGGCATATGTGATAATACACTGAGAAAGCATAAGGAAATGTAACCTTGGGTTCTTGGCATTTGTGAACATTTTCAGAAATTTTATTTACCAATTGGCCGATTAATCGATAATGAAAATAATTGTAAGTTGCAACCCTATATTTGGGAATTATTCATATGTAAAGAATAATATCGATGACATTCTATTCCTCAAACAAGTACGCACTGTAATTGCTTCGTTTTGACAGCACTCCATAAATATGGTTGTATAATAATCATTATACCCTGTCCAAATATTGTATGTCATGCAACACCCCATTCAAGGTCAGACTATCACCTCGGCTTTGTCTGGCTAAGAGGTTCATTTGCTCATCGGCTACACCTCATCAACTTCTGCAGTGAACCTCTGCTCTTCTCGCTCCTGCTTTTTGGAGGACACACAAATGTCATTGTTCTCCTCGTAGTCCGTCGGCCAGGGAAGCAATCAGCAGCTAAGCTTTCTTGGCAAGCCGCAGGCTTTCTGTAAAGAGCTCTGGAAGCTCAGTGCATTCATGTTCTCTTATGCTTTTTGCTTAGGATCACTGAGCTAAGCGCTAACAATTTCCAAGTGTTAATTCAAGCGGCCAGAGTTTTGCCATGCCCCGTAAGTCATACTAATATGGAAAAGTTTTAGGCCAAGTGCAGGCTGAGTATTACTCCACCACTATTGCTTTTTGTACTTCCGTTGTTAGTGTCATGTACTGTTATCCAAGGCATAATGGACCTGTAAAACTACTTGGTCTGAATTATAACAGCTTGTGATAAGTGTCTTTGAATTTCTGCAGACAAACACTTCTGGGTCCAAGGCTACACTCTGATCTCAAAGGATGTGGAGGATTGTGTGCCCCTCTTCCTGAGACACATTGCAAATGACGTGTACGTGTGTGGAAAGACCATCAACCTCCTCAAGATCTGCTGTCCACAGGTTCGTTTTGCACATTTGACACATTCATATATGCAGACGGGGGAGTGTATGCAGATGAACGTTGTGTAAAGATACCTGATATATGAAGCCTTAATTATATTCTTAATTTATTCAGTACGAAGTCACTGTTGTGTGCAGTAAATAAATTAGGCATATAGAACGTTAATCCTTGAATTTACACTACTGTAGAGATTGGCACAGTTTGTAAGCAGCATCCACAAAATCCACTCCGCAATTGTCCACCTGCCACAATAATGATTGTACCCATTTGGAAATCCATACCGCCCAAAGGGGATGGGACAAATAATCAATACTGCGACATAAAGGGACACAGGCTCTTGCAAAAGGTCATCGATACACACGCATTAGTATTGGGATGAATTCTCTTGTGGTACTTAGGCAAGTGTGTTCATCCTTCATTGCAAACGTTTGAATTATGGACTGTTCTGCTCTCTGTGACTGCAGACTTTTGCCACAGTTGCCAGAGTCCTTTTTTTGGTGTGGAAAAAATTAACCATTTTAGATGTACATTTCAGTGCTGTTGTGATTTTGTCACATTTGAAAAGCAGGAACAGTCAAATGTGTGACATTTCTGCTATAAAAATAATCTATAACTATTGATTGATTGGTCAAAATAGTTGCCTATAAATTTTCAGTTGACTAATCCATTAATCAACTAATTGTTTCAAATCTAGACAATATAGTCTTGCAATATATTGCATATTTCAGAATTGCCTACATGGTGATGCCACTGGTTTTGTGCACTAAATATTATCCATGTATCATTACAAGTTACCATGTGATTCCCCACTACTGCCTGCAAACATCTGTATAAAACCCTAAAATTAAGACTTGTCTCTGTATATGAACGGACCCCTCACTTGGAATGATGACAGTAGGTAGTAGCATGCCAGACAAATGGAAACTATCAGTGAGGCTTTGAACTTTCTGTGTAATCTAATTAATTGTATTTAATGTCCTCACCTCTCTGTGACTCACCTGCTGATTCACCAGCACATAATGTTTTTTATGGCTTGACCTACCTGACCTAAACCACAGGGCACATGCTCTTGACTAATTGGCATTCTGTAACTACAGTGTTTCTCTGTATGCTAATTTACACCAGTGTTAGCTCTGTTATTCCAGGACAAACTGCAGGGTGGCTATGAACGCATGTGAAATTATGGATATAAAAAAGGTGAAAGAATCATTAAAATGTGCTAACTAACAGTTATCCAGTTGGTTTGATGTGGCATATTAATACGGTATTAGGAAAGAAGTACATTGTGGCTAACGTTATAAATTAAACAACCACTACAATACTAGATTACTGTGTGGGTTTGTTTTTCAGGTGTAGTTGTAAAAATGTGTTAGTTCTTCTGGCTAAATGTTTGACAGACTGCAAGGCACATTGCTTTCCCCTACTGCGGATAATATATGTTTGTTGTGAAATGTACAAGAGTTGTAAAAAAAATAGTTTATTCCAGCTGCTCCACTGTAAGGATTTGTTGCTTTTTTGTTTTATCTGATGGTATAGACATTTTTCATTCCTTCCTGAGGTTTAAATAGACCAGTCAATTAATCAGTTGATAATGAGCAAATTAATCAACAGTAAAAATAATTGTAAGGCAATTGGAGAACAAAGGAGGATCGGAGGACACTGATTAATTCACAGCCTTTAATCATGCAAGAAGACTACTACAGTGTCTTCTAGAGTCTGAGTCAAAGTGGTCAACCACATACATGTTCAACCAAGAGCAGGTGTACAACTGTCATTGGATGATTGGCAGGATAAGGAATCCGAGGGTGGGAGTTGCTAAAAACAGTGTTCCACACCGTTACATCATGTCAACTATGTAAAAATAATTGTGATTTGCAGCCCTAAAAGGAAATTTGGGGTCTCTGATATGAAAACACATCATCATGTCACCACATTTAGTCACTACAAGCATTAACACTTAAATGTCCAGTGTGTAACATTTAGGAGGATCTATTGGCAGAAATGGAATATAATATTCATAGGTATGTTTTCATGAGTTTATAATCACCTGATTATAGGAATCGTGTTTTCAGAACCGCCATGTTTATACAGTAGCTCAGAGTGGACAAACCAAACACTGGCTGTAGATTGGCCCATTTGCCACCGTAGTTTCTCCTATACACCTCACAGCCCGTTCTCATTCCCTGGTCGTCAAATACAAACGTGAACTGTGTTTTAGTTAGTAGTAATCTGCAACTTCACTGCTAGATGCCATTCAATTCATACACACTGGTACTTTAAAACAACAAGCCTCCCTTATAGTGCTAACTTCCTGTTAACTCTATGTCCACAGCACTACATCTGCTGGTCAGAGCTGCCGGTGCCTCGCATTGCTGTCACCTTCTCCCTCCAGGAGGTGGAGGAAATTGAGAGGGACTGTGCTGTGTACCGCGGACGCCTGGAGAGGGTTGCAAAGCACAGTGCCCTCAGCAGGGAGGAACAAGTATTGAGACACATGCATATTGTTCCCATGCAGTAGCATCTGAACTGTGATGTATTTTTTTTCTAAAGTCTGATTGATAAATATTGCTTCTCGTCAGTTACATCTGACAAAGCGTCAAATTAACATAAAGAAAGACGTGGTGTTTTACATGCAGTGAATTTTAGTAGACATGGCAGTCAACATGGTGTATTACCTTAATAAAGACACCGTTATGTCTCTGCTAGCTGCCTCTAATAGATTTTTTAGAAATCAAGGGAAGCCTAAATATCCAGGAGGGAAGGCAAACCTGCTGTAAGACAAATCATTACACAGGTATTGTCCCTTAAGACAGAGAGTTTCTTTCTTCTTTTTTTTTTTACATAACATGATCCATGATGGTGACACTGCTCAAGTACTGAGAGTTTCAGTAGCGAATCATTAAAATGATGCAGCTGAAGTCTGGGGCTTGCCCGCTGCTTGATGTAGTGTAACAACCTGGTTTCGTATAGCCTATATTGGGTGTGCTGTTGGCGGTGATGACTGGCAGAGGTGGGGGAGGAAAGGTGAGCTACAGGGCAAGCAGATAGATCTTTGTTAATGATGATTTCTTGTCTGTCTATTGTAAGGCCCAGCGAGCAGAGCAGGCACGCCAGGAGCTGATCAATCAGGTCAGAGAGTCAGCAGCCAGAACCCTGGAGAGCATCCGCGGTTAGTGTTACACTTACACACACGCACTTACACACATGCTGTGAGTATAATTTTATAAAGCTCTTGATGTATATGCATACCCCCGTCCTACTTTAGTATACTTTCAACAAATCGGCTCGGCTCTGAGTGTAACCCACACTCGCTGGTTGACTCTTGACCACAAGTTCCTTTTAGCTTCATTCATTCCTCTTAGGAGAGCCTCAGAGGTGCACAAGGGCAGTAGCACTGAAGAATGTGTAGTACGGCTTCTAGTATTATGGGTTGTGAAATCTAATCATCACTTGCACAGTTTAGCAAACTCCTCACATAATTTATTACTTCAAAAGATGTGTGGCAAAGTTTGGGAGGGGTGGTGCAAAGTCTGGCCTGATGCTCTATGCGTGTCTTGGCATAGGCATATTTATCTGTGTGTGGGGGGGGTGAGACACAGATGGTGATGTTGTTTTGTGTGTATGTGTGCATGTGAGAGAGACGGTGATATTATGTACTTTTCATGTGGGGGGGGTTAAGCGGCCCACTGTTATCTCTTTCGACTCCTGTAGGGCGGCAGGTGTCACAACGTCTGGCTGAGGAGGCCAAGAAGAGAGAGCGTTTTGAGGAGCTGAAACAGCACCTGGAGCAGGAGCAAGAGGTACTTGTGTGTGTGTGTGTGTGTGTGTGTGTGTGTGTGTGTGTGTGTGTGTGTGTGTGTGTGGTTGTGTGCGTGTGTGTGTGTTGTGTGTGCGTGTGGTTGTGTGTGTGTGTGGTTGTGTGTGTGTGGTTGTGTGTGTGTGTGTGTGAGAGAGAGAGAACAATATGTTGTGTGAGAACAGAGATTTTTAAAATATGCTTGTGTATTTGTTCACAAGAGAAATGTGTGAGAGAGTAAGATGGGGAGCATGTGTCTGTAAGAGAGTAAGGAAAGATGATGATGTATTAGAAAGAAAAAGACAATCTTTTATATCTTATATTTCGAGATGTTGGTGATGGTGGTATGGTAGGTCATTGCCTTGCCGCCGTGTTGATCTGGTTTGAAATCCCAGCTATAGGAGGGTGTAGCTGTTTGTTGTATAATATGACTGCAAGCGTCCAGTGTTGGGAAGTGGCACGACCCCTCACGTACAAAAAACGCCCCTGTGGACACAAACCTTGAGAGTGAACCAGAACAGTAAAGTTGCAGCCGAAAAGCTAAACAATGAGTCGAAACTTGATATAAAAAACTATGTCTAACTATCATTAGATACATTGTTATTATAAAAATATTGATTAAAGCCACTTTGAAATCTATTAACACATCTGTCAGATCAGAAATGTACTAAAGGGAGAACTTAAGGTAAACAGAGGTTTAGATTCATACATTTCACCCACAGCTGTTGATGCCCATTTTAGAAGCTGAAAGCAATGATGTATGTGGTTGTGTGTGTGTCTGTGTCTCTGTCTCTGTCTCTGTCTGTGTCTGTGTCTCTGTCTCTGTGTGTCTTTGTGTCTTTCTGGAACCAGTGGCGAAGTGCAGCCAAGAGGAAGCAGGAGGATGATGACTTTAGCTTTGCCAGAGAGGTGAGGGACAGAGAGAAGAGGCTACAAGCACTGGAGGAGCAACTGGAGCAGAGAGCCAGGTCAGACCGTTTTTACAGCAGCTGCTAGAGATGTTAATGTTTTATTGATGATTGATTAATCTCTGTTAAGATTTTATTTGATCTTGGATATGTTAATTGACTATGTGCAAACATGATGGGACAACAATTCCATCTGTGTGGAATATATCAGCGGCTGGACTTGCCGAATTTCCATGCAGTTGGGATAACTGCGTGATGCCGCAGCATGAGCAGATGTGTGATCAGAGCCTGTAATGCAAGCATGGCATAAGATGGTTAAAAGTTGTTAGTTAGCTTGATGAGGTGGAGGTCAGAGTTTCTCATCCAACCAATTCATACTATTTTTTAAGTTTCAAGATTTTTATACCTTTTATTATTTGCATTGAAAATATAAATTGTGAAATGGCCTTTAATGGCCTATTATCTGTTAAGCAGTAAAGGATCTGACAATTGGCTAAGGAACATTTTAATACAGAGCCTGAAAGTGCATATGCACACATACACTTATCCTGGCACATGAAAGCTTGACTTTATCATCATAAGAGTTGAAGGAACACTGATTGCTGAATAATTTGCACATTGCTAATTTAAGTATAAATGATTCAGTATTCAAATAAGACATATTATTTATAGTATGAAGTTCAATATCAGACATGTCTGCAAAAATTAAATCAGCTAATCTGTGCTTAGGAAGAGTATATTAATATTTTACTGTTAATATTTGCTGCTACCTGGTGACTGAATGACCCGGTGGGAAAAAGGACAATCTCATAAATTAGAGGTTCCATATTTGATCTCCACGACATTAGCGCTGCAATGGAGAAATTAATCAGCCACTATTTTGATCATTTATTTTTTTCTTTGAGAATTAATTTTTTAAAGAAAATATGCACAAATACAGTTTCAGTGTTTGCTGCTTTTCATTGTCTTCTACAATTGTAAACTGAATATCTTTGACCTGGTAAGATGAAACAAGACATCCCCTGTGATTCTGGGATATTGTGATGGGCTTTTATCATTGTGTGACATTTTTTAACCAAATGATTTATTGATTGACCAAGAAAATAATCGTCAAATTAAAAACGATAATGAAAATAATAATTCGTTACAGCTCTACATGACATTAACCCTTTCCTAGACATGCATTTACTGCATGTTGCTCCGGATATAACCGTCAGCTAGATGACTTAGTTGTAACTTGGTGCATTACTACACTCAAATTGTAGGAAGGAGCTGATTGCTCAGTACAGCCGTCTGTCAGAGGAAGCAGCTGGCAGAGAGAGGCGGGCCATGTGGCGGGTACAGCGGATGAGACTTGATGAAGCCCGGGCTCAGTTCTTCATGCAGGACAGACAGCAGACTCAGGTTCGTAATAAATTAACATGGAAAACACACACAGAGGACAAGAAAAATATGATTAAAGAGATTGTTATTATAGCAGGGAAGTCATTTTAACCAGACCATGCCTTCTTCCAGGCAATGCTAGAGAAATATCCTTTAGGCCAGGAGAGACCACCCATGGAAATATTGCCATCTGTTCCCTCAGCACAACAGACTGCACCACAACCAACAGTGGTATGACAACACATTGGTTTTTGAACATTAATCCCCATTTCTTTACACTTAATCATGCTCTTGGGAAGTGTGTACTATCCTCATTAGTTTCTTCTCATAACAGGAATCTCCCTCTCAGAATCGGCCTGAACAGCAGCCAGTGGAGACTGAAGAATCTAATGCTGTATCACCACCGCTTGACCCATCTTCATCTGCCCTTAGAGTAGACCCTGCCCTCATCTCTGAGGACATTGACATCAATGATTTTCTCGCTAAGTCACCAAATCCTGACAGTCAGCAGGTGGATATTGCCCTACAGGAGATCGGCTCTGACCTACCTGAAGTGTGTCCTACAGCACAACTGGTAGACTATGACTTCAGTGCCCCCTTTAGTCCACTTGAGGGTATCATTGGCCAAGCCTCCTCCCAGCCCCGGCCTCGGTGGGGACCTGCAGTCCAGCCTGATCTGATCCAAAACCACCCTTCTTTTTCTCATATCCCCATAGGAGAGAACATATCTCAAGTTCAGGAGAGTCTCCCCAAAGCCGGCCCCTTTGGCCAAGCCTCCAAATCCAGCTTTCCTCTAGGCCAGTACACCCCAGAGGAGCCCCAAAATACATCTAAAGCAAGCGTTTATGGACATCCCTCTCATTCCTCAGTGCAGCTTGTAGATGGAAGTGGCTTAAGGCCAGACAACAAGCATGCAGAAGTTGCATCTATTATAGAACAGAAATCTGAAATGGGGAATTTGGAAAGTAAAGTAGAGGCAAAAGAAGACAAGGGTAAACCTGTTGAGCATACAAAAGATGATGTGGTTGATACTGCCGCTTCCACCACACTAGAGCAAGGTGGTAAGGATAATGGTCACCACAAAGAGGTGACAAGTCTTTCACCTGATACAAGCAGTCAACCCTGCAGTTTAGATGCCCAAGATAATGCTGGTGAAAATATTTCTTTGCCAAACATTCATGACTCCAGTGCACACCTAAAAGCTGGCGAGCTGGTTTCAGATGCTGTTGACCCACAACCTTTGCCTAACATCCATGGACATTCCTCTGATGCTCACATAAAGGTTGGAATGTATGTATCAGGTGTAACTGCTCTTCTTCCACCCCCTAACATCCACGGCCATGCCTCAGATTCACACATCAAGATTGGAATTCATGTTTCGGAAGTTAATTCTCCTCAACCTTCCTCCAGTGCTCATGGTCACTCTTCTGACTCTCACATTAAAGTTGGGGAAAACATTTCAGATTTTGTCGCTCCTCCTCTTATTCCAAATATCCACGGTCATGCCTCAGATGCCCACATTAAAGTTGGGGAAAACATTTCAGACTTTGTCGCTCCTGTTCTTATTCCAAATATCCACGGTCACGCTTCAGATGCCCACATTAAAATTGGAGAAAACATCTCAGATGTTGTTGCACTACTTCCTTCTCCCAGCATCCATGGTCACTCCTCTGATGCTAATATAAAAGTTGGCGAGTTTGTTTCTAACATACCCGAAGAGAGACTTCGTTCGAGTAAACATGGGCATGCCTCAGACTGCATCCTTCAAACAGGCTGTGTAGTATCTGGAACTGAACCCGCCTTGTCTGCTCTACCTGGAAGCTCCTATGGTCACTCTTCAGACTCCGCCTTGGGTGTTGGATGCGTAGTTTCAGCAGACGAACCCAAGCGTTCTCCTCTACCTGGCAGTGCCCATGGTCACTCTTCAGACTCAAATTTAGGCATTGGATGTGTTGTGTCCAAAACTGAACCACTTCCATCACCACTACCTGGCAGTGCCTACGGCCACTCCTCTGATTCAACGCTGGGGGTGGGTTGTGTGGTGTTGGGAACGGTGCCGCAAGCCTCTGTACTACCAGGAAGTGCTTATGGCCACTCATCAGACTCTTCACTTGGAGTTGGGTGTGTGGTGAAGGGTAAAGACACTGGAAATCAACAGAAGAGAGAAGACAATGAAGATGGTAAAGGTAATTAATAATAAGTGATACACATTCTGCAGTTGTGAGGAACACATAAGCTTAAGATAGTATAAGATGTTATGATCTTCGATGCAGATGTAATCCAACTGTATATTCTCATATTCTCACTCTTGTAGTTTGTGATGACACAACTAATAAACTCAGACATAGAGGAGACAATTTTGTTTACAATTAGAAATACATAACACAATTCATTTATTCAATTGAAGATGACTGGAAAAATACAGAAGTATTAAAACATAGTTCTTCATGGATACTTCTATTTCTAATTGCAGCTTTGTCATAATCTGCTCTTTGACATAAACCAAATTAATTATTTGCAAGCAATTTTTGACCAGCTATTAAAAGCAAAAACCTTAATATATAGCTTAGATTATTGTTTGGTATGTTCTCCGGTAGGATGCAAAGAATAAATAGTGCAATACAAATGTTACCTCCCAAATTTAATCTAAAATTATAATATTTGTCATAATATTGTCAGGGGCTTCATGCCGTAGAGCTTCAGTGTAATACTATTTTTACCCTGTCTTTAGTAGTATACATACAAAGCATAGTGTGATTCTTTTTTTTCTTCTCAAAACTACACTAATAACTGTTTTGTTGTACTGTTGAGTTTGTGTCATTTGACTCCGCCTTTGTATTGAAAAGTCAGAAAATCTCAAATATTTTTCTAGTCTTGGATAGATATTTGTTCTGTGTATGTCAAAGTAATTGTTTTACATCTTTCTTAAGGTTCTAAGTCGGACAGCCCTGTTGAGCAGCTGGTTGAGAGCATGGGCTCCTGGGCAGCCGGCTTCGGTTTGTCCCCTGGAGAGAAGTCTGAGCAGGAATACCTCATGGCTTTGTCTACACAGTACCAGGTGGAACACTACGAAGACTGCTACAACCTAATGGGTTAGTTGAAAACATATGAGGGTGCTAAGGGAACCATTAATCTTTGGCCATAGTTAATGAAGGCAATGTTGACGGGTATTTTGTACATAATAAGGGGAATTCAGTTGTTTATAGATACAATGGTCTTTAGTTTTTGTTGAAACTGTTTTAGAGAGGTGGATTTGAAATTTTTGGCCATTTTAGATAGTGGAGTTTAAAATTTATATTGAATTATACTGAGCAGTGTTTCTCTGTTACCCCTTTTTATGTTAATGACCTCTCTAAAAAGGTTTCAACAAAAACTGAACATTATAACCTTCATGATGGACATTTATACTCCTTCACATAAAGAAAGTTTTTATTGACAACATTTGTTGTTTGATTTCAGCTAAATTATTGTGCTGGCAGTATGCTGATAATTTAACAAATAATTGCCAAAACAGAGCATGTTAATAGAAAACAATAGGGGATCCAAACTAGAACTTTGAGGAACTTCAAATTTAAAGGTCCAGTGTGTAGGATTTGGTGGAATCTAGCATTGTAGTTGCAAATTGCAACTCACTAATTTCAAAGCACAATCAAAGTAAAGTAGGTACTGTATTCTAATCCAAAACCAAATGGACAAAAGTAAATTATCTGACTCATTAATTAAATAAGACTAAATAATTTAGTCTCTTAAAACTGATGCTCTTGCTTCCCCTTTATCTGTAATTATTTAACAAAATGACCAAAAAAGTGTAAGGGAATGAATATGATAATTCTGCTAAGATTGATCCCTTTGCTTGTGGGCAGAAATTAGATGAGACTAAACATGTAAGGAACCTAAAACAAAGACTAAACCAGTCTCTTATCAACATAATAGATGTCTACAGTACAAGTGAAATGTCTTGACTCTTAATTCTTCTGCTGCCTGTGTACTCTCTGATGAAATAACTTAATGAGAAATGTAACATCTTTTGAAATACAGCAAAACATCATGTCAAATTTGCAGAGAAATGAAAATGATACACCTTACAGCGGTGGAGCTTACTTCATGTAAATTAAAACGTGTTCAGGAGTGATTTATTTCCAGAGGCTGTTAAATATTTACTCCATCAGCAGGCACAGAGGTTGCATAAAAAACAGTGATATTTCATAAGGGTATTAAGTCTGGTTTATGTTTGGTTGGGATGCATCATGGCTTGTTGAAGTAATATCTTGTCTTTTTCACTGTGCATGTGTTGTTCAGTCATGCTGCTATTATTCATGCCAGCTTCCAGGCTCTCCATGAAATCAATCAGAATCTACTCAGCCGAATACATTTTCCACACTACTGATCAAAGTCAGGAGCCGTAATTATTTAGGGACCATGTTACCATCAATATAGAGGCTGGACAAAGTAACTGGAACAGCTTACAATATAGTGCTATTTAATGAGAGCAACCTGCAGTAAATACTACCCAACGTGAAGCCGATATGTTTTTTGTTTTTGTTAAGATAGTGTCAAAGAGGTTTTGATACATCCCTAAGGTCACTTTAAGACTTTTGTTGTACAGCTGCAACTAACTATTATTTCCATTATCAATTAATTGGTTACTTTCTCAATAGGAAAAGTTCACATATTCAAATATTGTGTATATTATTTTGTATTGTATTTTGACCATCAGTAATATCATAGACTAAGAAAAGGGTCAGTTTTGGCATTGTTACTTAGAAAAATGTTTCATCATCTATAAAAAAAAATGGTGATTCATTTTCTGTATATCTACTAATTGTTTCAGCTGCACTTTAATCAGTTAATAAATGTTTCTAACATTTATTCTGCATCATCCATTCTAGCAAAAACATTACTTCAATAATGATTTGACTTCTGTTTACTCTACATCATTTTTTTTTTACTTTTTAAAAACTGTTTTCTGCAGTTGTGAGAGTGATATTTGTTCAGCAACATGTCTGTCATCTCCCTTTCACACACAGCTTCTTCCCCCGAGTGTCAGCTGCTGAAGCAGGTAACTCGGGGCCCCTGGGGCCTTCCTATGGACCCCACACTCCGCAGAGCCACAGACACCACCGCTATCCAACTCAGCGAGATGGTTTCCCTGCCAGTTCTGATAAAGCACTCTGTCACCACCCCACTCATCACACAGTGAGTGTCTGACTGAAAGAATGCTGCGGGACGAAAGAGTGTTTTCTGTTAAATAGAGATTAAAAACGTTTCATGTTTGAGCACATTACAAATGATTATTTACAAGTATGGGTTTTGAGTGACAGATAAAAACATATCATTATTTTACCTTTTTAAAGCCACATACTGGGTTAGAAATAATAAGATAAATGCAGTTGTGAGGTTTTTACTGATCTCTTGTCATTTTTCTGCTTCTTGAGGCCACTTAAATTGTAGTTGAGTGCACACTCTGCACTGGAGAAATAATTTAAATTCCTATTACCTTCCATCTTTATAGGATCCTTTTTCTCTTTCAAATTCCATCAGTACTCCAGACAAGCTTGTCAGTCTTCACCCACAATGTTTCTGCACACTATGCAATTCAGCCTTTTGTGTGTAAAGAAATGGCTTTCTCATCCCTTTCTGCACACAGAGGGGGTGCAGTATATTTAGCGTCAGAATTCATAGCTCTAAATTTTTATTAACACAATTTTGTCCCATGCTTAGACGACACAGTGGAGTTTGCCAGAGATTTTCAACACTATTTTTATCTCTTCCCTGCTGACTTTTCAGTTAAAGAGAACCTTCCCACTGTTATATAAATGTGAATCGCTTAGGAATAATTCAAAGTAATGGGATTGAGGAAGTCATGCGAAAAGTGGAAAAACACCGGTGTATTCCCTCAGCTTTCTCCAGAGCTGATGTCTATCATCCTCACAACCTGTATCAAATTTTGCCAGTCAGCAACATTTTCAGTCCAGGTTGTGGTGTCAAACCTTTTCTCTCCTGTCTTGGTTATTTTCTCCTCCACCTTCTATTCCCAGTGTATCTTTGGTGAACAAGGCAGTGGTGGACTACTTCTTTGTGGAATTGGGGGTGGAAAGACACTTTGAAGCACTGCGACACTTCCTGCTGATGGAGGATGGCGAGTTCGCCCAGTCCCTCAGCGATTTACTCTTTGAAAAGGTGAAGCTTTTCAAGAAGTGTTGTTGTCATGTGTATGCACAATAAAAATAGGGCGATTTTTGGTATTCTTTTTAAGTTTGTTGGATTCTAGAACAGGGCACAAGAGGACGACTTTTAAAAAGACCGAACGTCCTGGTCTCACTTTGAAAAAGGGATTGGTATTGTGTACAGGCAAACCCGTTGCTGAAAGCTGCTCTAATCAAAGTTGTTTTATATTAATAATGTATTAAATCGCTGTGTAATGCAAAAGGGTTGCTTGTTGTGACAAACCCACAGTGGATTATCGCCCGATCCTGCAGTTCCCTTAAACCTAATGGAGCTTTTCACTACCTAACTCATTGTTTTGGTTTACGACCCACAACTTTACTGTTTTGGTTCATTCTTCCCGCTCTCAGCAGCATCATTTTCAGCAACAGCAGGCAGCTGTTTCAGCAAAAAAAAAACTCTATAAACCAACCAAACCCTAACTGCCAAATGCACAGACTAAGTTAACAGCTAGCTGGTGAATAGAGAGGAGTATTAATCTGCTAAGTAACCGATATTTCCCATAAGATTTGATGGAAAAGATGGAGCTAAAAGAAGAGTCAGTATTGGACTTACTGCTCCACGTGACAGCAGTGGACACAAACAGACTCTGAAAGACAGACAGGGTTTAAACATCAATCATGCTTAAACATGTAGCACTTGAGCTTTTGGCCACTTGGGGGCAGCAGAAACAAATTGTGAACATTGACATATCATCTTTTAAGTTGATATGGTGAATTTGTTAGCAAACATTTTGATTATTTACACACCAAGAACTTATAGAGCAACATTATCATCTATTTTGAGTCTTTTTTCTGGCCACCTGAGGAAGTCTCTCTTTTAACTCGGTTTTTGGTCTCTACCAACTACTGAAGGGAATATCCTGCTCTTTAGCTGCTAAATGCTCCACAGTGTTAACCAGCTAGTTGTTAACTTTATGTGTCTGCAATATGGTGCTGGGCAAGTGGGTTTTTTCACAGAAAACAGCTGCCTGCTGCGACCAAAAACAACACTATGAGAGCAGTGAGAGTGAACCAGAGCACTGTTGTGGCCGGACAGCTAAACAATGTGCTGAGATTCATTATAAACCTCTGTAAAGCCGAGGAAAGCTGCAGATTCAGTTGATTTTCCGAAGGTTCATCACTTGAGCAACTCTGTTCATTATCACATTATTTTCACAATTTTACCCATTTTTGTTATAAAAATCGGCCTGTTATGCAGCACATGATTGCATCACTGCCAGATTTCTAGACTGCTTATGTCGAGCCCAAGCTTCCTGGCGTGAAATGACAAACACAGCCTGTGCTAACACCTTGGTTCTGTTCTGCAGAAAGATTCATGTACATCTGTCTCTCGAGGCCCATGAGCCAGAAGGTTTTTGTCCCAGCCAAACACTCCACCAGCTGATTTCACTGATTAGCACACCTTCAACTGGAAAGCAAGCTAATCATTGTAATCAGCTACCTTTAGGGTTTGTTTGGAATAAAAACTTTGACAGCGCATTTGAAACAACAGGTGTGGAGGTATGGGTAGTTATCCGTGTTTGACCTTTGCATATTCATTTAACCGATGTCTCCTCCATCCAGCTGGGCAGTGGCCAGACTCCTGGCGAACTGCTGACCCCCCTGGTGCTGAACTCCATCCTCAGCAAGGCCCTGCAGTACAGCTTACACGGGGACACCCCCTTAGCCGGCAACTTCACCTTCGCCCTGCGCTTCCTCCCGGAGACCTTCCACCCACACGCCCCAGATTCTCTCAACTGTCTGGAGCTACGCTACAAGGTGAGGCAGTGTGAGTGAGTAACAGTGAGTACGCTAGCATGGGTGTGCTTGTCTCACCATGAGTGGCAGCTTGAATGTGACAACCTGTCATGTTTTGACAAACTGCTTTGGGTGTGGAAAATTAGCTTATCACGCACTTAAATGGTTGAACCTCATAGATTGATTGGAGTTGGGTCTTTTGGATGACATGCACGGTGACTAATGTTGCACATATTGTCCTCTGCTCTTGTTCTTTATTCTTCACCCTGTTATCTCTCCCATGACTGTTTCCTCTCCTGCTGATCCTCCCTCCCTCTCTTTATCTCTTGCTTCACATATTTTGCTTTGCTTTCTCTCTCCCTGTATATTTTTTCCTCCATTCCTCTTCCGCTTCTACCCCCCCCCCCATCTCTCACTCTGTCTTCCCTTCACAATCCTCTCACCTCCTTTATCAACGTCTCTGCGCTCACAACTTTCCCCTCCCCTCCCCTCCCCTCACCTCATCTGTCACTTTCCTCTACATGCCAACTTTCATTCCACTTTCCTTGCTTTCTTTCACACTCATTCTCACACCTTCACACACTTTTTTTTCCACCCCTCTGTCTTTTTCATCCTGTCATCTCCCAGGTGGACTGGCCGTTGAACATCATCATCACGGACAGCTGCATGAACAAGTACAATCGTCTGTTCTCGTTCCTGTTGCAGCTCAAACACATGGTGTGGAGCCTCCGCGAGGTCTGGTTCCACCTCAAGAGAACGGGTGAGAGGGTGGGAGCTTTTGATTCAGGTCCAGCTTAGACTCCACCTCACCTCTGAGAAGGAAGAGTTAAAATTCTTCCTGTTGTGCTTCAACTGTTTATAAAATATTCATTGAGGGGAATACTGCAATTCCTTCATGTTTTATTTATACAAAGCACATCTCATACCAATGGGATTGTTGTAAAATAGTGTGCTTCACTGGGTTAGATAGTATTGATCAGTCAAAGCCTGTGTACAGACTACATAAATGGATATCCAGAAAAAAAAAAAAACGATTGAGATATTAGAGGGATGTAAACTTCAGTAATTTTAACATGAATATTACTCATCACCGGGGGAAAATGTGGATGATTATTTAATACCCAAGTGCATTTTTGATCACAAGGGAAGAGATGACTACACAGTTAACCACAGTCTGTCTGTATCATAAGTATAGCTATAATTATCAATTATTTTCATTACTAGTTAATGTGCATCTTTAATAAAATAAAGATGAATCACTGTCAAAAGTTCCCAGATCACAAACTAACTCAAATTGCTGTCCAATGGGACAAAAAGAGCACAAGGATATTGATTTTACTGTGATATGAGTCTATAAGTCTGTAACCACCAAGTGTTTATTTTCAGTCCCTGCAGCACTGATCACGACTTGTTCCCGCCTCTGTTCCCCTCAGCACTGGTGAAAGGTGCTGGTCGCTCGGTGCAGTTTCATCAGCTGCAGCTATACAGACATGAGATGCAGCATTTTGTCAAGGTGATACAGGGATACATCGCAAACCAGATCCTGCAAGTGTCCTGGAGCGAGTTCACAGCCAAGCTGGCCACTGCCAGTGACCTGGACGCCATCCACCGCACACATGCAGACTACCTCAACAGAGCCATCTTCAGGTGAGGGCTGGAACTGCATGTGTGCATTTTACAGTATTTATTGCAATATAATAATTACATTTTAATAAAATCCATCAATCCCTGCTCTTAACATTATGCACAAAACAGGGGATATATGATATTTCACCTAAATTTATTGCATTGCAAGAGGAGACATTTTGGAAGTTATCCTCATAACCCCAAAGATATTGATTTTACTGTAATGTAAAAACCAGAATTCCTACATTGTAGGAGGTGGAACCATAAAATGTTGGGCCTTTGAGTCTCAGAATTGATCTTTTCTTTTGATCGACTAACTCAGTTGACTAATAGTTGCTGCTTTAGACCAACTGATCAATCAAAAAAATAATTGTCAGTTGCAGCCCTACTGGGTACAACTTATTGGGACCCCAGACCCTTCACATACAGAAGGACTATGTGTTATTAAAGGTGTTTTGCTGTCCATATTACAGTTTGCAACACTTTGCATAAGTGTAATTTAAACCATCAGGATTTAGGCAACAACACCACAAAATGTGTAAAAATTCAGGGGAGTGAAATGATGTCTTCAGACTCAATACAGGCACAGCAAGTTGAAGTGGAACACTCTGCAACCATAATTTCATATAAAATTAATTCACCCTCCTCGTTGGAAGTTAATTTAAATTCCAGCAGGATCTGACGCTAACTTTTGAACCCGTTGAATGATTTAATCTCATTAGGAGAGGTTGTCAGTATCACACTTCTCTGTGTATAATTCCAGCCCATCTGAAAAGTCATTTCAAAGTTCCTTGTCATGTTTCTTAAACTTTGCACTCTCCCGTCACTCATCTCCCCAGGGGTCTGCTGACAGAGAAAGCAGCTCCGGTCATGAACATCATCCACAGCATCTTTAGCCTGATCCTCAAGTTTCGGGCCCAGCTGATTGCACAGCCCTGGGAGAGCCAGCAGGGGGAGGCAGTGCACCCCAGCTTCATTGCCATGCAGCAGTCGTACAACACCTTCAAGTATTACTCTCACTTCCTTTTCAAAGGTAAGGACAGAATATTGTTTCCGGTCTGATTTCATGAAAATGTACCATGTTTATTTGCATTCAATAATTAATAACTAACTTGAACTGTATTTAGGTATAGCACTTTCTAAAACTGTCTTTTTTTCTTCTCTCAGTGGTGACCAAGCTGGTAAACAGAGGCTACCAGCCTCATCTGGAGGATTTCCTCCTTCGTATTAACTTCAACAACTACTACAAGGACTCCTGAGCTGTGTACTGGTGTGTATTTTGTACATAAGCGAAGTGTGAGTCCTTCACATATTACTGACAATTTGTTAGAAACTTATCCAATGCAACATTGTCCACCATGAGTGTTTACATTTTTAGAATTCCCTATGTGTTTATAAGACAGAAGAGGGGACAGTACTGTATACCGGGAATGGATTTGAGCTACATGTTTTTGTGCTTGATGAATGGCTTTACTCCTAAATTGCCTGCTGCCAAAGTTTTTAATTGAGATAAAGCCGATGCCTACTGTAATGCCTCCCATGCTCAGGTGTGCCTCCAGCTGTGTAGATTTTAAGTGCATAAAAACTAAATGTCAATTATATGTAAATAGAAAAGCAAAATGCTTTGTTTAATAAATGCTCTATTCTCTGCTGTGGATCTTAAAAGTTATTTTGTGATGTAAGGAAAAAAAAAACAGTTGAGTAAAAAAAAAAAAATACTTGTATTTATTAAAGATTGCATGTTAACATTGGGTTTAGAAAACTAGGACAAATTAAGTGCAAAGCCTTATGGGAAACAAATTCTGTCAACTTCAGCCAGTTACACAAAGACAGAAGGAGAGGGAGAAAATGCAGTCCTTGCAACTACACGGGTACCCAGATTTTTCCCTGACAGAGCATTACTTACAAAGCACAAATGTATAAAGCATAGCTGTAATAAGTGTAATGGGCTACAGCAGGCCACATACAGTAAGAGGATTTGCTTTCTTGACTGGATGGTAAAGTTGGAGAAATACTTATCTCCTACTAAACCGTCAATCAGAGGAACAACACAGGCACAAGTTTGTGTAGATTATCAAAAAAAAAAATCTCAAGACTTTTGTTCATGGATGCACTAAGCACATTTGTATACATTGCTGTAGTTTTATTAATGGTATGACAAGCATCTCAACCAGCACCCAAAGGTTACAAGTCCATTGGATGGACAGAAGTTTGTTTACAGCAAGAGAGGACCCGATGACACGCACTTACATCAGCAACAAAAAGAGAAACGGTTAATCGTTATGACTTAAAAGCAAAAGTTTGACATTTAGGGAAATGCACGTATTTGCCTAGTGACGTTAGCTAGAGTTAATGCTAGGTGACAAGCTCATTATCACTCATACTTGTTTCTTAAATATAAGGCTACAGCCAGCAGACTGGAAAAAAACCTGGCACTATCAAGTGGTAACAAACTCCACCTACCAGTACCTCTAAAGCTCACAAGTTATATCTGGCTTCCTCAAAGTGTGAAAACTAATTGTTTTTACACTTGGGTTTTTGTATGGATAAAACAAATGGTAAACAAAGTGTTAATGAGTGATATTTAGAGGTGCCGTTAGAGCACTCTGCTGAGCCAGGCTAGCTGTTTCCACCGACTGGGCTAAGCAAACTGACTGCTAGCTGTAGCTTCACATTTAACGGACGGATGAGAGTGGTACATTCTTCTCATCTAACATAACTCTCCTCCAGACAGCGAATAGGTGCATTTATTGCATTAAAATGAAAAGTATCACAAGCAATCAAACATAATCATAAGTAATTACCATCAGAGCAGGCAGTCCTTAATGAAATATCCCCAATTTATCCTTGTTTAACACGTTTCTGCCAAGAGCTCTGATGTGGAGTAGAAAAAGCAAGCAGACAAGCAAATGCACTGGTCAACACAATGTAACTTTCACGATCAACGTCAAGTCAGTGGTTTTGACCTCATCTGTAATACACAGTACAAAATGTCACATTCACACAGTGCACCATGGGCTTCCAATGTCCACTGAGATTAGTGTTAGCTCAAATGGGCTGAAATGGTACAAAAACCGCACTGGGATCCAGAGGGAAGGCAGAATTTCACGGGTCAATCGCTTTCCCTTCACTTTTTCTGATCTGATTAGTATTCATATGTATAAGCAAAGAGCAAATAGCTTTTCAATGAGTACATAATACCCCACTGGTCTGCCTACATGCGTTACTGTTACATTTCAGTGATTTTTTTTAATTTATTTTTTTTGTATTACAGCTTAGTGCTCAGTGTAGAGGTTTTAATCTTCTGTGAAGGGACTGAGCGAGAATGGCATTATTATTTAATCATGCACTGCATCAGTCCTAGCATATTGAATCTGAAAGCTTGCAGCCAACTCTGGTTAAACATCATATAACCACTCGGACAGTTCATATTTACATAGGCTTTCAGAAAACGGAGCGTAGCACACTTTTTAATTTTATTGAAGTATATTTGGGCTGCTCAAGGAGAACCTTGCATACAGTACGGATCATCTTAAGACTTGTTTTGTATAGGTAGTGAAGAATGATGTAAAATGTAACGTTAATTCAGTTTAGTAGGAATGCTTAAGATAGTCAGGATGCCATGTCTGTGTAACCGCATAGTGGCAACTTGCAAGAGTGCAGAAAGAACAAAAACATCACTCGTCCAATTTTGTCCACTGCTGCAAGAGTCATATGCTCACACTGTAATAGGAACTGATGTGATTTTTGTCTTAAAAGTCTAAGATCCTTCAAATTGATCAATTAGTGCATTCTGTAGCCATCGAGCATTATTAAACAGATATTAACCTAGGAAGTGCAACTTTTTTTTTGTACATGAATAAACAGAAATAAACGTAGTACATAAGAGCCTTAGATCAAAGTTAACATGTAAAACAATAAAAAGGAACAAACTCTCCAAACCGACTTCAAACTATGTAAACCTAAAAATGGATGTAAACCTAAACTGATGCAAATGATTCACCAATTTCTATTAGATTGCTGGGGGTATTAGAAGACAATGAAACACAATCAAGGCCTATATAGCGTCCCTTTTCGTGTAAGTACCACCTACAGCGATGTAAAAACGATTCCAAATCCAAGGACTCATGCTACAGTCTGACCGCAGAAAAGCAGACCAAATGAAGCGCCCATGAGATGTGCTTTTTGGTCGAGGCAACCCCCACAACAACGTCTTTTGCTTTCTTTACAGCAATAAACTGGAGAACTAGTAACAGGGTAAATAAAAGTGAACTACACTGTCTAATATTGGTCTTATAGTACCGGAGTTAGGGTTGGTTGGGGGGGGGTGTCATGATGACACCTTCATCCAGGGAAAGCCTTCTTTCCTAGGCAAAAGTCAGACCGGGGGCCTGTCTTGGTTGCTTTGTTTGGTCCTAACTGGGACTAGGCCTCAGACTCCAGGTCTTCTTGTCCTGCTCCATTGGTTGTGTCGCCTGTCTCAGGTTCCAGCAGCAGGAATTTGCCATCATTGGTTAGAGGCATATTCTTCATCAGCTGGGCCAGGGCCTCTGGGTCCTTGGAAAAAAACAAACACAAAAAAGTCCAGCCAAGTAAGAATTTATTTAATTTTTTTGTTTGAATTTCTCAAGATGTGCATTTTGAATGTACCTCGTCTGTCACCTTAAAATGGTAAAATGTTGATAGACTCCCTATAGTGGTTATGTTCCTATTTATCTTCATTAAACTTTTCTGTTCAACTACTGAAAAAGCTGCTGTGATTCAATGTTCTGAAAATATAAAACTTAGTACTGAACTTTTTACAAACAGTTTCACAAAAGATGAAAAATACACACACAAGACAGATGCATGACTTTAAGGGTTAAATAAATAACAAAGCAGAAAGGATTTTATGGACAAAAGAGATGTAAAAAAGGACCAAAATAATATAAAAGGTAAAATATAGTAAATGTTGAAGTTATTATAAATGTTATCTACAGGGAGACAATTCCAGGCTCTGGGGCCATATGAACTACACACTAAAGACTTGTTACTTTAAACAGGCACTGTATGTTTACAAAGATAAACATTTGATTCGAATAAAGTGGCATCAATGAGAAAATACTGTTTAGTAAAAAATGTAATCAGTTTTTCTTTTATGGGGGGACATTACCTTGAGTACCATTAATTTCCCCTTGACACTAAAAATAGCTCTAAAGTGCACTAAGAAGGATGTTACAATGTTACATTGATAAATATGCAAGGTAGGTAAAATTAGCCATAGTTTTGGTCTATGAAGTCTGCTGGCGAACTATAGCGACATTACAGCTTTTGGGATCCCTTCCATAACAATCTGAGCCTGTCTGTATAAAACAAGCACTTTTAGTGTTTTTTACTTTAAATCCCATAACTGTTTTCTATGTGTTTTCATGATGATGATGATGATGATGATGATGATGATGATGATAATGATAATGATGATGATGATACCTTCTTAGCTTCTGTAATGTCCTTCGCCAAGCTTACGGTGTAACATATCTGTAAACAAAGACAAAAACATCAAGTTCAAAATACATTTGTGCATCAGCTGACATGTTTGTCCTCCTTGAAAAAACGTCAGTGTTCGGTGTATCAACCTTTTCGCCCTCTGTGTTGCTCTCGAAGACGAAGGTGCTAAACGAGGGCTCTCCCTCCTCATCGCCGTCGCTCCAGTCTCTGCCCTCAACCACAAATCCCATCAGCCTCCCGTTCTCTTGGTGGGCTGCGAACTGGCACACCTCTCCAAGCTGGAACTGAGATATGAGGAGTGTTGAGAGAGGTGACGGGGGAGAATAAAGATATAAAAAAATGCGCTAGGATATAAATCACTGCGAACTGACTCGATCTCTTGTCAAACTTACGCTTATTCTGGTAACTTGAGTCTGAGGGTCAATCAACCTATTGTGGAGACAAAATAAAGGCTTTTTACAAAAAAATGAAAACAGCGCAGTAATGCTTAACCTTCACTTTGAATATCTCTGTTTCTGTAACGTAGCTCCTATCTCTCTCTTTCTTACAGACAGTACAATGCTTACAGAAGGTGAAACTTCTTACAAAATGTGACAATCAATTATAGGTTATACAACAACTCAACATTACATGTTTTTGGTGGATAACTAGTGGGGCGTACAAAAGCCTTGTTCGTTGCAGATTATTTATGCAAAAGGTTCCTGCTTCAAAGTATTTTTTCTTTGTAGTCTTCAGGTAGTGCTGTAGAGCAGTGGCTCTAATGAACCCTCACAGCCCTGTCTGACAGACTAAAGTGCTCCTTCATCCACACCACCTGTCATGTTCTAAACATATTCATTTGAATTGATTCTAACTCAGTAAGTGGATATATACACACACAAATTAGTTGATCCTCTTCTTCAATCTTTCCAAGCACCCCCTGGGGTATAAGTCATCATTGATGTAGAGCACTGATGGCCAATTTTTTAGCGCATATATGTGTGTATATAGTATTGTGTTGCACATTGTTAGAGGATTTCAGGACTGTGTAGCTCAAATCAATATAGTTAATTTAATTAGAAAAACAAAAAACACAAATTGAATTAATTTCTAACTTGTAGCTGAAAGAGGTTGTGTGGCAGACAAATGTTTCTTTACAGGGTAAGAAGACCAAAAAGATTTCTGAAAAAACACAGCACAATGAATATACCATTATATTTTTTCTCCATACCTTTGGTAGAGATAGACAATTTCACACCTACAATATGGTAACAGGTCCACAGACAGACCCTGTCAGACGAATGGCCGCATTGACCACAATCAAAAAATGCTGATGTGACCACATCAGCATTTTTTTTTTTTTAAACAATAATTGAAGCATCTGTTTCGTATTATCTGTATATATTGCTGGGAAATTACTGAATGCATCTCCATGTTTATATGCTAAGATCCGATCAGTTGTCTTCGTCCGCCTGCACATGTGGTCATTCATGTAACACTGTGTGTGATAAATTCTACCTGAGGCTACTGCTGGTGACCATGAGGTGAGACTCGGTGGTCCTGAAGATGTTGTGGATGGCTCGGGCAGCCAAAACCTGCCTCATGGCCTCGTAGATGACTTCCTGATTGTTGCCACAGCGCACTGCCATTGAGCCCAGGAAGCGCACGGCGAATACTTGCTGCAGGAGGGAGTCTGCGGAAACATCACGCACACACAAACATGTCATCAGCATATACACTCAAGGACAGTAAACAAAAGAAAAACAGCACTCAAGGTACACAAACATGCCCATGATGAGGTTACGCTGAACTCGAGCAGTGCTTGCCGTAGCAAAGTGGACAATTAAGTTACATTTAGAAGAGGAAAATAGTTACCGTCACTTTCTGTTGAACAGTCATCGTCCGTTTCTCCAAACGGATTTGTGCGTCTGTCAGGAAGGGAGCACACACACCAGAAGAAAAACACAATTAAACCCCTGCACTGAGCCATTACGAAACACTCCGCTTCCTGGAAATCATATAATAACCACTGAGGCAAACTTTCAGGAAATTAGTGTCATCACACTCCAGTATCTTGTTACTGCCAGTCTCTCACAAACATGCACCCATACAAACTTCCTGCCCCAGTAGTGCCCTCACCTCCCCCCAGCTCTGTTTTGGTCCTGAAACTCGGAGGCCGGCAGCATGATGTCAAACTGAATGGGTGTCCCAGGGGCTATCAGGTCCTCTGGTTCCGGAGTAGCCCCTGTCTTCTGGGAATCGCTGCTGGCAGCATGTATGCCCCCTGGCTTTGCTCTGCAAGAATTAGGCGGATAGATTAAAGATGAATTATGAGGAATAAACCAAGTAAACCCTAAAACACCCACTACTCAACTTACAGGACAGGTTCCAAGTTTATCTTAATAACATACTCATGTGCCCTATGTGAATCAAAAGAGTTAATTGTCTCTCCACTCCACACTGGCCTTCCCTATGCAACCGCAATTTAAGTGACGGGATAAAATCGGACTTCCTGTAAAGGGAATTTTGCAATAAGTGCATATTTGTATAGAAGGTGGATTTGTCCTCCATCACTTACACTTCAGTTGCATTATGAATTCCCTTGACAGCCAGTATGGACAAGAGGAGCAATTACAGCAATCAAGAGTGCTTTCAGTGTACATTAGGTGTTATTTTAAGGCAAGACTTGAACAAATGTGAACCTATTCTTTTTCTATTCTCTTCGATTTCAGACAGAGTTTCTAGCCGGTAACTGTTGATTTGCAGGCTAAAATGGAAACATTTGCTTGCATATTTCATCATATTTATCAACTTATTTAACATGTTAAAGGACATTTAACTTAAATATAAGAAAGAAATATATAAATATAAGAAAAAAGCCTTCTGAGTACCTTTGCATAGCCATATTGGAGCACAATCCACACATATAGATCCACAATTCCAGCTCAAACATTCACTAAATCCCCTCTAAAATTGGTATCTTTCTCAAAAATCCCATATTGGTCATGCTCTAATAATCACAATCCAATCATTTTATACACCAAGAAAAAATACATGTAGAGGAAGAAGTCATGACACAAAGACAAACTAGTATCTCCCAATAAAAAAATAATATAAGGAGCCAAAACACAAGCAGATCAAATAGACAGTGCAGCACAGTCCTCAGTTATCAAAACTGTAATTCCTGCCACTATAAAAGCATTCAATTCTGAACTTCAGGAGAGGATTCAGTGTGTAGTGTTATGAATAAACCCTTACACAAGCAGTATGCCTGACCTGTCAGGGTTGGGTGAGCCTTCTGGTCTCTTCTCAAAGCTGGTGATGGGGGTGACTGCCTGGATGGCGGTTTGGTTCAGACGGATGGCCACAGCCTGACAACAAGAAACAGGGATATTGCAGCATCTCTGTATCAGCAGGTGAGTCACTTATAAAACCAGAAGTGTGTAAATATGCCAAATATATTTAAGATTTTAACCTTACCTCTTGTCTCTCACAAATTCTCTACATTATCTCAAACTCATCTTTGCTCTGTGTACCAAAAGCAGGGTCTATTCACCAGTGATAATCCTTCACAAATAGCTGACGTTTTCCTGGTTTCTAAATGTTTTGTCAAATAAAGAAATGACTGAAGGTCTTATGTTCAAAGTAAGTCTTTCCAGCCATTTCTGGGCCCAGAAGTGTAGGATTTGGGTTTTTTCTCATACGGCAAGTACAAAAAAAAACAGTACATCAGTGTTCATAGGCATGTCATAACATGAAAAATGTAAAATAATAATAAAATTGAAAAACTAGTCGATTTATAATCATTGCTTTAAGAAATTGTCATAAATGATGGAGCATGTTATAAATCAAGGATTCATTGGAGTGCAAGTTTCCTCTCTGCACTGTTGTTTTAATCTATTTAGTGGCAACAGCATCAAGAATGCTTGAGCCTTTTTAAAATAAAATAATGAACACAGGTCACCAAGTCGAAATGAACAGAAATACACAGTAGTTTCCATAAAGTTGACAGATACACAAATATTCTCTCCTATCGCACATTGCTGCACCTTGTTCAAGTGACAAGCAATTAATTTGCAGTTACATGACACCATACCTATCAGTATCTGAAATCTCTAATTACAATTTACTCTATGTTTACTACCAAGTGATAATAATCATGTAGGGAAAAATAAATACTGCAAGAGAAAGAAAAAGGAGTGATTTCCAACACAGCTATAGTCTGTTTGTCTCCGGGGAATCTGAAAAATAAACATTTTTTTCACTCCTGCAAACACGCAAGATTCTGGGACTGAAAAGCAGAAAAGGCAACAACAGCTGTGAGACACTTTAGTAAGAAGAGGGAGGGGGTTTACGTGACAGCGGTGGAACAACACAATTAGATTTTATGCCTCATAAACAGAGAATAAGTTCCTCATATTATGTGTTACTAATTAAAGCGGTGGAACAACAAATAGATGTCAAATCAAATATGCACGATCAAATATTGTGGGTGATGTTCTAACTACAGCACCAAGATTAATTAAATGTTTCTGATTTAGAGCCAGAAAAGAAAAAGTCTGATTCCAAGATATTTGGTTTAGCTGGTGTGTCTAACTTGCAGTGTGTCTGTGTGTGTGTGTGTGTGTGTGTGTGTGTGTGTGTGTGTGTGTGTGTGTGTGTGTGTGTGTGAAACTGTGTGTGAAACTGCGTGTGAAACTGTGTGGGGGTGTGTGTTACCTCTGGGTTGTCAGTCAGGTAGATCTGTCTGGAGATGTTGTTCACAGTGCAAATCCACTGAGAAAAAAACACACAGATCCACATTAGGACTTCCTCTATGCTCACACAAGCTGCCTGAAATCATTTGACTGATACCAGCTGTGACAAGCCAGTCAGATGCGTCCAAGCACAAAAACCAACTATAAAATCCACACAAATGAGCCTCGACAGGTCCTCTATCCTTCTATGAGTGAAATCAGTACCAGCAGATATCTTTAGGATGAAGATGTAAATCAATAAGAAGGACCAAAAGAAGCCATTTGAACGGCCTCTTTCATACTTACTTCTTCATATTCCCTTTTGCTCTCAGCTTGTAGAATCATTGACCTGTGGGACAATGGAGATAATTAAATAAAACACATCCAATATCTCACACGTTTGTGTGTCATTTTCTTATGTAGAAAAGTGAACATACGTTTTGCCCGAGGGGGAGGTTATCTGAAAACAGTAACGTCTGTCCTCGCACTCCACAGCCATGACGGAGCTGTTGTCCAGGTCCAGCACCATGCCGCCCGCCACCGCCCCACGTGGCTGGCACATGAGGTTCCCTCCCTGGGTGAAGAAGTACAGTCTGTCCCATGCTGTGGTTACTAGGCCTGTTTTACTGGAGTACAGAAAAGAAGGGGCAGGAGAAATAGATAAAGATCAGCACTAAAGGATGAGATTTTTAAAAACATACTCTTCGCTTTCGCTGCCACAAGTGGCATTATAGAAAGTTTGATGAGAGAGCGGGCTACATAAAGAGGAAGAATGTCGAGGATTTTAAGCTGGATGTGACGGAAATTCCTCGTTCACATCTGGCTTACAAATGAGCTGAGCGAAGATAAAGATAATGCGAGAGGTCTCTTTTAAGTCCTTCTCCCTTTCTAAGTTTAGTAAAGGATATTATAACAAATGTAAACAAACATACTTTTAATTATGATTGGATAAGATAACAATCCTGCTTAGTTATTAACCAGATCTTGAAATGATATAAAACTGGCCATCAGTTCTCCTTAAATGATTCCATGCTTCTGAGTTAATTATATTGGAGGATCTGTATGAGCCTTCCTTTGTTCCAGTGCTATCGTTGCACAGAGGTTTTGTTTAGGCCATTTTGGTTTCTGTGCATATAAATAAAAACTACAATGTAATTTATCTGTGACTCAATCGGTTTCAAAACAAAGCGACATGTATAGGACTCATTTGAACTGATCTGTAAGACTTCCTCTTGTACACTGTGTTCATAAAATATATTACCAAATACATTTCCTTTGATTAATATCTCGGTGTGTGGCTCATGCTGCCTTGGGTGACTCAGACCCTTAATATTGAGAAACCATTCGAAATAGCAAATGTTCTCTGGACTCAGCTCCATTTGACAAGCGATTGAGGCTGCTGGCAGTGTGTGTCATTAAACTGAATGGCATGCGGTGGAAACCTTTTCTCTGGTGTCACAGACATTTGTCAAAGACTTGAGATGTATATGAGGGAGGGACAGAGTTTGACAGCTCTGACATTTCACTAAATCACATTGCAGGCTACGCTACAGTATTACCCCCTGAAGCCATTAAAGAAGTTTCCCTTCTCATATATCCACTCTGCAATAAGCTGACAGCGCACACTGTCAACATGTTACCTGACCCACCGTCTGCTGTGACAGAGGTATTGTTTACAATGTTCATGCGTAGTTGGACAAACTTCAGCAAGAGGAGCAAAAATCGTTTATGTATTTAGACAGTCAGTGCCTAATTTAGCTGCAGTGTGTTGATTGCACCAGACTAACAAAACAATGAAATGTAACATATGTAAAATTAGGACAGATTACAAGCTTGTACCTCAGCTGATCTATTCCTTTTTTCTTTTTTTTTACCCAAAGACACCTCTTCACATATCGACCAGCAAGTAACACTGCGTGAACAGGAAGTGTCCTTGGGTTTAAGATAGGGCCATAATGAGTGCAATTAATCTTACTTCCTAATGTTGAGGTAGCCAGCCTTCTGGATAAGCGTGCGATTGACAGGCTCAGTGTCCTTATCTGGCATGTAGACAGTGTCCTCCACAGACAGAAGCTCCCTCTGGGACCCACGCATGGCCTCCGCTTCCACATCCAGCTGGGCCTGGATACTGGACAGGAATAAAGTTTTAACACAGGCAAAATCCCATATGGAATATTTGTGGAGAATCAATGCGTTGCAGTGAAATTATTTCTACACAACTGGCTGCAGTAGGCTACTGTTCCTTCTAAAGTGATGGTTCATCACATGTACTGTACACATGAAAATGAATGTTAATGAGATAGTCTTTACTTTTGTGTCATGTTGGACACGGAGGAGAGAAAGCTGTCCATCTTCTTTGACACCAGCTCAATGCCTTTCTTGAAGAAGCTGATCTGAGAGATTAGAAAATAACAATGAGCAATTCATCTTCTACATTACATACATTTTTTCAGACTTTAATTTGAGATGATAATCACTTGGTTACATGTGGTCACATGGCTGCAACTAACAGTTATTTTCATTATCAATCAATCTGCCCTTTATTTTCTCGATTCATCATTTTGGCTGAAAAATGTCAGAAAATAGTGAAGTACTTGTTACAATTTTCCGCAGCCCAAGATGATGTATTAAAAAAAAAGCTTGTTTTATTTGGCTGATATATTTTATATTGTCATATATGAAAAAGAAAAGCATCACATCTTCACATTTAAGAGACTGGGACCTTCTGCCAATTCATTTTCTGTTGAAGGATTAGGCCTTTGGTTACAAGGATAAGTGTTTTTTCCCCAATAGTTTACAGTATATTGCATGAGCACATTTCACACCAACAACTGTCCTTTGTGAACTAAATTAGTTCAAATTATGAAATTGCTTCTGTGGTGTGGCCCACTTTGTAGGCCCACAGCTGCTCAGTACCTGTGCTTGCGTGTAGCCTAGCATAGGTTCGAGCATAGCTACTCTCTTGCGATACTGCAGGGCGTTGAGGGCGCAGTAATACTGCAGTGAGGCCTGGTGCTGCTTCCTTCTAGTGTAGGCCACCTCTTTCACCAAGTCTGACTTCAGCTGTCCGGACAGGAGAAAGTTAAACATGCAAATACATATACAAACGTGTCCAGCACAAACTCACAATCAAGCTCTGCACACACACTCGTGCATATGCAAACGCTCTCACACACATACAAATAAGTAACACTGTTGCATTATCTTGTACGCCAACGAAGACATGGCGACACATTCAATAGAAGATTATAGTAGAGGAATCTTGCGGCCATTACAGTGCATGTTGCTGTTACAGTTTTACAGTGGGGCCTGGCAGTAGAGGAATATTTAATTCCACATATTTATATTTCAAATGATTATAAAACACTCCTACTGCATTACCAGAACTTTACTGCACTGCAAGTCCTTTTACATCTTGTGATCAATGGGCAAATAGCTCCATCAGTGAAGCTGAGAAAGCACTTTCCAGTCACTTTACCTTCTCATTCTCCTTCTTCTTGGGCAATCGGCTGTATTTGACCATGGCTGCCTCATGTTCTGCAGGAGAGGAGAGAAAGGACATGAGGATCAGATAGTAACTGTAGGCTGTAATTGTTTTCTGAAATAGGTTAGGATTTGTACTTACCATCAGTGGCGATGCCAAATATTTCCTTCAGTGTGCTTATCTCTGAAACGTAAAATTTTAGTTAGAACATCTAAAACAGATCCACATCTTTAAAAATGCATTATAGTAGATAACTCAAGCTGTTGGATGATAAAATGGTTTTACAAACTGAATCCTTAATATTTTAGAATTATTAATGAATGTGACTCGTAGCTTTGTTTTGAAATGTGTGTTTTTATATTTAGAAGAAGCTTTTTGCTTTAATATTCTAAACATTATTACAGAGAAACGATTAATTATCTGTAATAATATGACAATAATGTGTTATGCTGGAGTCAGGTGGCCTAGCAGTTAAGGCGCTGACCATGAACCACTGGTTGGAAACCTTTGTTCCATGTCATTTTCTGTAATTTCCCTACTGTCAGCTTGGTAATGAAAGGCATAAAATACAGCAAAAATACTTTAAAAAAGATAAAAATAGACTATGATAATGAGTTGTATGTGTGTGGCCCTACCTGTGAGGTCTTTCTCTCGGAACTGGATCAATGGGAAGACCATGCTGTCAGCCATCTGGTTGGCTAGCTCAGAGTGGAGCGAGTTCAGCTGGACCACACAAAACAGATTATATAAAAAAATCAAGCTCTGCACAAGGACACAAACAGAAAATGTACCCTCGCCAAACATCTTGAGGGATTTCAAATGTATTATAATAAGTACAGTGACATTGGCTGCCAGTTACTCCTGCAGCAATCTGTAAAGTAACATTTTTGGTGCTCCAATGCGTCCTACATCATAAAAATCTCATATTGTGGAACAGTACATTTCATGAAGAGAACAATAAAAGTGCTGTTTCCTCCAATATTGGAAACAGGACCACATATCGCACAAACAAGCAAATCCTGCTTTAATTCTGTATACTTATCAGCAAGCTACACTCCAACATCTAACAAGCTGACAACCAGTTTAATCTGAATGATTTAGCAAGTGCTAAAGTTCACAGGATTAGGTGCAGGGCTAATTTTCACTGTGAAATGAGTTCTCCGCTGTAAAGAGGTAAAGGTCGAGCAAACAATCAACCTGTGTCCTCTGAGCATATGTGGATGCGTGTGTCCTAAATCCTATTGAGTGCTGACTGGGCAGGGTTGTGGACCCCCATGGCTGACAGGGAAAGGCCCGTCTGTTTTGTCTATATACCTGAGCCAACACACCCCTCCTTCACCCATCCATCCACCGCTGCCTCCCTCCTGCCATCCATCCGGTGCCATAGGCCTCATATCTACCTCACTGTTCCACTCTTAGCATCAGCTTACTGGGAGGATAACGCTCAGGTCTCTTCATTGAGGTCATTTTTACCAGTATGCTCGGGAAGCGCAGGTGCAATACCCTTTATAACATGATAAAGAACCAACCACTGACCGTGCAGTACTTCATCATCCATCTCTACTGCTGTGAGTTCACACATAAATATACACACATAAAACCGCAAAACTGCAAACACAGGCCTCACCTCCCCCACAGTTTTGGCGAAGTTCTGCAGCGTGGTGATTACCTCTTCATCACCTTTTCCAAGGGCAAAATTCTAGACAGAAGAAGAAGGGAAGGGGGAACAAGCTTAAACCATGAAGCTCCATAATGTATAGATCCAGCGTACATGTGACGATTTCTGGCACGCCACTTTTATGGAACGAGGCCAGAGATGCTAATAAATCCCATGCTAAGCTGCTGAGTTATAGGCCTTGTTTTAAAGGAGCTAAAACTGCATCCATTACAGGTCATTGCAGAATTTTCTCTATCTAACATCTTCTCTGCAATCCAGAATGTGTTCCAACAAAGTCAACTGATCCACTTATCTTTCTTTTTTAAGCATGATTTAATAGACCTGCTGTGGTGTTGACTTCAGCAACTCTTCTGCTTTTAAGTTCTTGTTAGCTACATAAAATGAGACCACATGATACATTAACAACAGAGAGCAACTTCAAGGTTATATTTCACAGAGACACACATGCTAAGATGAGGTGTGGCAGACACATGCAATCTCACACGTTGAAAGAAAGGTCAGATAAAAATGATAATGTCCATGCTGGCAGTGCTCAGAATACAGGTTTGACTTTCTCATTTTTGATGCAATCATAAATATAATCGCACATTGGTAGAGTTTCTCAAATTATTTCACCTAAACTATGAGAATACATGTGTGGTCAAAGGCTTGAGTTTGCTTTCAGAAGGGTGGAAGGAAAAATGACATAAAAAACTATATATACTCATATACTTAAAAACCTCTAAAGCTCTGTATTGTAATTCACTAGGGATTAAACGATTACTGGTTTAATAAAAGGTATTTCCATTTCAAATTTTAATTATCATTAAAACCGTGTTTGGTTCCCACACTCAAGGTAAATACTGTGCAGCATCAAACAAAGCAATGACAATTTTGGTCCTTATAATCATGATATGAAATTTTCATATACACACTAGCAGCTGCCCTGTAAGCTCCTTCCTTTAAGCAAATTGTAATAACTGAAGGCGATTATGCCAAGTATGTCAGCCATGTTTGTCAACTATTCTCCTATTAGGACTACAGTGACTAGACAGTCAGAGGAAAATGTTCAGAAAGACTGCAGTAAGAAAATTAACTTGAAACATTAAAAGTGATGAGGGACATGTCCCATCATCCTCAATGGAAATTGAACCCTTGATTATGGTACTCATACTTACTTTCTTCTCATAGTCCAGAAGTTGCTGTGAGAGCTGCTCTGTGGCCAATCCCATCTCACTCTGTAGGGAGCAGACAGAAGGACAAGCAAAGTATTACTGGGGATTTGTCCATAGAGTCCAAGTTTGTCATCAAGTGAAAGGTGAATCAGGGTTAAAATGAAACTTCCTTTGGAAAGGACACTAGGTGATCGGGTCACATAAACACCAACTCTACCAGTAAACAATCACTATTGGTTCAGAAAAGTGCTAATCAAGACAAGTGTTGGGCTAATTACTCAAAAAAATAATGTTTTATCTCTGCCAACAGTCATTAGTTAGACTACTAGTCATATTACATTTCTGCTAATCCCCACAAAATTGGTAACTGTTCCACCCAAAATTATGACTTCTTTTCAGATGAAAAAACAAAAAAAAAACTCAAATCAAATCCTCCTCATTTTATTGTGTTTGAACACGTTTTGGCTGTTTCACAAAGCCACTTGCGAGTCTGTGTATGTGCATCTGTTTGTGTCTTGTTTAGTACCTGGGCGCCAAACACCCGCTGCAACGATTGTAGCAGCTGGTTGGTGTAGTTTGTAAGCATCCCAGCATCTTCCTCAAACACGCTGAGCAAGGAGCGAGTCTGTGGAACAAAACATTAACACACTCTTCTGATGAACATGACAAAGGGATGAACAGACGAGACGACTGCTAGATAATTGTAAACACAGCTGAAACAATTCTATTTCTATCAAGCAACAGACAATTAAGTAGAGTACTAATAGTGAAGCTCACAATGTTTCAAGTCCGTCTTAAAACAGTAGCCTGGTGCCCCACACGGAAACAGCTGCTTGTTGTCCGTACAAATACACTCTAAAGTCGATCTGAAGTTTGTTCAACGCTTCAACGTAGATATCTTCTAAGTACCAGAATTTTTAGAAAAAGATACTTTCTTACTAAACACTGCAACTGTGGAAGATATCCACTCTATTTGAGTAACTCAGACTGCTGATGATTCATATTAGCTTCAGATAAACTTTGTAAAACATGTTTCCGCAAAACGAGGACTTTAGGATTTACATTGGAAGTGCATCACAAAGGGATCTGTCAATGGCCAGTATGAACAGTAGGAAGGATCACAGCATGCAAAACCTGTTTCTGTGTTCATATGGGCACCTGATCATTTCTTTAAGACAGTCTTGAAAAACTGTGAACCTATCCTCTACTATTTTGATAACCGACTAATCGGTGTATTACTTTTTAAAGCAAAAATGATAAACTTCAAAGCTTCTCAAATGTGTGGATTTGCTGCTTTTTTTTGTCATATATGTTACTAAACTGAATATCTTTGGGATTTGTTACTGTTGGTCAGGAAAAGGAAGCTGTCCTCTAGGCTCTGGGAAATTACAATGTGTATCTTTCACAACGTTTTGACATTTTATAGAAATAACTATTAATCTATTAAATGGATAATCAGGAAAATAATTGGCAGATTAATCAACAATAAAAATAATTGTTAGTTGCTAACCATATCTTGGGGCAACATTAGTTCCAAATGAGTTTAAATGTTTGTTTTAACCATAAAAATCAAATGGGTGTGTTTATTACATCAGGACAATTCAGGTGGAATATTGTAATTGTTGTGTCAAATGTTCCTTATCCAGTTTTTGGACAAGATAATTCCCATATCAGTACTTAAGTTAAAGACAAACAAACACAATTTGAATCAGGTTTGGTGGGAACCTGTAACTCATAAAATACATGTAGGCTATAAGAAGCTTGCTGGAAGTGGGAAGAGGACACAAGACGCTGAGTGAAACCATATGAGGCTGAGTGAAGCATATTGAAGCGCTGCTTTGAAGTGAAAGTAGAGGCATAATGATTTTACTGCAGGCTGGCTATGCAAACTGAGAGAATCCTGTCTAGGTGTAGTTGTTTTTATAAACAGGTGCAGCAGGGCAGGGCAGATATAGCTGAGAGGAACACACCCATCGGCTAAAGTCTCTTTACATTTCACTCCAGTTGACTTCCACCACAGAAAGATTGAGAACCATTTCACACCAAAAAGAAATCATCTGGAATTACTGTCTTCTTCACAACTTTGCCTGTGTTTACATTTTACTGTAGACAGACAGCAGCCCCAGTTATTGATAGGAGAAACTGCAAAAAAAGAAAGAGATATGACCCTGCAGCATGGGCTGCACTTAAGCAGAACCACTAAAGAGGTCAGCCCTGTTAGAGGAAAGACTGATGCAGCAGACTGCAGAAAATACTTCATTAGATGGGCACAATAGCAAAGACTGTCCTGCTGTTGGCCTGATATACTCTTATATGAGGCCTAGGAGTTGGTGAACAACTTTCATTTAGCTAATGACTAATTCCAAGGGAGTCCGATAATGGAAACCCCTCCCACAGCCTGTGAATCAGGCCCAGTTCGGCTCCAGAATATAGTCTAGCCCTCAATATCTAACTGAATACGACACTGGAAAATAAAAAGGGTTGCAGGAGAGGGATTCTGGTTGAGCTATCGGTCGTGACATCTTCCATAGAGTCTGGATGTACACAGAATATCCCCAATGACAGAGAGGAGCCCTGTGACGAGCGGTAGCTTTGTAAAACACACCAGAAACACACAAATGCTGAACATTATAATTAGCTGGTTAAACTATAACATTGTTGACAGCGGCAAGGCGCTGCTACCCCTGACAGAGGATTACATTCCCATAACAATGTGTCAACAGGGAGCTGTCATCGACCAGTGGAAACCGCCTACAACGGGAGCAAGAAGCTAGTCTGGGCTAGTAAGCTAACTTCAGCGCCTAACGTCTCTTTGTGTGACAGCTGTGTCTTTAAACGTGATATAACACACACGGGCCTACCTGAGGACTGTCCTGTAAAGCGTCCTCCAGGAGCAGTTTGTGATGTACGGCCGGCATCTTGTTAACCTAGCGGTGGAGGAGAAGGAATGGGAGCTTGAATTATTTAGTGCGTGGACTCGGTTTCCCAGAAGTCTCCGCGCGGGTGAGAGAGTTACGTAGAGGTTGGAGGCGGGCCCAAGTGTGAGCTCATCCACAGCCAGAGAGCATCTAGTCACTAGTAAAAACAGCTGCACTTTGACTTTGAACGACTTAATGTGTACGGTTTTATATTTAATTTACTTGTGTTCTGAAAATATGATTTGTTTGATAACAAACTTCGACGGACAGTTAGCTGTTGGCTATTAAAGTGAAGGTAGGCTACGTCTAACTTTTTACCATTTTAGTGTCAACAGTGACCCCATGCGGACATATGAAGAATTGCAGAGTTTAGTATTAAAGTACTGAAATACTATGAGAATTATCAATGGTTTTAATTAAAGTTTCATTCATTCTGTGACTTTTCCTTTACAAAATATTTAATTTCAATAATGAACTTTTGGATTTAGAATTATGATGGAAAAAATGCTTTTGATGTGACATTTTCATATTACTTATTTTTTTCAGTCCACAATCAAAGTTATTTGACTGACAATAAAACAGACTAAAGCAAAAAAGAAACGCAAATGTTTGGATTTTTTAATAAATCATGAACACAATTTATTTCAATTTAACAGTTAATTTTCTGCTAAACGACTAATCATTTAATTTATTGAGATTAGATTAGATGTTCTTTCAACTTGCTCAGGTCAGTACCATACCAACAGACAAGCAACAATAAATACGTTAAAAATCACACAGTTTTTAAACAGAAAGCAATCCCTTCTATGCTAATTCTGTGAGTGTGTGCATGTGATTGTTTGAGGACATTTCTCTCCACATTTGATGTCAGAATTTAGATGCATAGAATTATCAACAAGGCTCTGGGTTCCTTAAAATTTATCATTTTAAGGATAGGAGATTATCATTAAAATGTTTGTCATGGGGCAACAATCTGGGAATTATTTATTACATACAACAATTAACATAGTTGAGAACTTTTAAAATCACTTCTACTCACTAAGTCCTGGAAGTGATCATCATCCAGCTCTCGTCTTGTTTTGTCTCAGTCATAATTGCCAAACTACAGGCGGGGCATGTGATGTGCTGAATATTGTTGGAGTTACTGGATCTCTAATTACTTCACACTTCCTGCAGAGGCTGCACACATCCGGGGCTGAAAAAACCTTCCTTGACTGATCCCACCCTGTATGATAAAGTGAGTAATCACCATGCTGTTGTGCTCTCCAAATGTCAGATACTCTGACGACTATGTTTTCTAATGTCACACTTTCTCTTTCCACCATACTGTATGCCCTGTAAGAGCCCATTGTTACATCTAACAGACCTCCAAAAAACAAAAAAAACATCTGCCATAAAAAGTATAAAATTAATAATAATTACATTTCAGTGCATAGACTGAAGACAGAAACAGTCTGTTGACATCAGATACTGTAAAATAATCTACTGTATTTGAACAATCTTCATCAATGGATGGTTGGTGGAACAGTATTTTCAAATAGTTCTTTCAGGGTGAATTTTTACGGTGGTCGACAAGGGCAAATACGCCACAAACAGCAAAACGCTGCAAACACAGGAATGATGCAAAACCAAAAACACACAAACACATAAAACAGAAAAAAAAAGGAAAAAGTTATAGTTACGTAGCTAATGTTAGCGTGCTAGAAACTTTGATTTATAAGAGCTTGTGTTTATGTAAGGGATAATGCCCGGCCAGGTGTCCGTTACCTCTAATTAACTAATGTTAGACGGTAGAGGAGGAGGGCGGTGGAGAGGGGTTCAAATGAGACCAGAACACAGAAAACACAAATCAAACACCCATATAATTAACTGAAAGTGGAATATTGAAAAAGGTATTTTTATTTCATTTAATTTAAATGTTCAGGAAAACTAAAAATCCACTCTCTCTGACGTAACCTCGCCGATTTCATAATCTCCTCTTTCCGCTCACAGGGAGTGGAGTCAATTTGCAGCATTTTTCTTTGGCAGTTGTTTTGTGGGTTTGTAAGTTTTTGCTTCTGCCTCATTCCTGTGTTTGCAGCATTTTGCCGTTTGCAGCATTTTGTCGTTTGCGGCGCGTTTGCCCTTGTTGGCCACCGTAGAATTTTCCTTAAAAAAGAGCAAAATTTGAGGGCTGACGTCTGTGTTATGGAGGTATAGATTGATGACTTTTGATCAGGTGAAAATAAAATACATGAGTTAATAAAACAATAGGTGCCTGAGTAGAAAGAATAATACAGTCAATACGTGTCTTAGTTTGGAATGAAAAGTGTTAATAGCAAGTACATAAAGAGGAGTACTGGAGCACAAGGATCACAGTGTATGTTGCTGCCACATCTATTTTGAGAACAGCAATAAGACCGTGTTGTTAGGGAGATAGCCTACATCTCGGGGTAATGTCACTTAAAGAAACCCTAGAAAGCAGATTAAACACAAGATATAATATTGACATGGTCTCGGTTATTCGACTTGATCGAAGACATTTGAGGTCTCAATAACTTGTCTTATTGACTTGTTTGGATGGTCACGTCTTGTTGTGCTCTGTCTTGGTAATGGAGGCTATCCGTGACAAGCAGTGCCTTCTCATCAAGCTCCCAGGCAACCTGAGCAGGAGCACATTCTTTCCTCCCCAGTGGACTTGTGTTGTTTAATTGGTTAAGTTGTGGCTCTAAATTAGATAAAGCATTTCAGTACTGACTTTGTTAATTAATTGTGTTTTGCTGGCTCGGCTAAGTCTGGCCTATAAAAATAGATGTCAGTGGAACTAACCTGGATTTAACAAAGCAATGATTCAGCTGACAAAGGAAACACACTCTCAGGGGAAAGTAGAGAGGAATTGTTTAATGATTGACTGGGACAGTACAAGTACATGAAAGTACCCTTCTTACAAGTCAATTATTGTACACTTACCCTTTATAGAAAAGTACAAGTAAAGTATACCCTTTCTGGCCAAAATGTACCTTCAAAGGAAGCATCTCTGTGTGTCTGCTCACAAAGATAAAGCATGTTTATGTTAATAGGAGGTATAATGGTTAGCATGTAATTTGCACACATTTACAAACATTTGCTTGCTAATTACCACTAAACACAAATAACAGCTGATAATGATGGCAATGGCATTATTTTATGGTAAAAACAAATGAACCATTTGACCTGATGTGTAGTGCTACATGTGTGTTTGAAATTTGATGGCAATCCATCCAATAGTTTCACAAAAGCACAAATGTGAACCTCTTGGCGCCACGAAAAATTACCCAGAAAGCAAAATATGACTGAAAATGAAAAGCACTTATGTTTAATGTTAAATAACATCAGATTTTCAACCATGAGTGACACTGAATTGATATTGATTCACCCACTATCTAAAAGGGGGCTTATACTAATTAACCACAAGTATTCAGACCTTTTCATGACATTTTCTTTATTTGTACAACATTTGTAGAACATGATATTGTTTTCAACATGTACAAGTAAAGTGCTACTTTAAGGATTAAATGCCTACCATGGAATATTTATTAAAATATACTTGAAGATTAAAGTAGTGTAATTTCACAGCATTTTTTTCAATTAAGCAATTCATAAAAAATTATAAAGTTTGCAATATATCAAATATCTCTCTCTCTCTCTCTCTCTCTCTCTCTCTCTCTCTCTCAGTTTACTCAGTATATGCAAGAAATCAGACAGCACTGTTCAGTGTTTTGCTCACATCACTTGGTTGTAATTTAAGTGGAAGCATAATAGTGAGATGAGAGTAAAAATTAGACCATATTTTAACATCAGACAAGCTTATAGCTAGCCTCATGCTGGCTGACTTACAATATTTAACAGTAAATAGAACCATGTTACAATAGTTAACTAAATAATGTAAAGACACCAAGATAATGGCACTTAGTTCAAATGTTTTCTATTAAAATCTACATATCAGGACATTGCCAAATAACTTATGGTCTGCTTATATGCATTTGTTTTGTTTTAGCTAACTATTTACAAGAATAATAATCAATAGATTAATTTATCCACTATATGCACAATAATGCACAAACTGACCTAGCATTTTCCTACTTCTTTCTCAATAGGATGGCGAGAGATGATGAGAGCATTTGGTAGTTCATTCTTGCCCAGTCCTCGTTTGATTAGAAATATTTTGCCGGGAAAGCTAGGAGTGAGTACAATATTTATTAAATGTAAGTATTTCTGTGCTGAAAATATTGTCCTCTTCCAGTGTTGATTCAATGACGTTAGCCCAACATATAAACTGACTGATGTAGACACTTAGATTTTAAAGTAGAGTTTTCAACATGAGCTATATAGCAACCTTTTTGACCAGAACTCAATGTGGAATTAACAACTTTTGCTGCCTGGGTAGGTTGATCGTCTGGGGTCCTAAAATGTCTAAATAAAACTTTGTGCTAATCCATCCAATATTAATGACCAATTCCTCCTGTACTGCTATCCTTTTTGCTGCTAATGTCCGCTTTTGGTCTGGGGAGGCTACGGATAAAGACCAAGCAGAAGCGGTTACAAATGCTTCCCACCCACCAAAACTGCCACTTGCAGCACTGAGGCTACATTAAACCATCTAAATTTTAAAGCCCCTGTTTTCATGTATAAACGATTTGCATCCACATTAGTGTTTCCAGCTAACTTTTGTCCACAGTAGACGCCTGAACATATTGATGTTTAAAATGACAGAAAAAGCAGGACAGAAAGTTGTCGTCTTAACTTTGCTGCCAAACAGCCTCCTGCCTGTTACTAGGCTACACACACACACACACACACACACACAGCTGGTTACAACTCTGTTCAGTCTCCTTCTGCTCTCTGTTGTCACTTATACTTTTTTAATACAGGAGAATTCACGATGAAAATAATAATAATTGTTCTCAGCGGTTGCCAGGCAACCAGCAGAGACTCCAGGAAGTCACGAACTCAAGCTAAGAAAAAGCCAGATAACCCCCCCCCCATTAAATGGTGAATTTTCATTTTTGAACTAAACAAATTAGATACCGTATAAGGTGTTAATTGAGAGGAGAGGAGCTGGTAGGCGAGTTGTGTTACCTTTAGACAGAGCCAGGCAATTATTATTACTATACTACTAATTAGGGATGTAGAAGACACATGTAACTCACAATCTGACACAATTCCTGATACTGGGTTCATGATACAATTTTCTCCCAATTGAATAATTAGATGAGATGAGAAGGCAAATAATGACTGAAAAAGATTTTCCCAGACAAAACACAGCAAAATAAACTGTCTCTTATATTTTCTTTATCAAATTATAGAACCTTTTTTTAATTTCTGAGGTAGGGTATGAACTGTGCAAAACAATGCACATTTACTTTGGAGAAGTGAAACTAATATCACTGCGCCTTGATATCGTGATTTATATCACATCGGTATTTGAATCTTCACTATCTGTATTGCAATTTAACTGTCTGGCGATATATCTTTACAATCCTACTAATAATAATATTTATATTTACTATTAGCTTTTCCCCCTGTTTCCAGTCTTTGTGCTAAGCCAAGCTAACCAGCTGCTGGACTTAACTGACAGATCTTCTCATCTAAATCTTTGCTTGAAAGTGTATTTCCCAAAAAATTTTTTTCCAACTTTTAAGGTGGATTGATAGGTATACCTTTTTCTGTACCTGTCCTGTGATTTCATTTACCAGTAAATAGCGTCTTGCAATTATAAAAGCCTGTATGGCAAACTAGCACAAAAAACACAGTGGTGAAATTCTGATGCCATTTTTGTTTGAAGGCAGTTCTCAGTGAAAACATCTCTTGACTCTCTGCCAGGCCGACATCTTAACATCATAAGATGACACCAACACTGACTGAATGTGAGAATTTTTTTCACTGGCGGGGAGTGCTAATGTAATGCATCCTGCCCTCTAAACTCCACTCATATGACTGCACTTAGTCTTGTCAGAGCATACAACAGTGTGACTGAAGGAGAGGAAAAGGGATGTATTGAGATTTAGTGCAGGCTTTAAACTAATTTAAGCATGACCCTCGTGGTTTCGTGAAAAGACTGTTTCAGTGTTTTTCAGCTTCTCGCTCCATTACTTGTCAAGAGCTTAAACAATCGAGATATGTTTGTTTGTGTTTATGTGTTTATGTGTGTCCCAGCGATACAAAAAAAGCATGAATAAAAAGTCTTCTATGTTTCAGCACAATTTGAGGATTTTACAGGATGTCACACACACTGATATATTGATGCCCCTTAAATGCATAAATTTTTTTTCCACCTTTATATAAAAAAGCAGCTCCCTATTGGTTGAGTTTCACCCCACCCTCCGCCTCCTATACCCTGGTTTCCCGGGCAACCATGTCCGGGTGGAGGAAAAGAGCAAATCATGTGAGGGCATAGCATCTCTCTCCCCTCTCTCTCTCGGAGTGTACGTGTGTATAAAAGCCTCTTTCTCCATGCTTTCACTTCACTCTCGGCTTTCCATTGCATTGCAGAGAGGAGCAAGGCTGAAGGGAGCGGAGAAGAGGCACGACCAAAGGAGATCCCTGTGTTACAGTGGGAGACAATTCTTTGACCTTCCCTCTTTTCGTCTCTCTCTCTCTTTCATCTCCTCCCCACATTCTCCCCCTCTCCCAATGTGGTTTGGGTCTCCCTCCTTTCCTTCTCCTCCTTCTTCCTCTTAAGCGTCTCCGCTCTGCTTGGACGGTGGCTGCATCGATGCAAAATGGGTTGTGGCAATTCCTCAGCCACCAACACCTCAGGAGGGGGTGAGTGTTTGTAGGGAATATGTGTGTGCATCTGTATGTATGTATGTATGTGTGTGTGTGTGTGTGTGTGTGTGTGTGTGTGTGTGTGTGTGATAATGGGTGAGTGTGAGGGAGAGAGTTGTCACTGTATCAGCACCAAGGGGAGAGGGTGTTTTGAATGTAAATGAAGTCTGGCAACCTTGCATTCAGTGTATGTCCTCAGATGTTTGTATGTGTATTATCTGTATGTGTGTGTGTGTGTGTGTGTGTGTGTGTGTGTGTGTGTGTGTGTGTGCGGAGGGGCGCTCTCAGTGTCTTCATTTCATTCATAAATAAATAGACAGCTGTATATCATATTGTATGTTTGTGTCTCAAAATATCTACAAAATTGGTTCAATCTCCCTCTATGTTCATCAGTTTGCGGCACACTGGCTGCCGCTCTATAGTGTGTGTGTGTGTGTGTGTGTGTGTGTGTGTGTGTGTGTGTGTGTGTGTGTGTGTGTGTGCATGTGTATGTGTGCAGTGGTGTCCTATGGGTGGTGGGTCAATCACAAAGGGTCCCCCATGTTCTAGTATCCAGGGTAGTAGCCTCAAGGATGTACTGCTTTGATAATGATAATGACACTGATACTGTAATTACAATGTCTACATTGATACAAAGGTGAGTCCTCCATAGGTCACCTCTGTGTTTCTGTGTTTTTCTTTCTCTTGGTGTGTTTGCGCTGATTTCCATTGATTTTGTGGATTAAAGACAAGCAGTTTCATTGACATTTAGCTGTCTTTGTTTCCCCACTTGACTGACACTGGCTGTGCCTGTAAGCAGGCAGCTCTGACACTCAATGGCCAGGTTTCATTCATAAAGCCCGAAAGACACATTTGAATGGAGAATATACTGTATCTCGTGGTTTTACTAACACTCGTCCAAATACCGTGCTTTACCGTCCTCACATCTCTCTCAGTTGATTTAGGCTGATACAAGACCTATTTGAAATTATACTGAGCAAATCTCTGGGCACCACAGTCAAATTGAGATAATAATTAGATTGAAGTATCTGCAGGATTACCTCACCACCACTGCCCATTAAAACAGTATAGTGTGTGCTTCTTTAAATATATATGTGTGAGTGTGCGTGTGTGTGTGTGTGTGTGTGTGTGTGTGTGTGTGTGTGTGTGTGTTTATGCATGCAGCTACCTAATCAGTGCTTGCCAGGCATGTTAAAAGAGCCACAGGAAGCTACCGGGAAATGCAACCTATTGTCTCTTGCCTGTCTGTGTCTGAGTTTGTTGTGAATGAGGCATGTTTGTCTATGAAGGCCAGCAGCTGTGTTTTCTATGCAGCAGGTCCTATTTTTCTTCTCTTTCTTAGAGGTCAGTGTTCAGCAGTGTCAAGGACGTGTGACACCCTGTCACTTTGACAGATGTGGACTAGTGGCTGCACTTATTTGTTCATGCTAGCTTACACCAGGCCACAGTTACACAGGGAACTGTTTCCCTCACTGTTATTTTCTGCAGAATTAAGATTGAAGAACTTCCTGCTCCTATTATATATTATTTTAATCTAGGATGTATAACATAACACATAAAACACAATTGTGCCAATGCATATCATTATTTGGTAACAATATTTTTATTCCACCTGTTTAGCATTTATAATCGATATATAAACAGTTAATAAATGGTTTATAACACACTATAATTTATTTATGTATATGTCAACAACTGTGTAAAACACAGTTGTAATTATATGGATGATGTCTTTATAGAAGAAGTTATGATTGTTGACAAATTGTGAACATTGACACTTAAAAATGTCTTTATACCTACATATAACTACATTATAGTGTGTTTTTATACGGCTTAATTGGTGGGTTAAAGTAATGTGTTATCATTTAGTGTTTTTGCTTGCGATAATGAAATCATGACCACAACCAAAGCCCTTCAGGAAACTTTAAATTCATACAAGAATGTCAAATGACTGCCTCAGTGCACTCTATATCACATTGCTCATCCCAAGTCTTATGCACCCAGACGTGACCCTTTCGATATGAATGAGCTTTTGTCAGGCTACTGAATAGGCTCCTGTGTCATGTCAGCAGACTCAAACGTTTACAGTGAAAAAAGCCTGCCATTCCTTTTACAAGGGTGAAATTCACTGTGTAAAGTAGATTCTCCAGTTTTTTACTATTACATTTTATTCTTGTAACATTGTTTTCAAGGCACATTTCTACTGTCATACAATGCAGTATGGCATTGAAAAACAATTGAAGAGCAGAATTGAGGCTTTTGTTCCCCTTCTGCTGTCAATATGATACTCTCTGTTCACGCAGGAAGTTAGATTATCCTCCAGTTGAATGTATTATGATCTTATTTCAATTCTCATCAAGTTTCGTGGGCTGCCTGTGGTTCAGCAAAGAATGAGCTGTTGTCAGACCATAAGAGTCAAACAGCACTGGGATGAGCACAACGGGTGTCATTTAGAATTGAGGCATTTCACACTGTATGTCTTGTCTCAGTCCTCTGTAAAAAGCCAATTGTTTAGAGAGTGTAAGTAGCCTATATACTGAAAACCATTATTGTGGCTGCACTGCAAACGTTAGCACTCAAATTGACTTGAAAAATGGTAATACTCCAAACATATTACTCTGAAATACAAATCATGTATTGAAAAGTTGGTATTTTTATTGGTAATATTTTTGTGTCAGTGCTTGTGTTATTTGTATGAATTTATTGTTGAGTTTTATATATGTAAAGGTCAATCTAGGGGCAGGCTTGCAAACTAAGTAAATGCTATAAATGCTGTGGTGTATGGAATTTGTTCATCACGATAATTATCAGGGCAAATAAATTATCGTCTGATAATGGGAAATGTAAATTATAATAAATTGAATATTATAAAAAAATTTCTGTCCATAAAAAAAATATATTTTAAATTCTTATGCAAAACTTTTGATAGACTTTCTGTTCTATGAAAGCCAAAGTATGTTTGTGAAGTTTTTTGATGTAACCAAGGGTGATGTGAGTTTGGTTATGGAATATAAATACAGCCTTTCTTACCATCAGGTGTGTAAAAACCTCTTTTTAAAATACAACAATTTGAAATTAATGGTTATTTTATCAATATTGGCCATGAGAAGCAGGTAATTATTAGTTACTGTATTAACTGAAAAAAAAGAGGCATTCCTACCATTGTTTTGAAGAATGGCAATAGATAGAGCTTTGGTTATCATCTGGAGGCACATTAATCGTGATCTGTACAAAAAGATGAATACTTATACACTGCTATTTCATAACTTCAGCAGTTATTTTATGCTAAAACAGATACATCTTTTACCTTAAGAAGACTATTTGTTGTTGAAACTTTGCTAGATACAACTTTATAATGTTACTTGATAATTGATTGGCAGTTTAAACTGTACTTGTGTACTGTTTTAATGTATGTTATCTTAAGATGTAAAATAACTAATAGCTGGAGAAAAGTGTTGTAGAGTAAAATCGAAAATATATTAACCTATTTTAAAATGATGGGGAGGAAAAGAAAGCAGACTTGAGTACTTACTTCCTTTCAACATTAAGTCCAACTCATTAGGTCATTAGGTTCACTGGCAACCTTTTTCCAGCACTATGTTTTTATACTGCACAGGACTTGTAGGGAGACACCAGACAGCAGAGACTAAGGTTTGGATCCTGAGCCTGTTCGGGTAGGTTTAGGCAACAAAAGAACTTTGGTTAGGGTTGGAAAACGATTGTGTGTCAGTTAAATGTTAATAAAGTAAACATGTTGTACCTCATGCTTCAAGTTAGTGTTACATTTGAAAAAAATAAACTAAGACCTTGATCTTTTCCGAATTTAACCTTAAAAAGTGCTGTGAATGCCGACACATAAATATGAAAAATGTTCATTATGCGTCTATTTGAGCAAATATTAGCAATATTAAAAAAAAGAAATACGTTGTCAGGGAACATTTTGCAGATTAGCTTGCTATAAATATTTTGTACTTAAAAGGTTTCTTCATTATGCTGATTAAAAAAAAGTAGGTTTGCCCTTTTGTGAAGCTTCATTCCTGTCTCGACTGCCCGGATTACAGGAGGTCCATGGAAATCTCCCAGTTGGTCTCATGGAGTGCCCACTGAGGATGACACCACCAAACCTTCATAAATCATTGCCAACTGAGGGTCCTTACCTTCACTATTGTCACTCTGAGCAATTAAAGGAGTGTTGTCAGTAGCATCTTAAGTGTTAGCTGTTAGAGGATGTGATTTCTGCAATATGTTCTGAAATAGTGAGCAGGGAGCTACTAGACAAGTCAGATAAGAGGTGCGTTGAAGTGTGATGTATTTTACAGTGCCAGTTGTTAAACACACTGGGATTAATCAGTAGTGAGGTCACACACCTCCTTCTTTTACAATGAAGATTAATCAAATCTTGTCTTTTCATCTGTTTTCAGGGCCAGCAGAAGTCACCAAAGATGTGTAAGTACAGCAGTCATTTTCTAACTTTTAAATTCTATTCTCTGTGGCCTCCAGGCTTTGTACATCATACATAAATGTACACGCTACATCTTAATAAAAGAGCTTTACATACCTACCCATGTTTTATTTGTTAAATATACATCTGTGGCAAAGTATTTCCACACTGGACACTGCACTGATGTTATACAACTGTAGATATACAATGTCTCAAAGCATTTTACAGTAAAGCACATTAATAGCATGTGGAACTTAAAGTATTACAAAGCATTATATTGCTTTAAGTAAAACACACACACCATTATGTTTGTGGAACTACAAGCGGTAGGACCCAAATGCATGACAGAAGACAGAACCTGCAAAGCCACTCCGAAGAGCGGACAGGATGAAGACTAGAGGCCTCCCTCTGTGGCCTCAATGGAACTCTGTGTGAAAATGTCCAGGCAAGTGCCTTCAAAAGGTGACTTCAGCTTGTCAGCTCCTCAAACAGTAGTCTCTGGAACAGGTGGCTGGTTAGCCAACTCAGAACACACAGGATCAGGAGAAGTAGATAACAGCTTAGCCAGCTCAGGGCAGACTGGAGTGCTGGCTGAGGTGAAGGCAGGTTGCTAGCAGACTGGGAAGCTAGCTGGATGCTAGCAGGCCGAGGTGCAGACTGGAGGCTAGCTTGCTGAGAAGCAGGGTAGGGGTAATAAGAAGTCCGTGAGCCACATAGGTATTGAGTTCTGAAACCAAGGTTTAGAGGATACTGGCTTCCTCGCCATAGACTGAGCTGCTTCTTTAATTTCAGTGCAACCGGCCTTCCTCCAAACATCTTTAACGCACTGGAGGGTTGCAACCAAGTCATATAGCTGATAATCCATATCTCTGTCTGCTGAGTCCATAGATGTCCAGTTTGTACTGTTAAGACTGGTGGAACTACAAGTGGTTGGACCCAAATGCAGACAGAAGACACAGGATCTTTACTTGTGATGGTTCGGTACACAAGAGGTCCAGTAAAAAAACAAAAAAACAAGCAGAAATCCCCAAAAAACAGAACACACATGAGGAATTGCTAGAACGTTTTGACACTAGGAACAAAGACGAACTGGCACAGAGGAAACGAAACACAGGCAATAGATAGTGACACAGGTCAACACAATCAAGGTGGGGCATACAATCAAACTGGAGGGAAAACAGAAAAAAGGAAGAAAGTAAAGCAACACAAGACACAAGAGGAGGAAAACTACAAAATAAAACAACAAGACAAACTGACTAGAAAATAAAACAACTCTAATATTATGACAGACATGACACTTTCATGGAGTCAGTCGTGTTGATCTGCCAGGTAAGCAAGCAAACCATTGCTCTAGATAAGGCCGTTCACATTTTTTGGCCACCGTAATTTCTCCTCCTTTCTTTGAAGAGGAGGGTGAAGCGAGGGATATGCAATCTGAAACTACGCCGCTAGATGCCACTAAATCCTACACACAGGTTAATTTACATCAGTGATGGCTGTACACAGCAATAAAAAATATCTTAAGATCTTTCACTGTATTTTATCAATTATACATTTACCAACACAAAATGCTGTTTTTAATTAATATAACAAAGTCTTTACAATATATATGAACTTAGATATAATCAATATGTAAACAAAAATTTGGATTGGGCCTTTGAGTAAACATTGCTCTGTTTAATTTCCTTTAATTTAAAGGTTTGCCACCCAAAACAACAAACATTTTCACAGCTGTTCATCATGTCATGTTTTTTGTGTACTGTGTCTTTGGGATGAGTATATATATATATGGAAACACTTTTATATTTCAATTCCCCCTCAAACATATAAAAATTAAATATAATGCAGATAACCATTTTCAATATTTTCACAATGCGTATTCAAGATTTGGCTTTTAATCTGTAGATTCTGCTGCGACAATCTTTGGCCCCTTAACAAAATCCACTTTTCCACACCAACAAAAGGAAGAAAATAATGAAATCCGGTCATAAAATTCTCTTTTAATAAAAATTAAAGAAATCTCCTGGCTTTAGAAAAACTATCAATTCAGACTTGTTAAATTCTTTTGTGAAGTGTCATACAGAGTACAGTTACCGTCTATCAAAGTTTAGGGAGGGGCACCAATTCCAAAGCATTTCCTGGAATCAGTATGTCTGTGTTTGTGTACTGCTCATATATGTCTTTGTGTGTGTGTGTGTGTGTGTGTGTGTGTGTGTGTGTGTGTGTGAGTGTGTGTGTGTGTGTGTGTGTGTGCGCTCCTTGATAACTATCAGCACAGGACCCATGAGAGCTGACAGCAGGACACTACTGACTCAAAGCTAATCACAGCTTCCTAGAACTGTACTACACAGCACAATATCACACACGCACACACAAACAGAGATTACCAGTATGTGAAATATAAGATTAGGGGAATAATATACCCCGAAAGCTTCATGACTGCCCTTAAAAACAAACAAACAATAACAACAAAGAAAGACAAACAAGTTTATTTTGAGCTGGTTGTTCAGTAGCAATTCAGTCCAATCATCAGTTGCTCAGAACTCCCAAAAGGGAATTAACAATATTCCCAACAGGGCTAATGCAGCATGGCTCAAATGTTCTGCAGTGACAAGATTGCACTTCCACAGCCTTCTGTTACCTTCTTCTAATTAGTTTGTTTACTTGTGCTCCTAAGAGCTGACCTGACCCGTGCTTCTTCTCTCAATCAGGACAGAAGATTCCTCGGCAGAAGATGAGAAAAGAAGGTATTTAATTTCCTCCAAATTAATTGTTATTTAAATTATTTTTTTTTCTGGTGCTGTTGGATGGTGGATAATCAATACACTTTTGCAGTGTGTAATGGCAAATGTTCTTTGCTTTGTTTTTCATTGGAAGACATTTTGACATGTCACAGTAGGAAAAGCACAGCTGTAAATAATAAATTGAATGATGGCTCAATTCCAATCGGCTGCCTCATTGTTAATGTTATTAGTAACACCTGTGCTTTTCCTACTATGACATGTCAGCTCAGTAGTCATTAGATGAGACAGATTTTACTCAATTTAAGTCTAAATTGCACCATAATTATTAGAGATAGTCTAAATTAGCATAACTAAAACATTCTGAATTTGCATTATGACCAGTATTTCTAATTATTCTAATTGGTGGTAACTGCTAAAAACAATGGATGGCCAGACGGTAAAATCATCAATCATCTTTTTAAAAAATGTTTTAAGCTATCCACAAGGATCACATAAAAGAGACTATAGACTATATGACTATGACACCTATATATTAAAACTCTGGTGATAAAGGTGCGGTATCTTTCAACAACAGCTTGAAAGATATAAAGCGCTAATGCATTCAACATAATTCAATTCCTACTTTGTCTTCTACATTGTTCTCCTCTCAGGAACTATGGTGGTGTATATGTAGGTCTACCAGCAGACCTGACCACTGTGGCTGCTAGTCAGTCCAAGTCCACACATAAAGGTAAACAATTATAACACTGTACGGTATGTCCCATATTCTGGAAAATTAGCATCTCGCCATAGAAAATTAAGGACACTGTTGGCATGTTAGGGCAATATTAAGATGGTTCCTCTGACTTTGATGAGCATCTTGTAAGGAAGTAGTTCAGGGCGTACTGAGAGAAATAATCCCTACTGGCCGAGCCACCACCCCATCAAACCACATGCTTGCCTGCAGCATTTGCGATTTTATTTGAACTTTATCTTTACTGAATCTTAATACGAAGCATTCCCTTACAGTTTGGCTACTCATAGCTGTGAAATATGGTTCACAAAATGTATTTTGACAAAGGCATTTCAGCATTGTACTTTGCTATTCCTATAGGGGTAACTTCTGCCACTGTTTATGTAACTTTCTGACAGAGCTCTGGAAATTGTAAAGCAATGTAATACTATACTATACAAGTATGAAGAAGTTACAGTTAAAAAACTGCTACCTTGCTGTTGTATTTTGCAGGAAGCTTTCCCCTATCATATAATTATTTAATATAATAATGAATTGATTCGTTTTTGTATTCTATGTCACAATAAGCATTGGGTCTTTTTTCCACTGAGGTCTCAGTTCGAACTGCTAGGTAAAGTGTGTGTGGGTGTTTTTCGAGCACAGTCTTGACATTGCGAGAGACAAGAACAAGAAATTTGTCATTATCCTATAAATATCTGGGTACTGATTGTGTTTTCCCCACTTTTGCAGACTAGCAGCTACTGAAGCGAACACAGCACAGGTACTCAAAAATGCAAGCTTTTCACATCTTCCAAAATGTCTTCTCTTAAAGTGAACAAAACCTGGTACAAGACTCACATAAAAGCTAATGACTCTGTTCTTTGTCTCGACAGGATCCTTCATATTCATTCACCTAGAGACACTCACATTACAAGAAAGAGAGCATGTAAGTGCTCCGATTCTGGCTCACCACACACTGAATAAAGTCTCAGGCATTAACACTCTCATTGAGCGGGGATGTGGACAGCTTGCCGGAGCTCAAAGGACGCTGCCTCATGGAGTCATGCGTGGCACAGTGACGCAGGGAAGCACAGTGGAGGTCTGCATATGGCATCCATCATCACCTTTCACTTTGCAAAAAAAAAAAAAAAAAAAAAAAAGATGGGCATCAAAGCGGACAAAAAGCACCCAACCTGGGATTGGCAGCTGTGGGTGGCAGCAGCAGGCATTGTGACAGCCATCTTGGCTTCTCAGTCACGGCACTGGAACACTCTCTTTCTCTCTCAGGAGGAGACGGGAGGACCCAGCCAAGTCACTAACTAACTGTCTGGGACTCACACACATTCCCAATAGCCCTCTGCAATAATAATTACTGCTCAGTTATTTCTCCAAGATAGTATCAATGATTCATGGTGTGGCAGAGTTAGAGAGACAGAGAGAAATCTGAATTTCACAGAAAGCAGCAAACACATTCCTGTTAATTTGTCACAGGACATCTCAGCGTTATTGAAAATAGGTTTGATTTCAATAAGGGAGCTGAACAGTCTGAAAATGACACTGATTTGAATGATGGGTTGAAATTCTAATAACAATGAGTTCTTGTCAAGAGTGTTTTAATACATAACCCCAGATGTCCAGGTTGTACCTGGTGTCGTCACTTCACTTATGTCCCAGACTGATTATATAACATCGGCATATGACTCATGATACTTAGTGGAGCACTCGCTCTCTCTTTCTCTCTCACTGTCTGCCTCTCTCACTCATGATATCTCTGCAGCATGTTTTCTCCCCCCGGAGTGCTCTGATTTTAGTGCTTCTGGGTAATTCACACAACTCTCATAAGCGTTCGCAGAAGTAGAATTGTCACACAGTTTGTTCATACCTCACAACATAAATCTGATCTAATGTGTAACGGCAAATGTATCATTAAATTATATTCAGTTGCAAAAAAGAGTGAAACATACTAAAAGCAACATAAGTGGTGATTTTGTTTTATCTTGCCTTGTTTTTCTTACAGTTTATTGACGTTGCTTTGTAACAGCTGCACTGATTTTATTACAATCTGTTTTATACATTATGTATCACACTTTATTGTGAATGTTTTTCTTCTGTATGAAATCCTTGAAGGATAAAGCTGGTGCTATTATGTATATTTCTTCTTGTCAACAAATCCCATGGAAATACTAAAACCAACAGTGTTTTAGTGTCATAACAAATTCTTTTTATAGTCCACATCTGATTGTGGACTATTGATGACTGGTTGTTGAGTTGTCATGGAGAAAGTAGGAAATTTTTGCCATATAATAACATGTCATATACATATACATATAGGCTACATATACATATACATACTTAAATAGGTGTGAATAATGCATTTGCATTTGTTGGGGACTTTTTTCAGTGACGGATTAACACATCTGTTGCTCTAGTGAGTATTTATAGCTGCAGGAGAGTTTATGTGCAATTTAAAAAAAACTACAGTGTCCATGTTCATCAGAATGAATGAACATGTCACCCAGTAGGTTGATTGATGTGTTTTTAAGTTTTTAAAAAACAATGGAGGTAGGTGGAGGAATACATAATAATAACAATCATAATCATAAACTTTATTTATCAGGCTATATCAGGCTTTGGCTTATATGTTTGTTAGTAGGATTTTTGGCTATTTCATGGGATTTGTTCACAATAAGAAAAATATGGAATACCACCAGTCTCATCTCTTAGCAAAAAATCTCAAACACCAGAGTGTCCGCAGAAGAAAACAACACACATCACAGCTGGGTGGTCATTAGGGGCCAATGTCATTTGTCAGCCAGGCTCTTGACAGTTCTTTCTTCTAATGAATGTACAGCCTCCACTCACCAGGACCCTAGAGGAGAGTGGAAATAGGCCAACTTTAAACACTTGAGATTCAAGAGATGTTCTTTGCGAGCTACACAAAATGCTTTATACGTCTGTGTGTGTAGCCATGACTGACCAGTCACATAAAAATGGGGACTTATTTCACCACGCCTGAATGCAGGCTTACTGTTTACTGTTTGTGTCTGTTTTCTTCAGAGTGACGCCCACTAGCTGTGTCGCTGGTTAGCGGTCACGTTGATACCAAGGGATTACATGTAGTGTCTTTTAATTGCAAGCCATTGTCAGCTCACATTGTCACTGCATTTACACTGTTCACCTGTGGTAGAGGCACTGCTGATACAAAGAGCTGCTTTTTGTACAGTGTAGTTTGCAGCATATTATAAAAAGAGCTGCATTGTGCCTACAGCACCACAGCACAGACCCACCTGAGACATTACATTTTTGGTGTCTCTTTTCCTTGATGTCTACATTTCCTCCCTGCTGCTGCCTCAGCTTCCCTGCGTGAGTTCCTACCGGAGGCCTTTGGCTTTGACAGCGTGTTGTGCCGCCTGTCTCTCCCTCTTTTATCAGCCCCTCTTTGCCCTTTATGGTTGGTCCTCCTGTATATGATGAATGTCATTGCCTTTGCCCTATTCAATTAGTTTAACAGGGACAAGAGGGCAGAATGTGGAGGAATAACGTAGTCTGAAGTGAAGCCCTATACATTAAAAGGCCGCTGTGGCACATCGTGAGATAGCTGTAAAAAGCTGTGCAACACAGCATGTTGTTTGAACATAGTAGGGGTGGGTGTGTTTCGAGAAGTAACATACATTTTAAAGGGTTTTGATCACTTGATGTCAAAGCATCTGTGAATTGGTCTGTGTCTCTTTATGCTGTTGGCCGCTGTATGATGTTATGATTAAAGAGGCAATGACTGAGGTGATTGGGTTGTTCAGTGATGTTTCACAGTGAAAATCATAATTTATCGGCTATTCTCTCTCTCTCTCTCTCTCTTTCTCTCTCTCTCTCTCTCTCTCTCTCTCCTTTTCTCTCCCTTTATGTGTGTCTGTCCTTCATTCACACACTCTTCATATTTCACACACAAAAATGCCCATCGCAAGTGCCCATGCACTCCTTTCCAAACGCACACTCAAATCACTTAATTCATCAATGATACTGACATCACAACGCAAAAGAAAACTTGACTGCCTCTGTGAAACTCATCCATGATCATCTGATTCAATTATTTATGATTAAAGACTTGTATATTGTCCCTGCCCTGCTGTGGTTAGGCTATTGATTGTGGTGCTCGTTGAAATGTATCTGCCTTTTGTAATCAATAAGACTGAGACTTGAAGGATTACATGTGTACTTAGCGAGTGTAATAGACAGACTGCCTGGCAAAATCAAGTGAGGATTGCTGAGGAGAACATTTGTCATTATTGAACTGAGGGCCTGCAACATGCAGTCAATTACCCTCTAATTGACTATGTTGGGAGTGCATGAAGGACAGGGACAGAGGAGCAGGAAGTTCGGTCAAGATTTTAACTCTCTCCTGACTCTCATTGCACAACAGCAGTTTGAGCCCCTGTGGTGATCCTACATCATATTATGCAGCAGGTGCAATAACTGACGACTGAAAAATATAAGCTGCTTGTGTTAAACTGAGGAAGATAAAACAGAGCTTCCCTAATAAGTCACCATGGGACAGAGAGCAGTAGAGTATGGACCACAACCAGCCTGAACCATTCAACAGAAACCGAATGGTAATCCTACATCACTCTGTTTTGTTATCTAATTTGAGACACATTACCAGGTAAAAGATTGTTATATTATGTTATTGCGATAGATTATAAGAAAACTGGCATTTATTGGTATGTTCATTGCTTTGGTTTTATGTGCTCAAATTTCTTCTTGTCATTTTTTTTTTGCCCCCACCTGCAGCCCAGCATCCCAAGGAATTACACCCATAATGGACAAATCTGTACCTCACAATTTTTTGTTTCAGGTCGTTCAGTGCCAGTGCAAGAAGTGGAGTGCCCTATATCTAGCAACGTGGACAGCAAGGTTGGAGGTCAGGATGGTCAATGTATGCCTTCTTATTAACTCAAAACACTATATTTCCCTAACCAAGTAATTGCCACAAGTTTAGTTGCAACACTTCAAACATAATTTAATTGTCATAAACTTACCCTTAACCATACTGCAGTTGCCGTGCACTTTGTGTGGTATTTGCAACTGGCAACAAAAATGTTCTCATTGCACATAATTTTTTCTGGTGCTAGGATGCCATCCCAATACAATGGAGTACAGTTACTCTGGATAATTCACAGAAAACTACTACTTTATTGAAGAAATCATCCCTTTAAAAACAATTGACTGTGTTTTCTGTTGAGTATCCAGAGTTACAGGGTTGATGCTTCTGGAAAGTTATGTTGCTGCTGAATTTTATGAAATTCTCTTCCTGTTTTATAAAGGGGTTCAGGAGGGCCAGGCCAGTTCAGCTAGACATGTTTGTCCCATTCACAGATTGTAAAAAACACATCTTTTCACATAGACCTTAATATAGCAGCAGCCTGTATAAAACGTGAAAAAAATAAAAATAAAAAGGACAGTAAAGCACTGCAATTTTGGGCATTTTTAAGAAAAACAGAGAAAGAAAATAGAAAATACAATAAGGATCCCCAACTGGCCTTGAACTGGAGACATTTCGATTCATGGTCCCCATCTTCACCCATAAGCTATTGAAGAGCCCAGGTGATTAGTTCTGTACCCTTTAGTGTAATATCTGAAGTTAACAACTGGTCTACATTTTGTAATTGATCTATTTTATTACGTGTGCTAAACATTTTAAACATACATGTACCTTTCATAGAGAATATTACATTATTTGTATAGTAATCATCACCCCCTACAAAAACTATTATTTCTCCTTTATTTAAATTTTTAAATTGCAGAAAGCTGATATATCTCAAAATCTGGACAAATTAAACCGAAGGTGGAGGTGCGTAAGTAAATATATTTTTTTCTAATTTGGCTGATTTAGCTCTTTAAATCTTATTTGTGTGGAGGCAGAACATTCCTTACAATGAAACACGTACAGAGGCACAATGCAGCAGCAGCAGCAATGGTTAAATGAAAACTTTCCATTTTGTTTATACTGTATAACCACATGCCTTGTGATATCATCAACTATTGCAAAGAGTATTGAGTGTGACATCCCACTCAACAGCATGTTCAGTGCAAACTAAGCCATTGACTTGCTATTTGTGGTCTAAAAAACAAACTGAAGTTTCCACAACATGGCACTCCATTCTATAGAGAGGTGAATGTGAGGGGGATAAAAATCTGTGTGTGTGTGTGTGTGTGTGTGTGTGTGTGTGTGTGTGTGTGTGTAAACTGTAAGAGCTACGTGATCGAGAACACATCCTTAATCAGATCATCTGTGCATCTGGCCCACCACGACATCACAGCTGCTCTTTCTCCAGCAGAAATTTTTAGTCACCACTGGCGTTTCCTCTGATCTGCCCATCTGTAGTTGTCTCTGCTTTTTCTCAAACTTTACTTCACTTATCAAGTAATAATCTTAATTGATAAGTGAAAGTAAGATAAAATAAAATATCTGGGCCACTAATTCTATAGGCTACCACCGATGGACAAAGAATAATTTTCACAATATTCTGTTTTGAGGTATGCTAAAAAACCTTATTAATTCAACACTTCCCATTTGTGTCAATCAAACTGCAACTTTGCTATACCAGTGACAACTTTAAACAGTAAAATATTTTACCAAAGATTTCATAGTTATCTGAGGTGTTACAGCAGCTGTTTAACCACCATTTTCTTTTTCCAAAATTACTGCAACTAGAAACAGCTCCTTTACAGTGTTAATTTTAGATCTAAGTCTTTAGCCGAAATGCTAGTTTTAGTCATATTTTAGTCATATTCATCCTTCATAGTTTTAGTCGGCACTAAATTCAACTTTAAACAGTAAAATATTTTACCAAAGATTTCATAGTTATCTGAGGTGTTACAGGAGCTGTTTTACCACCATTTTCTTTTTCCAAAATTACTGCAACTAGAAACAGCTCCTTTACAGTGTTAATTTTAGATCTAAGTCTTTAGCCGAAATGCTAGTTTTAGTCATATTTTAGTCATATTCATCCTTCATAGTTTTAGTCGGCAAAAAGTCGTTACAATTTTGTCAACTTTTAGTCAAAATGTTTTTTCTCTCTTTTAACTCATTGAATTAGGCTGTTAGGTATCTGAAATTGGAATAAAGATGACAGTATCAAGTGTAAAAATTCGTAAAGCAACTTTTCACCCGCATTTAGGTCGATCTATTGGCAGAAATGGAATGCAATATTCATTGATATACTTTCATTAGTGTATAATCACCTAAAAATAAGAAACGTGTTTTTGTCACCTTAGAATGAGCCATTTTTTAATCTACAGAGGGAGCTGGTCTTCTTCTACAGACTCTGCCATGTTGAACCACCATATTTCACCCAGAATGGACAAACCAAACACTGGCTGTAGATGGGGCCTTTCGTGTTTTTTGCAAGTTTCACAGCCACCATAGTTTCTCCTGCTAGGAAGCGGAGGGTGAGGTAAGTTTGTTGCAATCTGCAATCTCAATGCCAAATAGCAGAGGAAAGAAACTGCTTATATAAATGTATGCCCTGTTAAAGGCTTTAACTGGCTAAAATGTGTAGTTCCTAAGAGAAGGGGCAGAGAAAACAAAATTGATATTTATTTTATATAATTGAGATAATACATTGGACATGTCCGCTTTTCTTCTTCCAGGTTGATATTGTCCAGTTTCAAATGACATTTCTCATTAATTTTCTTCACTCACTCACTTACTTTTCTTCTTTCGCTTGAACATCTTCCATGCTGTCCCCACTGAACAAGAAGCATAAAAAAAAAGAATCATGCATTTATGTGATTGAAAAAAGTCCTGCTCCACGCTTTATTTGTGCCTTGTGTGCAAATTCTGGTAGAGAGAAAAAAAGGCCCATAAGACTAAGTTGTAACTCCTCTTATCACCAGTAGATGTCACTGCAGCACAGTCCAAGCTTCAACCCTGGAGCCAGCTAGAAAGATTCAGGACACCCAAACCATGTTTGGTTGATATCTACATTCTCTCTGAGTTATCCATGAAAAGTGAGAAGCACTCATGCCCTTTTCATCTGCATTAAGGTCTTCATAGTGATAAAGTGGTTAAAGTCAGCCAGCAGCTCTCACAATCTCCTCCAGATGACTTGTGAATGGTAAATGGTAAATGGACCTGTACTTGTATAGCGCCTTTCTAGTCTTCCGACCACTCAAAGCGCTTTTACACTACGTGCCACATTCACCCTTTCACACACATTCACTCAGTGATGGCAAAGTCCATCGAACAGAAACTAACATTCATACACACTCACACACCGATGCACGGCATCGGGAGCAATTCGGGATTCAGTATCTTGCTCAAGGATACTTCGACATGTGGCACCAGGAGCCGGGGATCGAGCCCACCACCTTCCGATTGAGGAACGACCTGCTCTGCCTCTGAGCCACAGCCGCCCGAGGGTTGCACTAATCTTTGGCGCCAGAGTTGCTAATCTAGCCCAATAACTGTAACAGGGTGCTAATCACAGTTTTGGAGGAAAAATAACCATCCCAGCTTTTCCATGGCAATCAGGCCACTTAGAGGCCCCCGAGAGCTTACTCTGATGAGTTTACAGCCGATGTCAGGCTCAATCAAGGACACTACTTTATGGTTTTCACAATAATGAGGCTAAAACCTGAAAATGGGTGTTTTGCGTGCCCAATATTCCTGGTAATGACTTATCTGGCCTTTTAGCCTTGTACTGAGAAAGAGGGGGAAAGAAGGGCTCTGCTGCCAAGTGACTTTACACAAATATTTATAGAAATACCTACGCCTGACTTCATTAA